AGAAAAATAATATTTATGTAAGCGAGGACTCCTGATAGCGTCTGTAAAAGCAGCTGCTATAAACGCGGCCTGTAAACACTCTGATTCTCCTACAAAAACCCAGATCTCCTCTTCAGATGTGCTTCTTCACCTCTCACATTTTCACCCACACGGATAAACCGACTTCACTTTATTAATTCGCTGGTTTCTTTACACTCACAAGTCTCCACTTTTCCCACCGACTGAAGCATTCGGGATACAATTTCAGTGTTGATCGCACTTTGAGCACACCAAATAGATAAGTAAAACATCACCAGGCCGTGCCGTGCATGATCTGTAAACCAATTGATTGTGTTTATATTCTTTCTTTCACTTTGAGGATCAAGTTTTCACTGGACATGGTTTGACCAGGTCCCAAAATACACAGTTTATCTGCTCTGAATTACAGCCCTGATGGGAGAAGAGCTCAAATCATCACAGTTAAAACCATTACAAGAGAGCGGTTTACGTTTAAAATGACATTTAAGCTCTGTGAGGAGATTTACTGATTCTGAGACGGCCTCAACGTGAGATTATCTGGGTCATGACTGGTTATTTCTTTACGCTGATTTCTGGTGTTTGGCTTGGATGTTCTGCAAAGTCAAGAAGATGAGTCGATATACGTCACTTTATTTTATTTACGTCCTTATAACTACACTGATGCACAAGCGCTTCACTGAACACTGCCCTGAAATGCAACTCTCTGCAAATGCAGTATTTTCCTCTCTTTGTTTACCCTCTCTTGCAGGACTTTTTAGGATTAAAATCTTAAAATGCAGTGAGTTTTAGATGCATGAAAACTAACAATGTTTCAACAAAATCCACAAAGTGCAGTTTTTCTGTAACTGTGTAGCTCTTTCTTGCACCATCTGTTTTTGCTACTGGCAAACAAGTTGAGCTGAGCAGAGGCAGCATTTGCAGCAGTTGTGAGGAACAGAGAGATCCTGCTTAAAATTAAGCAAGCGTTCGATGTGCATCATTGTCAAATTGAGGCATCTGTTTAATCAAATCTGCACTCCGTTGGAATAATTCACCAAACAGAGAGCCACCGTCCTCTTAAAAAGCACAAATACAAGCTAATGACGTAGATGACCAGCCTGACTTATCTGCTGCTCCTGGATTTATGATGCTATGGCGGCAGAGCTATCCCCAGACTGCTTTTGTAGGCGCCATCTTCTGGGTAAAACACTGTACAGCAACAAAAAACCTCTTTGCATTTATTCTTGTATATTGTTTGCACTGGTGTATAAGACACAGCCGACTCTCTGTGACAAAACAAGTATTTCTTTCAGACTTTGGGATACTTCGACTTTCAGGTGATGAGTAATCTTAAACTGCTGGTTAGTCCATCATGAACCTGCTGCACTGGACTGCAGAAAGTACCTCAGGTGAGCTGTTTGCTAAATAAATAAGCTCCTGTTGTATTCTTGGGTGGTGGGGTAGCTGATGTGATGCACCCTGCAGACATCTAAATCCACCTCTACTCTGTCATATGGTGTTTACTTATTTCCCTGCGACTGTCGACGGCAGAAGGCCTCATTAGAGCGACGCAGCCTCTTCTGTTCTGGTCATCAGAACTGAAGGGGGATCTTCAGTCCCGTCTTCAGGAGGCAGACAATAATGACATTAAAATAAATCAGATCCAATTTGAATAGAGGGCTGGTAAATCTTTTTAGGAAAGAGTGCTCTGCTGATTTTTGTAAAGGTAAGGGGGAGGGGAGCGCTCGCTAAGCACCTAATCCACCACATTCTTGTTAGGGGTCCGAGTCTGAATTCAGACGGGCTTCAATGCCATGCACTGCGACAGGAGGGGTTGCAAAAGGCTGAGGTAATTGGATTGGAATACGGCATTGAGTGTCAGACAACAAAAGATATCCATCTCTCTCATGGCCGTTCAGCTCTTTTGTTGGCGGCTGGAATTTATTTGGTCATTCACTCGGCTCTTCCGAGCCCCGGCGAGGACAGAAGAACAGGGGCAGGCCACCAGGACCGGCTCAGTCTGGTGGTCTCGTATGCGGGCCAGTGGAGTCACAGCGCCTGTGCAGCCGCTGTGTGAGGATGTGTGAACCACGGATCCCCCAAAGCCCAGGGGTCATTTGTGTGATCATTACCATAATCACATTAAGGCTGCAGGAGATTAGCACCACGGCCTCAGAGGAGAAACCCTGTCTGTGCTCCATGACGACTGCAGACCCTGCTTGGAGGGAACAGTGAACATGCTGCCTGGATACCTATTAGCTCTATGATAGACGGCTGCACTGACCGTCAAGAGGAAGAGCTCCAAAGCCAAGGAGGTGTTTGTCGTTAGCTTGAAGTTACTACAAAATCCAGAAAGCAGGAGCAGGTAGATGATGAGCGTTGTAGAGGGGACTTCAGGTTTTTTTACTCTAGTATCCAAAATGCCACACACATAGTTAGACCGGACTGACATGCATGCATTGACAATATCCTTCATGCATCAGCTCTGAAAAACAAATGAGTGATTCCTTACTCACCTCAGCTGAGGAACAAGCCTGTTTCCACCAACCAGGCCCAATTTCCAGACTTGGTTCTTGCCGAGAGTTGGACCAATCACCATATTTCCAAGTTTACCGATTCCACTGCTGTTGCCCTTTTGAATTTGTGCATTTAAGCATGTTGCAGGTTCAGAAAAAAAAGACAAAGTTCAAATGTACACTAAAAAAAAGGAACTGGTTTAGGACTGATACGATGATGTGCTTGATCATGGAGAGGTTGCACAGTGGGAAAGGATACAGGAGAGATCTGGACCGTCAAAAATGTTAAAACCTTTTTTTTCTGCAGATCATTTCTTAGTCTTTCTATAGAAAACCAGGCAGAATATCAAGCAAATAACAGCACTGGACTTTCAGGCATCAATGATCCATCTGAACTCTCTTCAGGACTGACCCGACATACCCTCATCTGACAGGATCAGGGGTGTATGGGACAGATAGTGATGCAAACAGAAAGTATGTGAAATTTAGCATAGAATTAGTTTAGACAAGCCATGAAGTCAAGATCAGCTGACGGCTCAGCTGATAGTCTTCTATACATCCGACTGGAAAATGTCAAAATGGACGCTCTGCTGCTTTCACCTTCCTGCTTTCTGCTTTGCTCCCTCTCCCTCTCCAGCTCCTCCTTTTGATGCTGTGAATGATTTTATTAGTCTCATATGTCGTGTCATAGATGTCTGCTCTGTTCTGTACCCTGACGTCTTTGCTGCTGCTCTTCCTACCTTTGGCCTTTTCTCTGCAAACCGCTTTGCAACCCTGCTCCACTTAGATGCAGAAGTTGCATAAAATGACTGCAGCCCAATCTGCTGCACATGCAAGAATGCAAAGTTGTTTACAGGCTCCAAATGAGCGTTACAGACGTGTAAACCTTCCTAAAAACATATTTGCATTAGAGTATAAAAAGAAAATGGGAAAATGTTGTTTGAAGATATGATTTTCCAAAAAGTAGGCATCAGGATTTGAGATTTCTCTGCAGGCCCAGTCTCTTCAGTTTGCAGAGATATCAAAGAATATAAAAAATATCTGTTGTGTAATCATTCAAGTTTTTTGTTGTCTCTGATGGTTAAAAAAGTAATCACCCTCTGTGAATCTGTTGACACGTCCACTCTGTCTTTCAAAGTTACAGATTAATTCAGCAGGATCAGATACCAGGATCCCGCCCTCTCCTCCCCTGCAGGCCTGTCATTATTCAGCACAAGCATCACCTCTGGGCAGGTCAGGAGGGCACGGCAGACACAGACAGGATCCCCTCACCCCCTCCTTTAAAACCTTCTACAATCTCTACTCTCAAATTTGGATTTGGCCATCAGGGCCCAGAACTCTCCTTAGGGTTCAAAACTTCTCCAATTAACCCTAATTACCCTGAGAGAGCGTTTCAGTGAGGCCTGTAACCTGAGATGTCTATCAGCTCAGCGTCTGCAGCGGGCGGGCGGGCTGGGGAGGAAGTCGTAGCTTTCATCTTGAAGTTCAACCACAGGAAACGTGACATTTAAATATTGACAGCGGTGATTTAAGATGCTGGGAGTTTGCTGAAAAGCTGCACCTTCTTCTCCTTCTTATAAACAAGAGACTTTAAGACGAACACTCAAGGACATGTGTGACTGTCTCCTGCAGAAGCTGCAACTCTGTGTCACCCTGGGATCAGGAGATAAGATAAGATATTTGATCTGCTGCTTCAGAGAAAACACAATGAGCTACACCTTGGTTACTTTCAAACAAAATAGTGAAAAAATGCCAGAGCTGTGCTTATCAGGGACGGGCGCATACAGCAGAGACGTGTGACAGCCTCATAAACGGTGATAAAGCGTGATGGTGAAACATTACGTGGTTACTGATTGATTCGCTCCTCTCTCTGCAGCGCCGCACCTCCCAACTGTGGTTCCTTGATTGTGACCCATTGAGTGACCTGTGTAATTGGTCCACACAAATCACTAACCACAGGGGCAGAGGGGGTTCCCATCCTCTCACATGCATGTTTGTGTGTGTGTGTCTGTGTGTGTGTGTGTGTAGTCAATGATCCAGTTCACAGATCACCTTCTTGCAGAGGTAAATCCAGCTGCTCTTTTCCTCCACAAACTTATTACATGTTTGTTTTTTTCCCTCTGGCGTTGTTGAAGAATTGAATTTTAGAGCTGAAGAAGTGATCAGCAGGGGTTTCATTCAGACAGATACACGTCCTGGTCATAAAGCAGAGGCTGATTGTTTGAAACAGCCTTGAATTAGCAGCCATTTAAAATGTGTGACATTCCTCAGTGAGGCTCCAAACCTGCAGGTTTTCCGCTTTGGAGCAATGTTCTCTGCATTCCTGATCACATTCGACAGATTTTATTTCACATTTCAGAGAATCTGAATTCAAAGAGGCTGAAAATGTGCAAATATTTTGCATTTTTCCTCTTTGGTATCCAAGGTTTGGCATGTTGAACTAAAAGCCCTTGACTCAGCTATTGGCCATAATGAATGGTCCTCTGGCATGTATTTGTGACTGTATTGTACTAATATGGAAATCCTTTCCTAATAAACCCTCTCACCTCTCAGACTGATATGAATCTTAATGATGGAAATAATAGTAAACGTTGTAATAAACTGAGTGTGAAGGAAGATAAGGTCATGAAAAGGCCAAAAGGTACAACCCTGGATCCAAAAGAGCAACAAACAGAATTTAAATGTTATTTAAGTCCTCTGTTTAATTACAAATAGTCAAATATGATCAATAAGATGCTGAAGTTGGAAAATATATGCTTATTTTCAATTTGATGCCAGCTCTATCTTTCATAAAAATGAGGACAGGGAGAGTGAAACTCTGAAACAGCTGTGAAATACCAAGAAGAATCACCTGGAGGAACACCTTCCTACTAATTACATTCATTTAGCAACAGGTTAGTGATATGACAGGATGTAACAGGGGATTTAAAAGAGGGTGAAACTCTCAGAGGTAAGAATGAGAAAAGATTCACCACTTTATGAGAGACAGGGTGAGGAAATAGTCCACCGAATTAATAAAAGGCACAACTCTGTAGTGGAAATCACCACATGGGCTTAAGATTTCCTCCAAAACTCATCATCTGTGAACACATCTTCACAGTTGTGCACCGTGTGAAGAGGAGATCTATATAAACATGATCCCAGCACCACAATGAGCAGTTTTTTCAGCTCAGAGTTAAAAATCCAGGCGTGGAGGAGAAGTGTTGATGGTATCAGATTTAAAACGAGCACATCTTTCTCTCCAAATAATAAAATTGTTGGTTTCATTGTCTGATTTATTCTCTTTGCGCCATTTTCAAGATCAAATACAGTCTTTAAATGATTTTGCAAACCAACAAATTCTGCATTTATTACCATATTACACAGAATCCCAGCTCTTATGGACTTGGAGTTGCACAAATTGATGCTTCTCTTCTAATCTACTTCATTCATTTTTATGTTTGCGGTTGTAATGACTTATGATTATCAATCTAAGTGCAGGTCATGGTTTATTTCCGCTCCATTTTCCACCAAATCTCTGCCAAAGAGTCCTCAGAGCAGGCCGGAGTGTATGATTATGCTCATAATGTTGGAAGGGGGGGCGGGGTCTCCGGGTCCTGCTCATGAATATGGAGACACTCCCTCCCTGGTGAACTTGTGCAGAGAGCTCCAGTTCAGGCCAGCAGTCAGTCAGACAGTCAGTCAGTCAGAGAGCAGAGGGCTCGGCTGCCGCATGGCCACCGCGTAAACTTTCTTCAACTTTTAGTGGAAACTGTTGGATAAGGAAGCAGAGCAGACCCCCGGAGAGCTTCAGGGACAAACCAGGAAGAGGTCTTCTATGAATGTGGAACCTGAGCTCCGCTGTTCAAACTGTTGTTTCCCACTCGTGCATGTTTAAACCAGAGGAGAGCTCTGGTGCCGTGTGTCGGCCAGACGACCAGTAACCAACGAGAGGCAACAGCAGTCCGGAGGCATGACTCTGAGACGGGGCTCAGCGCTCTCTGCCTTCTTACTCTGCCTTCTCCTGAAGGTACGTGGACTACTTTTTCACACGGATAGGGTCACTCAGTTCAGCTCTCTGGATCTACTTTGATTGCTTGTGTGTGTGTGTCGCCTGTAGGCTCCCCGTGTTTCCATGCCTCATGCAAATCGTGTGTAGTCAGCCTGCTGCAAGTGCAAATCATGTAGGGCAGCCAAGGGCAAAACAGGCGCTTTGTTGCTGCAACTTTCTGTCATAGTATGAGGTCAAAGTTTTCCACTGCACTCACTTTTCTGTCTCCAACAGGTGTCTGAGGGATCTGGGATTTTCGAGTTGCAAATCTTATCGATGCACAATGCGAACGGGGAGCTGCAGAACGGCATGTGTTGTGATGGCGCACGGAACTCTGCGGATCGGAAATGCTCACGGGACGAATGTGATTCGTTTTTTAAAGTTTGCCTGAAGGAATACCAGTCGAGAGTTTCTGCTGCGGGGCCCTGCAGCTTCGGAATGGGATCTACGCCTGTCCTCGGAGGGAATAGCTTTTCTTTCAGGGGCTCTGTGAGGAATGACAAATCCAAGATTGATTTGCCCTTCAGTTTTGCCTGGCCGGTGAGTTGGAGACAACCCGAACTTTGTGTGTTTGTCGACGCGCTTCTCCAAACGGAGGAGTGTGTTTGCAGGGCAATTGTGCACAATTACTGTCCGTCAGTCGTTGTCACTCAGCTAGAAGTGGAGAGAAAGCAAAACAAGCAAAGACAGAGTTTCTCCGTCTGAGGTAGGACCCCCTGGTCTCCTCATTATCTGCTCCAATTAACCAGGTGCAGGTATTTTTCTCAGACCTCTCTATCCGAGTCGATTTCAGACTGATGTTGGTTTTCAGGGCCGATACTGACACCGATCATTAGTGGTTCATGAGGCCGATGTTTGAGACCTTAAAAATGTTTCTTTCCTTCAAATTTCTGTCAAATGAAACCGTCTATCCTTCTCTGAAAGACATAAACGAGTAAAAAGATCAACAGTTAGGAAGAGTTTGGAGACTCATAATGAAGTTTTTTAACCCATGAGTAAAAGTAGCATTAACTGTTGGCTCACCTGTAGCAGAGCCAAAGCAGCTCTTCTTTTTAATCATGTTATTTCATTAGTGATTGATACCGATACCGACCAAATCCTGATTATTGGCTCCCTAACATTATCCAGGCTGACCCCCCTTATTTTTAAAACTTCTTCATACTGGATCCTCCTGAAACCTCTGTGCTCAGAAAAAGAGCTGAAACATGCAGTGAGACACAAAAGCAGAGAGATCTGTGACCAACTAGACTCTAGTTTCATGTAAAGTCCAGTTTATCTTCATAAAAAAAGACTTTTCTCATCTTAATCCAGCTGTACAGGACTCCTTTGTTGCATTCCTCTCCTCATAAATAAGTTTTTCCCTCCTCTGACTCGATTCAACAATAAAAAGTGGAGATGAAAAGCTGGTGGAGCAGATTTCCCCTCCTCTGCCCCCTGGCAGCTGCTCATGTTGCAGAGTAGAGTAACTCTGCAGTGAAAAGCCCACTTTCCTCCAGTGTCAGCTCTTCTTCACAGAGTAAATAAATGGGCCTGGCAGGCCTGTGGGAGCGTCGAAGCTCTGTGAGAGATATGATTTGCCGTGTTGGAGCCGTGAAAAAAGCAGGACTGTGCACAGACTGACTGGCCCCACAGCTCGGGCCGCAGACTCCTCTACTGTGCCTGATGGGTGAAAGGCACAGTCCACTGGTATGTGTGTGTCCAATTACATCAAGGCTATTTTTACCCCAATCCTGGTGGAAGTTGTTGTTGTAATTTAGAGCATTGTTCTGCAGGAACAGGCCTGGAAGAGTCTGCAGAGTTTAAATCAGTTGCATGGTTTCCTCTTCGTGTAAGAAGAGGTGGTTTGAATGTGAGCGTCCCCTTTGCCCCGATAACCAGTCGAACAATGTCCTCAGCAGGGTAGCATGCAATTTGATATGGTCTGTATTTTTTATTTGCTCTCCACTTAGACACTGGCGCCTCACACCTTTTTAAAGACAAAGGTTTCTGTTTATGCTCACACCATGGCAGCGCTAAGTTGGCATGGCCGCTGGGAGACGGATTAGTTTCATCTTACAGGTTGAAAATCAGCCGTTTGTTGATATTGAAATGAAACCTGCTGCCTTTTCTGGTTTGAGGACATGGCTTCTCTCGTTTTTTTTCTTACATAATGATCAAGTCTCAACCAAATGGCACCACGTCCTTGGAGAAAAGGAGGCTTTGAAAATGTTTGTTGTAAAAGTTTCTTCGTCTGTAAAAATGGACGAAGAGCTTTGGTTGTGAGAACTGTCACGTTTAGATGAATTAATTGAAGGCGGCTCCATTGTGGAGAACATGAGGTTAGTGAAAGAAGAGAGCGGCTCGTTAGCTTCTCTCATCCTTCACTTCAAGTGCTTTCCTTCAGTGCACATTCACAATCGTCAGGTTAGGTATGATATCACTCTTTGTCCTTTTCATCAGTTGATTGGCTGTTGTGGACAGATGGCAGTGTGGTGCATTTGGGTTGTTGGGTACTCCGAGTTCATGAAGCTTTTTTTTTTTTTTTTGAACCCCCCTCCTCCTCCTCCTCCTCCTCCTCCTCTTCATCCTCTCTTGTGAGCTGCATGAAGTTGGCCTCTTGTCCAGGCCAAGGGCTTTGTTTAAGTCACGCTCGGTTGGACCCCAGGCATTTCATCGCTTTAACCTTGCCACCCACAGTAACTGCTGCACTTAATGAGGCTACACACATGTGCTTAGATCAGGTAGGAGGAGAGCCAGGCCTCCAGCTGAAAGGCGAAGGCTGGCCGTCTTCAGCTTTCAGGAGAGTGTCGCCGCTTTAGGGCCCGGCGTGGACCCACCGGTGTCTGCTCCGGGCTTTTATTCCACAGAGGAGTCAGGGCCCTCGCAGTGTATCGAGCGGGGACAATAGTGTGCCCTCAGTGACTACAGTGAGGATTACAGAGCATAATAGAGGCCGTGCAGCTGTAATGCCAGAGCAGGGCAAGCAACAGGAAGCAGTTGTAGTAGACTCAGCAGTGATGGAGTTGGCTCTCAGGCAAACTGTGACCTCCTCTCTGTGACCACCTCAGCAGTTTTACACCTCTACGAGCGAGGAGAGGAGGAGTTTCTCTGGAGGTGGAGATGTTTCAGATTCTTGTTTTCCTTCCTGAAGAATCAGAACCAGCTCTGCAGACCCGGCGTGTGTGCACATATGAGAAATTTAAGACCACGAGCACCACCGATGTGACTCCAGGGCAGTTAAAAAAAAACACTTTCTATAGACTTTTAAAAGAGGATTCTTGGAGGACAGTTCAGAAAATAACAACAGAGGTCATATAAGTAGACAGTCAAGCTGCTAACTAATATCTGAGGCTTGCATGGGTATCAGTCAAGTCGTATCTGTTCCCATCTCTGCCTCTTTGGATGTTGCAGACAGAGTGAACTCAGCTGGATCATCTTTGGAGTCTCGTATGGACGGGCACGGGTGAAAGAGGTCTCGGTGAATGTTTAACCAAATGGTGCGGTTGTGCCCCATTTGGTCTGATAACACGGTTCACCCCACATAGCTCTGAAATGACTCTCGTCTCCCGTCCAGTGTCTGTTTTTCTTCTTAGCAGCCATATTTGTTTTGCAGAGTCTTTGTGGATGTCAGACTGTTGAGTTTGTTTGTGCAGCGTCTTGATGTTTGCAATCAGAAATGTTCATTACAAAAGTGACATCAGGGGTCAGCAGGTCATACAGAGTCTGCGTAAACACAACACTGATGTTTGCTCGCATTATGAGACGGATCGGAGTCGCTCCTCTTCTCACCTTTACCTGCTTGTGTTGAACATGCTGTAGAAGAAGAAGAGCTGATTTGCTGAGTCATGACTTGGTGAGACTCTTTGACATGAGTTTACGTATCTAACCTGATCTTGGGTGAGGTGTGAAGATGATTAGTGGCTTTCTTTATTAAATCTCTCACCTCACGTCTCCTGTTCTGGCTGATCTGCCTCTTTTATTTCTGCTCCGATTTAATTAATCCCACGTTTGATAGTATAATTTTCAACCATATTTTCCCTTTGACATAAATCTGGCGCGCCTCCTCAGACCTGAGCGGTGTTGGCATGGCTGTGAATTGATTCGTTGACAGGTCGGAGCCGTTTGAGAAGCGGGATCAGGTGAGTCGCTGCAGAACAATACCCTCAGCTTGGAGGCTCGGCGGCGGCGGCGCTGCGGGCAGCTGTGGGAGTAATGACATGTTTGTTTTATATAGTCTGCTCTGATGTGGCAGTTAAGTGCAAATTACTGCAGTGAAAGAGGGAGAAGACATGTGCTCCCACCTCTCCCTGTCCTCGGCTTCAACAAGGACTCTCAGTGTTGTGTCAGGGGGGGCGTTACATAACGGTTTCGCTGCTTATCAGACTCGTTTCATGCCGGTTTGAAGCGTTACACGTATAGAAAATGGATTTAACCTGCCCTGCTTTTGCCTCTCTTATAGCTGAGAGACTCCTGCTAAAGAAACAACTGGCTGCTTGTTTAGTTAAAGACTTTATGACTTTCATCCCAGGTTCTGGGCTCATGTTTTGATCTTGTTTGTCTTGCGAGAGATCCAAACTCTGTTTGCTGTGTGTGTCATGTTTGAGTTGGCAGGTTGTGAGATTCTTGTTCGGGGTGAGGTTCTGTCCTATCCTGGAGCTGAGGTTGTTTTTTACAGTTATATTTAATAAGCTGTTGATTGCACGTGTTGGGATGAAAATCTCCGGGTAAACAATGATCCCTTCCTTCCTTCCTCTCGGGTCCATCAGCGCAGTGAGCGTCCTTGATGATGATGATGATGATTGTAAGCGTCGTCTTTTCAGGACTGAGGCCAGGTTTCACAGCAAACAGGGTGTGTGGAGCAGAAGTCTTAATCATTGGCTGGAGCCCACTTTGATGCAGTTGATGTGATTGATTCAGGAAAACTGATACAGAAGGTCAACATCCCTCTGAACGTGTTGTTGACATTTCCTCTGAGCTCAGTCTAATCTGCCAGGCCCTGATTTCAGACCTTTGGCTTTTCCTGGTACCTTTTCTTTCAGCTCGCTCTGGAGATGGCTCCAGAAAAAGAGGAGAGAAGAGTGTGTGCATGTGTGTGTAATTGTGTGTGTGTATGTTGGAAAAATCCCCTTACTAAGAGGAGTCAGTTAGTGTTCTTTGGCAAGTCAGTGTGATCCGAACTGGAACGATCTTTATCGCGTATGTTGCTCGTCTGTTGGACAGTGTCTGCTCGGCCAGGAAAGATAAGGAGACATATGGCCACACTTATTGCTCTTGGACGTGTGCGTGTGTGAATGTGTGCGTGTGTGAATGTGTGTGTGTCTGCATGTGTGTGTGTGTGTGTGTGTGTGTACTCTGTAGTTCAAAGAGAAGCAGTGAGTCAGCTGGGAGCCTGGGAAAAGTGAACCTGGCAGTGGCAGACGGTTCCAAGCTGATAACCGCCTGGAGTTATGGAGTGTTAGTGCGGGAGGAGTCGAGCTGAATCTCACTCTCTCTGGAAGCACTTATTTGGTCTGGAGCAAAACATCGCAAATTACTGCGAGGCTACTTGTTAAATCGAGCCAGTACAACATGATTAAGTAATACAAAGCTTGTGAAGTGGGGATGGGAACAAATAAGATTTAATCGATACTGATGCCTTTATTGGTTCTGCTCATTGGTCCGATTCTCTTCATCGATTCTCTAAACAGGCCCAACCGGTTTTCAGTGTCAACAATCCAAGTTTTAATGAGACTTTTATAAGCTTCACTACGCCTGAAAAAATCATACATACTCAGTTTACAACAAGAATCACACTACAATCAAAACATCAATCATGAACAGTCTGCCGGTCTCACGAAGGGAGTGGATTTTACAGTGAGTCATTTTATTATAAGAGTAGCAATATTTGGTTATATAAGGTACTGTGTGGTACTGCTGTCTTTTCTGTTTACCATGTTTACATCAATGTTTTCTAAGCCATGTGCAACTTAGTGGAAGGGAACCATTATAGGTTCAAGATTAACTCTTAGATGCAAACGTTAAACATTTGTACTTGATAACTCTTCTTTTAGCCGTTTTTATTCAGCTCCATAACTTCTGATCGACTGGAAAATAAATAAAACTTCTAATAAAAGGATATCACACAAAAGCCGTTGGAAAATGTCGAAATAAAAGCATCAAAACGATCATTTTGTGAGACATTTTCTCATCTAGAGAATTTTCTGTCTCAGGGCTGGTGATGTGAAGAAAACGTTACTTTACAAACACGGACAGAAGCTGCAGGTTGTCAGAAAAAAATCACAAACTAAACCTATTTTTGTTCAGATCCAAGATTTTGACTGACATGTTGGGTACAAACTAAAAAAAGGAAGGGCCAAAACTGATCTGTCGTTGAAAGATTTATAAAAAGTAAGATGTTTCTTTGACCTTGGTTTGCTGTTTGTTGTTTTTTCCTTAAATCGATCTGATTTGCGCTGCAGGAGTTGTCATAGTTGTTGTGTTATAATTTGTGGGGCTTTTATTTTGAAATTAGATACTTTCATTTCATGCTTTAAAAAAATTGTGCTTTTATTTTGAAATGAAGTCTATGCTTGAAAGACACTGAACTGAATGAAAATGACTAAAAGAAGAGTTAGAGAGTATAAATGTTGAATATTTTAACATCCTGAAGAAGTTTATGTTGATTTTTGATTCATAGTTTCCTTCTTCTGCTTTATGGTGACCAGTACCAACCCTTCCTTTGAACCAGTGAGTTACACATCAGTTATTTTTAGCCTCATGTCTTTAAGAAGACATTTATCATCATAAAGCTGCGTTGCGACAGCTCTACCATGAATAATGTGCTCCAGTTACGTCAATGTGAGCATAAAACTGCAAACATTATCTTCTGAAACTGTCATCCAAACACGTTTAGATCACGTGAACATGAAACTTTGACATGTTCAGCGCGTGATAATGATGTTCTTTGTGCAGCCGGAGCTCCCATGTTGAGACAGGTCCAAATTTTGCAGGAATTGGGTGTGACTGCTCTGCTCCGGAACATCTGCATTTAAAGAAATCGACCATTAAACTTGATTTCTCCTGACAACAGTCGGCCACAGAGTGATCAAATGATTCCCCTCTCTGCTCCCATCAGCCGGGGGGACCCCAGTGTGAAAGTTTGGTCGTGCAGCAGGTGACTGAGGCGAGTTGATGTTTTTATTTGGCAGGGATCCATTGTTGCTGCTCGTCTAAGCGCCTGTAAACTGATCACATGCTGCTCAGAAACGCTCCGATTGTCTGCGAGGTCACTGAAAGGGGAATTTTCTGTAGTAACGTCGAGGTTTTGTCCCAGTTTTGGCTCCCTATGTTAGTCACAATCACGTCAATTTCATGTCGCAACGGTGACTCATTTAAGATTCCAAGAGACAGATGATGATCTACTACGCTTGTGTGTGTGTTGCGTTCAAGTTCCCGTTTTCTAGATGAGACATTTAGTGCCCTGTGTGGGATGTATGTGTGTGGGCTCTGAAATAGATTTCTCACACCCCAAAAATGTTTCAAAAGTGTGAGTCTGTGTGTGTTTGGGTGTGTGTGGATACTGGGGTGATGCATTCAAGAGTTGGAAAAACGACTCTCTTTGTGGAAATTTCAAGCGAAAAACTTCAGCCGCACAGATTTGGACGCACAAACTCAACAAATCAGTAAGATGACACAGCTTTGTGCTGGAGGAGAAGCCAGAGGGACTCTTGTTCCTGGTGTTAATACAAGGCTGGGCCCGGGCAGCGGATGATTAGGTCTCACATTACCACTGACTCACTTTCTCGAGCTCTGTGTCGAGTCGCTGCAGCCAGTTGTGAGTCAGACTGAACTGTAAAGCCTGTGCTGCTGATGAGCCTGCATTACAAATAATAGCTGCCCTGATTGCATTGAAACTTTGGCACAGGATGAGACAGACGTCTCCTGGAAAAATGGAAAGCTGAATGCTTGACAAAACAAGGTGAAGCCACTGAAAAAAAAAGGCCTTCAGGAGTGAGTCATGGAGCTTGTCTTTCAGTGGAAAGAGAATAGGGGGTTTCCTTAGCGCAGGTTTGTTTACCATGAAGTCATCGCAGCAGCAGCAGCAGCACACGGGGCCACAGTGGCAGAGCAGAATGTCTGAAATGCCTCCGAGCTGCGCTGCTAGGGGCCGGCATGTGTGCGAATATAACAAGTAGGTGTTTCTAGTGGAAGCTGGAGCACTGTAAGTGGATTACACTTTCTCACAATCACATACTTTCTCTCTCTCAGGCCGTCATGCGCGCTTGCAGAGGCATTGTTAGTCCCCTCATGACTGCAGCACAGGGCGATGTGAATGTGTAAGCTGATATCGGTGTGAGCGCTACCAACCCTGAGCGGGACAAAGCGCTGAAATCAAGACAGGCCCTCCAGAGTCGAGCACTCCGCTTCTCTCAGTTTCTCTCTTCATGCAGACTGTTTTCCCTTCTCTTCTTTTTTGTCACTCAGTTTTTCTGCCTGTGTAAAGTTTGACTAAAGATCAGCTCCCTGAGTCCGGATTTTCCCTGCACTCGTAGCTCCCGGCGCTCGATGTTTACAAATCCGTGTACGTTGCAAAACAGAGCTTTGCTCTCAGAACGTTGGAAATCCTCTGCAGACTTCTGTCTCCACACTTTGAAACTTGGAAAAACTTTTTAATAATTTCCAAAGAGGGTTAGTGCAGTGAAAGTGTTATTATGATTCAGTGTACTCTCTGTTTTCGGTGCAGCAGACGCCCTCGTGCTGGGTGGTTGTCCTGGAGGACCAGTCCTCTCCATGTGTCAGTCATCCTAATCGTTGTGACGCAGAGACCTCTGCACCACAACAAGCTTATCCTCTGTTAATCAGATCAACAGGACCATTGTTACAGGTTAACAGTTAGCAGCTTCCAGGCCTTGTTTGAGATTACTCAACGAGAGGGAGAGACTTCAGCCGGGGAGACCGTGGGAAACTGAGAGCTGTGGATTTGGACACGCTCAGAGTGGAGACACACACATACAAATAAAAACAAAACTTTGTTCATTTAAATCCACCTGCTGTTTGAGATGTGGAGGTGACTGTAGAGAAACAGAGGAGTGAGGGGTTTTATTATGTGGTCTGAGAATATGAGCTGAAAGGTTAATAATATCAAGGTACCTGCTCACCTGTGCGCTCTGTCTGCAGTCAAGCTTATGATTCATCACATCTGCGTACATGAAGCAGCTGAAATACGAGGCTAATGTTACCTGCAAGAACAAATGAACTCAGACTGATCTACATCACACTGTGACTGTTTATAGTTTAGGACTCACATCTGTAACTATCACAGCCTCACAGGTTAACCTGCAGCTTCATCATCAGTGAACTCTGTAGAAAGTTTCGTATTCAGTCATTAAAAGCTCTTTTCAGTCTCTTTTTGCTTCTTTTAAAAAAACTCCCGTCTGTTTTCATATTTCTCCTTTTGGGTAAAAAAACAACCACAGAAACGTCCCAGACAGCTGGTGCAGACAGGAACCTGTAACCTGCCATCTTGGTTCTCACGCCACACTTACAAATAAATAGTAATTTCCAGGTGCAAGTGGAAGTACTGACGTCAATGGAGAAAACTTTTGTTTTCACTCACTACAGGACTGTTCAAGTCTCCACTTTTTTCTCTGTTTATGTGTAGACATGAGGCCTGAATGCAGAAAATCATCATAAATATCCACCAAAGTGTAAATGAGGCCAAAGAAAGTCACAGAATACAAACAAACTAAAGTCTTTTGACCCTGATTTGTCTAAAAACAGAATGAACATCGGTAACTCCAGGGTATTTAAAATTGATGGGTTTTTTTAGAGGAAGTGTGACATCTTCATTTGACAACTTTCACTTTTTATTCCCATGATTTCATTCTGACTTTTTTTTCCCCTGAATTTTGACTTTATTCTCAAAGTTCGTGGGAAAATCATAACTCCCTCTTCACTTCCTTCCAAATCAGCCAATCTCATAAAATCCAAGATTGAATAACTCTTCTTCTTATTTTAGAGGAATCAGGTAACCTCAGGTCTGAATGTCAAACTGTGAGATAATTTATCAGGAGAAAATAGGACTCCTCCACCTCAGGTTAGTTTGCCTGGTCGGTCATCAACTTTGAACCCTGCAGGATAAACTTCCTCAGCACATCTGTCTTAATCATTAAATGTTGATTTTTATGATTTTTTTATGGCGCAGTGATTGCTCTGATGATCCTCCTCTTGGCTAACTCTCCTTTTATCTCTTGTCTTGTCTCCCACAGAGGTCCTACACTTTGATAGTGGAAGCCTTGGACTACAACAACGAGAGCAGTGGTGAGTGCTTGTCCTTGTCTGCCATCTCCATCTTGCTTTTACTCTCTCTCCTCTGTCCCCCCCCTCCTCTCTCGCCCCCACGGTAATGTCTGGGAGGAGTTGGTGTTGAAGGTCAGAGAAGGAAGTTTATTCTTCCTGAACTCCCTGCCCTCGTCCGCATGGTCCTCTGGGTGTGTGTGCGTGTGTGTGAGAAGAAAGTGTGTTGACAGGTGCCTGTAAGGCGGAGAGCAGGGACGAGGAAACGAGGGGGAAGAAGAAGAAGAAGTGGGGACAGGACAGACGGGGGGTGCAGACAGAGAGGAGGAAATGTGGCGAGGTAGAGGAGGGGAGGGAAAAAGAGAGGGGGGGTCTGCTCCAGCTCCTTATGAAAATGTTTTCATTCGGCCGATGACTGATGGCAGGTGCTGCCAGCCAGGGTCAGGGTCACGCCGTCTCACTGTCACTGAGGCGTAAAGCTGAGAGTTCATCCCCGCACTGCAGCCCCAGAGCGGGGGGCCGAGGTCAGCGTTACCTCTGCGGCAGGTGGGCTGCAGACTGAGCTCTGACTGAGCGTGTGCAGCAGAAGTCTCACCAGCGTCCTGATTGAAACGCCGTGGGCGTTCTTCCCATGCATCTGGGAAGAACTCTGTGGTAACACGCTGAATCGAAATTCTGGTTGCCAGGTTTGGTTTCTGCCGTTAACTCGGCTCGGATTCCTGCTGGTCGGCGGTCGGATTGGCGACAGCGTGGTGATTCCAGTTAAGGGGGGGTGTGTGTCCCATGCTTGTTTATGCGGGTCTGCCCGAGGTCAACAAGGTTTCGGTCTTTTCTGCTGTATTTGCCGCTCCCCAGAGAGCTATTAGGGCACTGGTGTGAAAAGCCCCCTGAATGTACACAGTCAATGCTGGATAAGCCCCTCTGAGCTCCAGCGGGCCGGCTCACAGCTCAGCCAGGAAAGTCTCAACGTATGAAGATGACTTAGAGTTTAGATCCAACCATCCTTATCAAACTAAACATTAAACTTCAGTGCAGAATAAACCCACAGGCTTCAGTTTTAGTCCAATTATTTCTGAGTATTTACTTTAATTTAATCTCTTTTAAAAGAATGTATAAACCTGATAAATATGAGACTAAAAAAAGTTTAATGTAAATCAGACATGACTCTGTAGTGGAAGTCACTACATGCAGCAGACGTTCGTGTCTGTTAACACATAAAAAAACATAAAACTGAACCATTTTGAAGAGAAAAGCAGATATAAACATGACCCTGAAATGCTGGCGTGTGTAAAACTGTCCTGTGGTCTGACAAAGTTTCAAAACTTGACTTTTGTTTTGGAAATCATTGACGCAGCATCCTCCGCTCTGAAGGAGGGAGGGACCACCCAGCTTGTTGTGGACGCACAGTTAGAAAACCAACATCCTTGATGGTCTGGGGGTGCAGAAAAGACCATGACTCCACTAATGCTGTATAATAGATGCAGGTTCTTATTCAAAGCATATTTTCATTTCATATTTTTGTCATTCAGAGCAAAAAAAATAAAATGTCATCTGCTAAAAATACAAACTGCGAAGCTTCAAGACTTCACATATTTCATTGAGGAAAGAATGAAAAAGCTAAGGCCCCAAAACGGAGCCTTGTGGGACCCCACGGTTAACGTTTCTATACGTGAAGACAACTTCCCCCTTTTTAAAGCCTCAAAGTTTAGATCTTCTCATATAAAGTGCTTTAGGTGTTCGTTCATGACCTCTCTCAGCTTCATTCGGCTCGTCTGATGGATGTTTAGCTCCAAACCAGGCAGCAGGTAGTAAGGACGTGTTACTCCTGACACTGTAGGCCAGCAGTGGGTAGAGAAATGCCACACAGCTGAGCTCTGGATTCCAGTCCTCTGTGAAATGTTACCGGGCACTGTGATTTCAGCTCCCCCTCCCCAAATACACCACAGAGCAGTAAATAAATGACAGCAGGCCTCCCCCCCGCCGCAGTTCATTGCATCATACTACACAGAGGAGCGATTCACCCGGCGGTCAGCCACCTCTGCTCATGTCGGTGCGGTAAATAACAGCTGTGACATATTTTTCATTCTCTCCCAGGTGGAAGATTTAGATATCAAGTCATGAGTGCTGCATGTGTGGTGCTAATGTGCAGCATGTGTGCATTGCGGTGTGTGGAGACGGGGCTGAGCAGGTTTGCTCACTTTAAGTGTGTTTGCTCTGCGTGTGACGCTCTTCTCCCCAGCTCTCTCGGCTCCCGGGTCAGTCCTTGCCAGTTTGACAGAGTCGTGACCTCCTGATGTTTGATGAGAAAATAAGTCGGTTTCTGGGTTCGAGTCTGTGTTGCACAATCACAACACAGGCTGGTTTCCTCTCTCCTTATCTGAGGGATGGATAGATCTCTGTGAGTGAGTGAAAAAGAGTCGAGTCAAGACCTTTTTTTTTTGTTTTAACTGCTGTTAGCTGGAGAAAGTATGTGAGAAAAGTGCTGATGGCACTCTGGCCGTCTTCCCAGCAGTGACTGTGGCATTGGTGTCCTCATACTGTAATTTATGGTGGCTGCGGTTCCGTCCTCGCCGGAGCAGATCCAGAGGGCAGCATCTGAGCCCAGTAATATCCTCAAGCTGTAAACCTGAGAATCAGAAACCGAGCAGGGAGAGCCGGAGAGGGAGCGTGAGAAAAACGCTGAGCAGAGCGCTCATTACAGGCAGCCTTTTCCTTTTTTTTTCATGCATTTCCTCCTTGTACTTTTCTTCCTCTGCAGCACACATAGTTGCTTTAATTACATATAATCTGCTATCGAGGAGATCTTCGGCAATTTGTGTCCGAATTTTTGGGGCATTTTTGGGTTCCCACTGTATGATCGCGGTGGAGATTGCTGCTCCGAAATGCGTAATGTAGGACGGTGCATTCCTCTGGAACAACGAGCTAAACTGAGGAAACAAAAAGATCATTTTCAGCAGTAACTCTGCTCTCAGTCTTGATTGTAGGGATGTCCCAATCAGCTTTTTAGGCCCTTAATCCAATCTGTTTAACACTGGGTATTTACCAAAACAGAGTCCTTTTACCGATGCTGAGATGATAGAGCTGATTATGGTGCCGTCACTGAAGTAAACTAATTAATGTCGTCTGGAAAACAGGCTCAGAACGGTGTTTTGATTTAGTTAAACTTGAAGATTCAGTCACAAAAATGGACAACAGGACGTCCAAAAGTCAACGAAAACTAGTTTTCTCTACTAGGACATGTGCTGGTTGTCCAAAGCGACGACTTCAACCAACTCCTCCATCATTTTTTGCCTCTTGGCTTCTCTCGGGGGAAATTTAACCACCTTATCAAAGTTCAGAGGGTGTCACTTTGGCGCAGCAGTCTCTCCTAAATCCAACGTTGAATCAAAAAGGTCGATTTCCACGTAGGTCTTCATGGATTTAGATTTGGTTGAATTGACTAGTTGCCCCTTTGGATATCTAATTAGTATTTTGTTTTTAATTTTAGTGCCTCCTTGTATCAGAGAGTCATGTCAGTGGAGATATTTCAGATAAAGCTGAACCCCCACCCTCCTCCCTCTGCTGCACGTCTTTTTTGTCCTGCGTTGTCTTTAATTGTTCTTCTTGCTGTTTCCTTTCATTTGGATCCATGTTAAGCACATTAATTAAAATGCTTCCACTCTGTTGACATCTGAATTTAAAACAGCTGATGTAAAACGCCCTGATTGTCTCGTAATCAATGTTTCTTCTGCGCAGACGGGAGGCTGATAGAGAAAGCCTCTCACTCCGGGATGATCAACCCCAGCCCACAGTGGCAGAAGCTGACCCACAACGGTCCCGTAGCCCAGTTCGAGTACCAGATCCGGGTCAGCTGCGACGAGCACTACTACGGTTTCGGCTGCAACAAGTTCTGCCGGCCCAGGGATGAGTTCTTCGGGCATTACACGTGCGACTACAACGGAAACAAGACCTGTCTGGAGGGCTGGTCTGGACCTGAGTGCAACACAGGTGAGCCCTGCTGAACCAGCAGCATGAGATCACCGTAGTTGTGGAAATAGTGATCCAGCTCCAGACAGTCAGATTAGGATTCCTGCCTCTGAATGAGTCGTCCAAAAACGAGCAGCCAGACTGTAATCAGTGATTCATGCTGATACACTGTCTGTTGCATTGAGCAGAATCAATGGAGGGCTTTGTTTGTAAGTCGAACAGCATTTTTCCTCTTTCCTTTTCCATTCAATTCAAGCTTTTTATGGCCCTCTATGAGCAGAAATAAACTCACATTCCCAGGAAATCAGGCCGGGCAGCAGCGGAGTCCGTATTTAATATTTTATTGTGTCGCATGTCAGAGCGGGCTGGGTTTGTTTGCGGACAGCTGTGTTTATATTCTCAGGCTGTAAGGAAATAGAGGGTGGTAATTATATCATTTAGTGCTATGATTAAAACAGCTTAACGATTATAACAGCTGAAAAATGGAGCTAAGTTTGAACCGGGCTGTGACGTTTCTCCCTCCTCTTCTTCTTCCTCCTCCAGCGATTTGTCGACAAGGCTGCAGCACCGAGCATGGATCCTGCAAGGAGCCGGGAGAATGCAAGTAAGTGACTGAGGCTGCTCTGTTATCAATGAGCGCGCTCTGTTTTGAAAAATGTAAAATGTCAAAAATTCTTGTTCGAGCGCCTCTTTTATTATGGGAGCGGTTGCCAGGAGCATGTGGTGTGGATCATTTAGATATGTAGGGATTGTGTCCAAGCACTCATTCTGTCATGGCATGGATCTCTCCCTGTACGTGCCTGCTTCTCCGGCCAAGAGGCTATCAGAGCTTCTGGCTTTAGCCGAGATGCTTGTAAATCTCCCTCGTGGAGCTCTGGACCCGGTCTGAGGAAAGCAGGGTCTCCTCCAGCCAAGAGTCCATGTTAAAAATGCAGCTGACGTGTTTCCATCTAATGAGGCGAACGTTATCAGTCCGATCGTGTGTAACGTTCGGATGAGCGTTAAAGTGAACTGTTTGTGTAGCTAATGGCTTCCTAATGCTGTTTATGCACACAGCCAGAGGAAAAGCCGCCGCAGATGGATATCAGAGCCGGGGCATTGTGTGCGAGTCACACTTACATCTCCTCCTCATCCTGGAGGAGGCCCCGAACCGCCCGACGCACACTTAGTTTCAGCCTGACCCACTTTTACCAGATGTTGGAGACCTGAAAGACCCGACCAATTACAGCTGATATTGATAGATTTAACACACCAACAGAGTGGGAACCTCCTAAAACTCAACTTAAGGTTACAAAAACATCACAGACAATAGAGAGAATCGGCCAAATCTGCAGACCAGTGCTGGACAGTCTTCAGGGTTTCCCCAAAGTTAGATAGCGGGTCATAAATATTGAACATGTGTGATATTTATCGACCACAATGTTCTTCCAAACAGATGAAAGGAGGAAAAACCGCTCCAAACATCCCAGAAAAACCAAGAGAGATTTGGGAGTAACAACCCTTATTTTTCTCTCAATCTGTTGCTTTTTGTCGGCCATGTTGACTGACCCACATTGGTCCTTGTCATTGGCATAATACCCACTGAGAGAAACACCAAGGAGTTGTTTTTCATGCCTGTTATCCTGCAAGGAAGCAGTCTTGTTGGGAAAGCATTTTGCATTATTCACCCTAAAATTATTCCGTCTAGAAAAAATAAGGAGTAAAAAGTTGTGAGGAGACGGTAAAGAAATCTCAAACTCCTCCACAAGTCCAGTCAGACAGTTTTTGAAGATCCTGACTTCCCTCCTCTGCTGGATTTTCCCACAGTTCAGTCATCAGCTGCTCCGTTTGTCTGATTCACTCATAAATCATCTCACAGACGATCAGGTTTGCTCATTTTCTGCTGCAGCTTTGTTGTCGTTCCCAAGCCTCTGACATCACCGCTTTTCTTGTAAGTGCTTGTGTGTCACAAAACAAGAGAGTGAGTGGCTTTATTCCCCGCACAGGTGTGGCTATATTTAAAGCTCAGGGTTTAACTTGTTTTAGATGCGCTCTGCCGCTGCTCAATGATGGGAAACTTCTCCCTCGTACAGTAGCAAAGCTGGCTCGGAGGGTTTTCTGGCAGAGGTGAACAACAAAGGTACATAGCAACGTCAGCGTCAGGTTAGGGCAGCTACCTGGTTACTAACGTCATGTCAGCAGAACCACAAATACAGCTCAGAGTTAATAATGACAGCCTCAACTTTGACCTTTTTAACAAAGAGTTTAAAAAAACATCAAATGGAAAACCACAAAGTACTGTTCCTTTAAGAGATGTCTGAGGTACGGTGGCCCTGAGAGTCAACTGCACAAACATTTCACTCAACATAAAAGAAAACATTTAATGAAAATAAAAATTTCACTAAAGAAATTGACAGAATGGAAACACATTAACTATATGTGGAAGAAAAACTGTTTGAAAAAAACATGAAAAAAACACGAATCAATGACATTTAAAAAAAAAGAGAAAAAAAGTGCAAATAAAAAGAGATCTGTAAAAAAAATTTTTACTGATTTTTTAAAATTTATTTGCACATTTTTTATTTTATTTTAATCAAGAGTTTTGCATTATGGGAAGTATTAGTGAGTAGATGGATTTTTTTTGCTTGGTAAAATATTTTATTTCTTTATCTTTTTTGCACATTTTTGATTTTCTTTAATTGTCTTGTGGCTGATTTTTGCTCTCTGCAAAGTATTTAATTTTTTAGTTTATTTGTTTTGTGAAATATTTTGTGTGTCATGACATACTTAACATTTGCCAATATTTTTTAATTTTATGAGAATTTTTGGCATTCAGTCATTGTTTTGTTTTTTGTTTTTTTTCATCCCTCGAAATGACTAAATAATTTAGCTTTTTTTTTTTTCATTTCTGAAACACATTTGCATGTTTGACTTTTTTAAGATACATGAAATCCATAAATTGTTTTTGCATTTCCTGAAATATTTCTGTGTCTGTGTTTGAAATGTTTCTGCATGTAGGGAAGTTTTTTGGGGGTCATGAAATGTTTGTCCGTTTGACCCTCAGGGCCACCGTACTGGCTTCATGTTCAGAGTTTAAATCTGTGCATCAGCCGCAGAGCAGTGCAGTGATTTGGCGCTGTAATAAGTGAAAATGATTAGAGATCCTGCGGAGGAATCTTGCTCCGCTTCTCATGGAGAGGATTAGCACACTTTTAAGAATAGCCTCTTTAATCACAGACCGAGGTTTACTTAACCGCCGCGTTTATTTTTACAGTCCGTCCGTTTCTAAAGGCTAATCAGCGCTGCGCTCCCCCTCAGGGACATAGTTTCCTGTCACTAGACTCCAGAGCAGAAACTGCCGGGCCACCTCGCCACCTTTTAAAGAGCTGCTTTATCAGTGAGGCTGGATTGCCTTCTTAATTATGGAGCCCAGGAAAAGAGGGGGGCAGCTTTATCAGTGTAATTATGGACCTGGACTCCTCAGCGGTCAGCAGGCAGGGTTCCCCTCCTCGTCCTCGGGGCACGAGTCTGACTCCTGACTCATGGGAACCAGGATGAGCAGCAGAGAAACAGCCCAGAGGAGGGCTGAACAATCCTCTCTGCGAGGATGCCAAGCCACAGGCACAGAGCTGTTAAAGGGAGCGTCTGGCCGCATGCTAATGTTAGCTGTGCTAAAGGTCCCATTGGAGCCATAATTTAGTGTTTTGTTTTTTTTTCTGTTTGGTAAAATGCTAAATACTCCTCTGGTCTGCTGTGGCCAAGTATTGTTTAAACACTGTTGCATAAACACCCTGCTACTTAAGATTCATTTGTGGTCTTTTAAGACGCAGCCCAGTTGTGTGGGCCTGAATACTGCCTCTTTGTGCGGCTCCATGCTGTATGCTAATGTGCCGTTCATTAAGTTCAGATTATCGCTGTGCTGCTTGTGGAGGAATTTGGAATAAACAGAAGATTAAGATATTAGCATTTTTGGTACCACAGGGATTATTTGACCCCGCTGTGATTGTTGTGATGTTACCTGTGTGATCTGTGTGTCCCATCTGAAGCTGACCTGTGTGTTTGTGTTTGTGTGTGTGTTGCAGGTGTCTGTATGGCTGGCAGGGCCAGTACTGCGACAAGTGCATCCCCCACCCCGGCTGTGTTCACGGCACCTGCGGGGAGCCGTGGCAGTGCCTGTGCGACACCAACTGGGGCGGCCATCTTTGCGATAAAGGTTAATTCCCATCTCTTATTTCAGTGTCGGCGTCTGTGGGAGCAGCTGTGTTGTGTCAAAACAAAACTAAGGCCGTGTGAATCGCTCCTTTTCACAGATCTGAACTACTGCGGCACTCACCAGCCATGCCTGAACGGAGGGACGTGCAGCAACACAGGACCTGACAAGTACCAGTGTACCTGCGCTGAGGGCTACTCTGGAGCCAACTGCGAGAGAGGTGAGCGTCAGTGATCCTCGGCGAGATAATTCCTTCATGATGGCTTCATATGATTTCACTCGCAACACTGAGAGGCGTTCTCGCCGCCTGCTGTCTGATTCTTTTTTCGGTGTAATCTCTGAAAAGTCTCCGAGCTTTGAGAGAAAACAGCATTACTTAATCGCCTGAGCATGCGAGCGGGCCGAGCTGTGGTGCTCGTCTGAAAACCGCTCACACTGGTTAGATTGAAAATACTTCTCAGCACTGTTATTGTCCCTGTGGGGAAATATGTTTTGGGCTGGAGCGCGGCACACATTTGGCTGACTCATAGGTGGTATTTATAAATAATAAAAAACATGTAAACAACAGAGTAGCACATACCGATCACCACCGCAAATTACACATTACAGATGTCCCCGTTACACATACCACACAACAATGAAGAGCGATAAGAGATAAGACCACCATGGAGGTATTGCTCAACATGGGATATATGTAATGTTTTGCTTGGGGAAGTTTTTAAACCGGTTCAGTTTACCCCGAGTTACTCTGAATGGAGAATACGAGATAGATCTGACAATATCGTCTCTGTCTTCATCAGAACAGGCTGGTTTTAACTCTTGCCAAGTTTCACCCACTCAGATCTCATCTGCGTAAACGGAGAGGGAGGAGTGATGCAACAGCAGGTTCTCTGTAATGATTGACCAGCAGTTATCCTGATGAAAACAGAGGGAAACAAAGCCCGCATGCTAACGCTAGAGAAAGTATAAGAGATGCTCTTCTCGGTTAAAGTCGATGTTATTCAGTCATAAATGCAGTTTACCTGCTGTTAATGTGAATTGTGAGGTTTTTTTAATGGAAAAATTCAGCAGAGACTTGAATTTAAAGCTGTCCTGGACTAGCTCTCTGTATGTCATTGACCTGAGACTAACCGAGGAGCTGCAGGAACCATGTGGCAGTTTTGGTTTAGAGAGAGGACCCCAGCCTAAAAATGACATCATGGATATTTGCCACCTGGAGTAAAAATAAAGGATTCACTCCCTCAGGGTCTCAGATTCACGCTCACACCTCTAATAGGAGGGAGGTCTTCAGTTTCCTGAGCTTCCAGACAAAAGGTCAGCGGTGCCCTGAGTTTGTAATCAGAGGAGGTGGTAACTCGGCGGTAATCTGTTTCCACTTCAGCGTGAGTGGCCCCTGAGTCAGGTAATCCAGCGGTTTGATCCTCGGAGGCCGCTCATCCCGCCGCTCCTCCGCCTTTGGAGACAGGCGGCTGTTGTGCGAAGGTTCAGCTGCTGCGAACACTTACGGTGGAGATGATGGTTTTTCCTCATTAAATCTGAGCCTCGCGGGGCGCTGACAGCTTAACTGCAGAGATGTCAGGAAACCGTGCCCTTCCAAACAGGAGGTCCTCGGACGAGGGGAGACGTCAGCCCTATTGTAACGCCGAGGGCCTCAGGGTGCAGCTCTGCATCCACCCCCCACCCCACCTCATCACCGCATACCGAAAACTGTCCGCTGATCACCTCCAACCGCCAAGTGAATCATTCATTTTTGATTCATTTGGGACCCACTCAGCCTTAACTCGTGCATAAAGGAAAAACTGTGGGGCAGACGGTGCACCCCCCCGCCCATCTCCCGCTCGCCCTCCCGCCTCTCTCTCATCTTGTGCCGCCTCTCAGAAGAAGAATGGCGGGGAGTCAGAGGGAAGTCACGGTGCGTTGGTCAGGTCAACTTAGCATGAAAGATGATTTCCTGGTGGTGTGGTCTGCCGGGCGGGTAATGAGAGTGAGATGGGGTCGGGGGGGATTTTTGAGCGGGCTTTCAGGACGGGAGAGGAGGGAGGGTGGAGACGGGTGAGGACAGGAGATGACCCCTGGGTGTGTTCTCCTGATAGAGGTCCTGAGTGAAGGACTGGGAGGTGGATGTGCACGTTTGCATCTGGTCTGGTGCAGAAATAGGATCTTTCTAAATGTAAGACAGATAACATCCAGTCTCTGTTTCCTGCCATGATTTCAAAAATCCTCTTTGTGGTTCTAGCGGAGCACGCCTGCCTGTCCAATCCCTGCTCGAACGGAGGAACCTGCTCAGAAACCAGTCAGGGCTACGAGTGTCAGTGTGCGCCGGGGTGGAGCGGCCCCTCCTGCACCATCAGTAAGATTACACCAGACCTCAATCCCTCAGATGTCAGAAGTCTTATGGAGAAAATCATGTAGAATAACCCGAGTTTTTTTTTCTCTCTCTCTGCTCAGATGTGGATGACTGCTCTCCAAACCCCTGTAACCACGGGGGAACGTGCCAGGATCAGGTCAACGGCTACAAGTGCGTCTGCCCCTCTCAGTGGTCAGGGAAGACATGTCTGATCGGTGAGCCTCTTTTCCTCCCTCCACCACTTCACGCCTGTCAGCTGCACATGCAAATGCCTCCAACACCCCCCTTTCTTTTTTCTTTTTTTTTTCCTCTCTAGATGCCAACGAATGTGAGGCAAAGCCTTGTGTCAATGCCAACTCCTGCCGCAACCTGATTGGTGGATACTTCTGCGAGTGTATTCCTGGTTGGACGGGGCAGAACTGCGACACAAGTGAGTCGAAGGCTGTCAGCTGCAGCTGTGGACCCGAACACATGTCCAGCTCCTGCTTTTTTTACTCCTGTCCTTCTGTTCGTCGGGTTTTAAAGCTGTCATATGAAGGAAATAATGAGACAAGTGCAGCCTTTCCCTCCTCCCTGCGAGTAAATCTGCTGTCTCATTATTAGGCCTGTGTGTGGCCAAGGCTGTGGTGATTAGAGGTGGCTCAAAACAATCCCAGGACTAGTTTCGCTTGGCAGCAGACAGGATTGCTCAATACTCTGAGTTGCACTGATTCTGCTGCCACGTTATCCAGCTCGCTCTCTCTCTCTCTTTCCCTCTGACCATGTTTTTAAAGGCCCCTAGCATGGGAAACATAAAGCACAGACTTGTTTTCAAAGACAGCCTATTTGGTCAAGCCGTTCAGAATTAATCCTCCGATTTGTTTTCTTGTGCAGATATAAATGACTGCAAGGACCAGTGCCAGAATGGAGGGACCTGCAAGGTACGTGCAGCTTTATCTGGCCTGTTTGTTTGCTCTGTTATCTTTGAGTCCAAGCCTGAGACATGTACGCTGGTTTTTATAAATAGCTGCGTTAAAGAGTTTTCTCCAAACCGACTGGAGTTGTTGTGGAATTCCTCCCTGAAATCAAATCCAAGGGGAGCGGGTTCAGAGGGGTTTCTGTAGGAGGGGCCCGGAGCTTCTTGACCACACTAGATTGAATTACCATCAACATTATTGTCTTGAGTCGCTGCCAGGAAAATGTGTTGAAATAATTGCCGAGCTGTGATAATGTTCCCCGTCCTCGCTCTTTGTCCTTCTCTCTGGTTTGACAGTTATTGTTTGGACCCCACCCTGTCAAAGCAGTCGCTCAGATCTGAGGTAAACTTTACTTCCTGTCTTTTCAGGATTTGGTAAACGGCTACCGATGCGTGTGCCCACCCGGCTTCGCTGGCGAGCACTGCGAGAGGGACATCGACGAGTGCGCGAGCTCGCCGTGTCTGAACGGAGGGCGCTGTAAGGACGAAGTCAACGGCTTTCAGTGTCTCTGTCTCGCCGGGTTTTCTGGAAATCTCTGCCAGGTAACGACGCTCCACAAACTACAACTAGTGATGACTGATTTAAGTCTTTTGAGTTTGGCGTGCAGTAGGGCTGGGCGATATGGCCTCAAATCAATATCACGATAAATGGACGATAACTACTCCACATGCTGCTCACCCCCTCCCACATTAACTTTGTCTACTTCAGCTGCTACAACTCTTGAACCGTAGGACAGCGTCTTAAAGGGACATGAGACTATAGCCGACCTACACACATCCAAAAAAAACCTTTTATTTATTTATCTATTTTTGACACTAAAAAATGGGCGAAAAGACGTTGGTTATTGTCGTAAATTTCAGTATCAATAAATTTTCGGTTTATCGCCCAGCCCTACCATAAATGACTGTTTTAACACATTTGAGTGTTGTGTACAGTGACCAAAAATGGTCGTATCGAACATGTCAGGGAGGTTTAAACTCAGTTAAGTCGTCATGGTGACATCGCCACGCTCTGATACTTGACTTTGACGAGCCTCAGCTCTCTGGAGGTGGCCCTGGATCTGTCCTAAAGCGTCTCCTGTGCAGCCAGCTGAGGACATGAATCCAGAACAGCATCCTCCCTGCTCCCCCTTTTTCCCTTCATTACTGTATCTTTGGGTTTGTTGTAAAGTTTCCCTGCCTGCCCCACCCTCCTCCTCAGCTCCTCGGCTGTTGTTCCACAGTCCTCCTTTTAAAAAGGGAGTGCTTTGTTGAAGCTGCTCCTGGCTGCAGCGGGATACATTCCTCAGCGCTGAAGCCCAGACTCAGAGGACGGCTCCCATGTCTCTGCCTTGTTTTTCCCCTCCGTCTGAGCGCCGTGCGTGTGTTGTTTCCTGGCACGGCCTGCAGGGAGGATGCTGTGGGTTTTGCTCTGTTTAGTGTAGCAGAAACTATGTCAGCTATCAGGTTCACCGCTCTCTATTCAATACCTCTATTCTGTCTCAGCTGGATATCGATTACTGCTCGCCCAACCCCTGTCAGAACGGGGCGCCCTGCTTCAACCTGGCCACCGATTACTACTGCGCCTGCCCGGAGGACTACGAGGGCAAGAACTGCTCCCACCTCAAAGACCACTGTCGCACCACCACGTGTAAAGGTACGCCTCCGTCCTGCAACAACCACAAACTCTTTCACTTTTTCCACAAAGAATAAGGCCAGAGTTTCTCCTGCCCACATTTCTCCCACGAGGGTCATACCTGTTCTTTAGTTTCCCGCTCTTGGCCAAGGTGAGCAGGTTTCTTAAAGTGATGAATGCCCCCCTCCGTCTCTTTAGCCGAGCTTTTCCACTGATTCTCCCTCTGAGCTCCTTGAGAATCTGGCAGAAGGCTGATAGCGCTGTGTGTGTTCTCTCGGTAATGACTTGGTGGGCTACCTCTTCTTTTTCCCCCTCAATGAGCGTGCACATTTTTCTGCGTCTGTGTCTGTGAGTGTGTGTAATTGAGTGAGTGGACCAACCACAGAGTCAGATAGCAGAGGGCGAGATTCTCTCTCTCTCTCTCTCTCTGGGCAAGAATTAAGTGATTACGGGGGAGCGAATTCGGCCCGCTCCTCTAACCTGATCAGACAGGGGGAAAGAAGGGATTTCAGCGCCGAGAGAGCGAGGGAGATCGCTCTCAATTGCTTATGAAAGCATAAAAGCTTATCGCCCTTTTCTTTCGTCGTTTTTAAAAATTAGACTCATCGGGGAAGAGAGAGTCAGCGTAAAAACACGTAACATCTGATTCTGCCTCCTCTTTGCAGTGATTGACAGTTGCACAGTCGCCGTCGCCTCGAACAGCACGCCGGGAGGAGAGCGTTACATCTCCTCCAACGTGTGCGGACCTCACGGGCGCTGCAGGAGTCAGGCAGGGGGACAGTTCAGCTGCGAGTGCCAGGAGGGCTTCAGAGGGACCTACTGCCACGAGAGTAAGACTCAGACACACAAAGTCAAACGCAAAAACATGAGAGGGTGGAGGACTGTAAGGCAAATAAAAACAAGATCTGTGAAATCAGGCGCCGAGCAGAAATGAGCGAGGGATGATAAAACTTTGAATCGTTTCAGACATCAACGACTGCGAGAGCAACCCGTGCCGCAACGGAGGCACCTGCATCGACAAAGTCAGCGTGTACCAGTGCATCTGCGGCGACGGCTGGGAGGGCGACCACTGCGAGATCAGTGAGTGTGACCTCGGAGCAAACCCTCATGTGACTGTTTGATTCATGCGCCGGGATAATCATCCCCGTTTGATGTTTTATGATGCGTTCGATGCGCCGCGCATTAATCACTCGCCCGTTCAATGTCTCCACCAGACATCGATGACTGCAGCACCAACCCCTGTCATAATGGCGGGACGTGTCGAGACCTGGTGACTGATTTCTTCTGCGAGTGCAAGAATGGCTGGAAGGGAAAGACGTGCCACTCCCGTAAGAGCCCTATTTTAGTTTTTTCCACGCCCGTGTAGTCTGTCTGTGCAGGCTCATGGTATGTGCTGATGGCTGTATATAATTACCCAATCTTCTTCTATACTGTATGAGTGTGTTGATTCAGACCCGCTAAGATTTTAAACGCTCCCTCCAGGCGAGAGTCAGTGCGATGAGGCCACATGCAACAACGGAGGCACCTGCCACGACGAGGGCGACACCTTCCAGTGCAAGTGTTCCCCGGGTTGGGAGGGTACGACGTGTAACATAGGTGAGTCACAGGATCACGGCGGTTGGGGTTTGATGTCTGACAATCATGCACACACACACACACACACACACACACACACACACACACACACACACACAGAGAAAATTGCTCTGTGGGAGAGCTCCGTCTTGTCTGGGATATTAATCAGATCTGTCAGATCTGAGAGGTCCACAAACAGATTTTATCCTCTCGCTCTGTCAGCGCTCCCTCCCCTCCCCGTCCCTGTGTTCGCCCATTTCTCCCTCTCCTGTGAGTGCTGACAGATATCCGCTTAAAATCCCTGATTGCACTGACAATGCACTTCAAAGCGGAGGAATGCAGATTCCCTCGGAGAAAAGGAAACCCCTAAAGAAAAAAGACGGTGCAGCAGCAGTCTCCTGTGACCGTTTTAAGGTTTACGAGCTCTGATTTGACTGATAATCCTCTTTAAAGTTCAGGAAAAAAAAAAACACTTTTTTTTTCTACTTTTCAACAGCTAAGAACTCCAGCTGTCTTCCAAACCCCTGCGAGAACGGAGGTACCTGCGTGGTGACCGGGGAGTCGTTCACCTGCGTCTGCAAAGAGGGCTGGGAGGGTCCCACGTGTACGCAGAGTAAGTGCAACTCAAAGAGGGGGGGGAGAGGATGGGATAAAGGGGGGAGGGGGGGGACAGTTATTACTATTAAAGGATGATAAAGCTCCTGCTACCAAGAGCAGAGGTGAACTCCTGCATCTGATTAAAGCCCACTCCTTCATCTTTACCTTCTTTTCTGATTTAATCTCCCCCCTCTCCCCCCTGGCTGCTGCCGGCCATGAGAGGAGAAAGAAAAGAGGAGGAGGAGGGGGGAGAGGGGCTCAGGAAAGTGGAGACAGATGTTTCTCCCCCCTCCACACCCCTCTCTCTCTCCCCTCTCGTTGCATTCCTGTCCAAACAGTGACATGTCGGCTTGTTCTACAGCTCTCCTCTATTTCCCTCCACACTTAGATCCTCCAAAAACAGAAATTCCCCGGCTTTTGTAAAACGAGGAGGGAGGGGGGGAGTGTGGGTGAGGAGGTGTTGTAGGAGGCGAAATGAGGGGAGCTGTGTTTCATTTCTGAGGGTGAGAGTCGACATGATTGTTTGCTCGGTTTTGTTAATAAGGCAGAGTAATCGTGCAGCGCGGCGTCCAGGCCCGACCGGCCCAACACGCCTCTGCACACGCAAGCCCAGACGTGCTCTCTGTCGTCATGTGCACTAAACATGAGAGAGAAAACCCAACACACTCACTCACTCTCTGTCTCTGTATTTTTCTCTCGCAGATACCAACGACTGCAGTCCCCACCCATGGTAAGTGGAAGCCAAACATTTCCTGTAGATTTGGACCGATGTAAACAGGCAGCTCCTCCTGTGTCAGAGTTTCTCACCTGCAGGCTCTCTCTCTCTCTCTCTCTCTCTCTGGTTCTCCGTGTGCTGAGAACCAGGCTCAGGCGTGCACCCCTCCCTGTCATTCCTGGGATGCAATCAGCTCGCTCTCTTTTGTGAACTCCCGGGCGCGACTTTTATTTAACCACACACTGCTGCAGCTACACTCCCAAACACTCGCACACTTGTTTCATAAAGAGAACGAGTCTGATTGCCTGAATTGGCGTCAATAAACTGTTATTATGGGTAGACTGGTGAGAAAATCCCAGCTGAAGAGGCGTGATAGAAAAGAGGCACGAGAGGTGAATCTGTGCCACAAGCCTGGAGGAGAAAACGGAGTCTGACGAGAGCAGCCGTCACAAACCAACAAATCGACGATAAATAATTATCCGTCCTGTATTTATACCGTCTGACTTAGCCCTCCTCCAGGTGCAAATATAAACAACATTAATACTTTCCAACTGCTCTTTTAGCTGCTTTTCTACCACAAGTAGCATATACTTCATTTCAAAATAAAAGCATGTTATCACAACAAAGGGTGCAAAATGATCAAGCACAAAAAAATCAAATGTTTATCCTGTCTAACTGCTCCTTAGCCTTTTTCGCTCCGTTCTGTTACCAGAAGAAGCTTGTATGTAATTTCAAAATAAAAGCATGCTATCACAACACAGGGAGCAAAGCAAACAGCTTCTAAATATATATGAAAAGTTTCTACTTTCATTCTATTCCTTCAGCTGTTTTCACTCAGTTCTACTACCTACAATCTACCAGGAGAAGAATCTATGCAATTTCAAAATAAAAGTACGGTTCTACAATACAGGAATTAAGAAATCTAAATGCAGGATTGTGCAAATATTAAATTAAGAGCGTCAAAAACAATCTTCAACTCAAATAGCACATATCATGTCAACTTTCTAACTCATGGAAGTTGTATGCATGCATTTCAAAATAAAAGCATGCCTTTGTAATACAGAAAACAAAGCAGCCTGAGCCTAAATAACAAACATGTCAAAATAAAAGCACAACAACTGTAGATACTACAGATTAAAGTGAGGGACTCTATCTAGATCCCAAAAAACATCTTTCAAAATAAAAGCATGTCTTAACAATATAGGTAACAAAGCAACTTTAACCGATGACAATACAAACCTCAAAATAAAATCTTCAAAACATTCATTATATAATTTAACACACGTTGAATGAGCTCGTTTAAAGCTGTGAGTATCGGCTATAAACGCAGGAAGAGACAACAGATGAACAGTCTTCCTTTCCTGCCAGTTGGAGAGAATTTTGCCATCATAAAAATGTTCATAAAGGGTGTTTATGAAGCGTGTGTAGTGTAAAATCATATGAAGGAGAAGAGTGTGGTTTTGAGTTTAATTACACGTCTCCATCATCGCTGAAAGATAACCCTCAGCATCATTAAACCTCGATTAAAGTCATTTGTGTGAGCTAGTAAAGTTTATGAACTATCGCGTCGCTCCACCCTTAATCTGACTGATAGTGATTATTGTTTTACAAGCTTTCCATAAATATTTCAGTTTTGGCTCCAGCTCTCATGAGTCTAACGCATCTTCTCTGTCTCTCTGCAGCTACAACAGCGGCACCTGTGTGGACGGGGATAACTGGTACCGCTGCGAGTGCGCTGCAGGCTTCGCTGGTCCAGACTGTCGGATCAGTGAGTATTAACCCAGCCTCTTACTGTTCCATCTCTAAGTCCAGGTACAAGCCGCAGGACCGTCACTGGCGGCCCAAATGGAAGGTCTAGTCGGCCAATTATCTGCGCAGTGGGCTACAGGCCAGACCGAGCCATTTCAGTGTCACTCCGCCGGGCCCTGATGCTGTCCCCGGGGGAAACCGGCTTAGCGAGCCAGCAGCTAATCAGCCGTGCTCTCTGACACTGATTACACAGATTGTTTTGCCTCTTAAAGGCTTTCAGATGGCCACATTCTTTCCCATTGCAGAGCCTTTGTTCTGCTAAGTCCAGCCTTCAGCTCCTGCATACCTGCTAATGATGCTGCCTTTAATAAAGCTGCATGGGGCAAAGCGTCCCAGGCTGATTCAAAGCATATTTGCTTGTTTTTATTAACTGCTTTCTGTGTGTGTGTGTGTGTGTGTGTGTGTGTGTGTGTGTGTGTGTGTGTGTGTGTGTGTACTCTTCAAATGACACATGACCCCAGTGAATTAGATTTGTGTGCCAACTGCTTAACCTGCTATTAGTGTCCCGTCCGCCTGCGCTCTCAGTCTAAATGGAGTTGTTTCTTTCCTCTCTCTCTCTCTCTCTCGCGCTCTCTCTCTGTCTCTCTCCCTCTCCTTCTCCCTCTCCCTCTCCCTCTCCCTCTCTCTCTCTCTGCCACAGATATTAACGAGTGCCAGTCCTCCCCCTGCGCCTTCGGCTCCACCTGTGTGGACGAGATCAACGGATATCGCTGCCTGTGTCCACCAGACCGGACTGGACCCCACTGTCAAGAAGGTACGAGTCTTTACTTCCTGATAAAGGACAATTCCACTCAAATAAAGCATCTCCTCTGGATTCATCAGTCCTAAACTCTCAGTGCATGTTAAGTAGATGTCTTTCCATTGTCTGCAACTTTAAAAGAAAGCTGTGGATTGACTCTTAACTTGTTTTAATGGAAAACTCTTGATTTAATACCTTTTAGGCATTGCACATAATCATGATAATGTCACCAGACGGTTGGGAATTGGCAGGACAGTCATGTAGAGATGCATCAGGATATCTGATTATTTTAGTTTAGTTTAGTTTATTAAGGATCCCCATTAGTCTAGTCTAGACTATTCTTCCTGGGGTCCAGGCAAAAAACATCACACAATCACAAAAACAAATCATACAATGCAGTACAGCATGATCAATAATAAAATTTTATAATACAAAAATAGCAACAATAAGCAAAAAAACCAATGACTTAGAGTTTACATAATAATGTTCATACCAAAGATAAAAAAGAGCAATATAAAAATATATTTTTTAGCAGAAATAAAACAAAGAACCAAAGGCCTACAATATCCACATTAGTGTACCAAAGACAAACAATATTCTAAGTGATGAAAAAGTACCATAATGAATAAAATATGACATAAAGTACAGACAAATCAAGATAATATCAATATAAAAACGAAAACCAGATCAGCACCAATGAGGAGTCTTGAAGTTTCGTTGTTGTGGGTTAAATGTGAAGGAAACCTGCTCAGAGCAGCAAAAATAATTGTCAATTTTTGGCACCAGTGATGCTTTACTCTGCCAGTAGCTAATTCTGATGGAACTTTGAACCTTAATTTTATTGAATATGTGCCCTTTAAGATGAAATACACGTTTGAACTACTCTTTAATGCACATTTGCATACAGCTGCCTCGAAGTATTAAACCAGATGTGCTCACTCTTGACTTTGTTCTTTTTACCTGTTTAGTTTTCTTAGTTTTATTCACAAAAAGCACAAAATAACCTCATGTTAAGCCGTCTTCATGATGCATGTGTCTAATCCTGTGATTGTATCCGACTCAGTGACGAGGAAACCCTGCTCTGTTAACGGACACGTCACCCCTGATGGAGTCAAATGGGACGAAGACTGCAACACGTGTCACTGCGCCAATGGGAAAGTTGTGTGCACGAAGGTAAGAGCGAACAGACCGACTCTGCCAACTCTCTGGGCGATGTAAAAACTGAGGTTTTTATGGGGTCTCTGCACAGCTGTGAGGACCATGAAGTCATTGTTGACTAATAGGAGAAGCTTAACCAGGCAGTAAACAGTGATTTTAAAGACTCGAAGGTTGTGTGGGCGACTCGATCCTCGGAAGAGTCAGTGTCGCAGGGTGGAGCCGGTTTGGGAGTGTCGGGTTCGATACAGAGATGATGCAGCTTGTTTTGAAAGGAAGCACAATGGCTGTTTGAAGAAGGTGTCAGATGTCAGTTCAGAGTCTCCCACCGGGTGAAGATGAGGTGATATACAGTAGCCATCATTATTATTCTCAGCAGAGCGCCTGATGAACAATGGCGCCTCTCTGATTCGGCTCCCCTCAGGAGAAAACACATCATGATGTGAACTTGATCTGCAGCTGGAAGGTAAATCGCTCTGATATGGGAACGCAGTAGATCTGCGAGGATTACAGGTACTTTTCACCAGCAGAAATCCGTGTTTCATGCTCCTTGAAGAAGCAGATTTCACATCGTGGAGTGGAGGGAATCTAATCTTTTCAGGGCCGTTACGATCCATGACCAGAGAAATTAAATCAGCGGGTTTTCCCCGACATGTTTACGGCTCAGTGAAGTGCTGAGTCTGTGGAGTCCAGAGTTATCAACACATTCCAGCCAGGAACACGTGAAAAGGACCTTTTTAGACACTTCATGGACATTTACAAATTAAAACAGGGTTACTCGGCTCCCTTTTTCACTCAAAATCTGCTTTTTTAATCTCTGTAAATCGTTCAGAGATTCAAAAATACAGATTTTAAAGAAACTGATGCAGAAAAATGACAGCCAGGCGAGTTTTCGGGGATAAATGATCATTTAATGTACAGTTTGTGAAATTAAAGCATCACTTTCTCTCTTCAGATGTGGTGCGGTCCTACGTCATGCCACCTCGGGGTCAAAGGTCGCAGCGGGTGTCCTTCAGGACAGAGCTGCCTCCCCATCAGGGAGGGCCACTGTTTCGTGAAGCCCTGCCTCGGCTTGGGAGAGTGCTGGCGCTCCAACCCTCCCCCGCCGACGACCAAGTGCCACCCCAGCTCCAGTTTCCAGGACAACAGCTGCGCCAACATCACCTTCACCTTCAACAAAGAGACCATGCCTTCGGTGAGTCACCTGGGCACCGAGGAGATCGGATTTAAGGGTTTATGGGTCACTTTTCACAGCTCTCCTCCAGCAGCACCCGTCCTGAAACGGAGCGGCGAAGTGTGAAAGATCCGATTTTCAGAGCTTGACCAGAACTCCTCCAGAAAAAAAAGCTCCTGAACAATTCAGTCACATGTTGTTACCTATGAAAAGTTTTACATGACTCTGTCTGAATCGATCTTTGACGATAACTCTAACAGATAGAGACCTCCAGCTTTGAGCAGCTGAAAGTTTGACATCCCTGTATCAGAATCAGACGGCTGTAGATCAACACAAACATCAGGAAAGAGGATAAAGACAAACAGGCAGTAACAGAAAAACATGTTTCTTTACATTTTTATATTTCAAGCCTGAAAAAACGTATAAAATCAGCAGAGTTAATGTGGTTAAAAAACAAATGCGCTGTGTTAACGTGCAGAGATCTCGCCGTGGGGCGTCTCTGTTCGCGTAATCCTTTATTTGATCCAAAATAAAAACCACAGGAACTGAAGCAAAGTTTACAAATGTGAAAATGATCCATGCAACATGAAGCTGTACTTCTGATGCAGATTAAATTTTTACAGATTTTCATTCATACTTCCCTTTAAGCCACAGTTGAGACTCTTTAAACTCTGATTTTATGGATTCTAGCAATTTAAATGATTTGGATTTTTTTAAGAAATGACTCTTAACAAAAGCAAAAACATCCTCCGACTCGTTTCTCCTGCAGGATTAAAAGAGCTCGACACGCTCATGGAAGAAAAACCCTGATCTGTCACTTCTCCCCGAGTTTCTTTGTCCAAGTTCTTTGTGTTCCTGAGAATCAGTCGTTCAGGACTCGTCTGCTCCTGCCAGTCCCCTCTTAACCCCACCGCACTTCAAGATTGATTTTTAGGATCTTATGGATTTGAGCTAAATAGGACCACTGGCGACTCTGTCACCACAGAGGATCATCTCACGCCAGCTTCCTAACAAGCATGACAGCAGATAGTGACAAGCATATGAGCCTGTGGTCTTTAATCTAAATGAGGTGGATCCCGACCAGATAGCACGTCACCTCGCTGCCAAAACACGGGCGGTTGTTCTCTTTTCTTCCTGATTGCCCTTTTTTTTCTTTCCATGAGTCTAACATGTGCTTCCTCTGGTGTTCCTGTGCAGAGTCTGACAGTGGAGGGTGTCTGTAAGCAGCTGAGGCGCCTCTACGTGGTGAAGAATTTCTCCTTGGAGCACTCTGTGTCCATAACCTGTGACCCCTCATTCTCAGCCAGCAACGAGATCCACGTCTGCATCGTAAGTACCCGCTCTCCTCCAGCTCCCACTCCGCCATGTGCCAACTGCCTCCATTAACGCATCCTCAGACTCTCCGCTGTGATTTATAGCCTGCAGCATGCATTCTTCACCGCATTAGGACTCCCTCTAATGGGATATGAGCTGGATTTAGGGTTGGTTGTTTTCTGTCATCAGCTGACAGCGAGTAAACATGATCAGTGGCGGCTGGCGATTGAACTTAAACCAACAGATTTCCAACCTGACTTTGTTCTTGGCTTTTCCAGTCGACCGAGGACCATCGTTTGGACCGGAGCCCCATCAAAGAGCTCACAGACAGGATAATCGACCTGGTTAGCAAACGCAACGGGAACAACACCATCATCACCGCCATCGTGGAGGTGCGCGTGCCAAGCCCCAGCAAAACTGGTATGAACCGCCTCCAAACTGAGCCTGTGAAGTGTCTGAGACGTGCACACACTTGCATGTGCAGAAATGGGTGGGAGGATGTTTCTTTTTTTTCTTTGTTGCTTCGCTGAAAAAAGTCAGACTAGATGGAGCCAAGCCCTGAGAAAGACGGCAATGGCAGGCGCTAGAGAGAGAGTGCACGTATGAAAAATCACTCCGAACCCTCCCACATAACTCGGGCCGCCCAGGTCTGCCATCTCATGGAGCTTTAGCAGAATCTAGCCAGGATTTGGATGGAAAGAGCAGAGCTGTTGGCTACGCGGCTTTTTAGATTGGCTCGTCCTGTGACTGGCTGGACTGTGACGAGTCAGACTCCCACATGTGTCCGCCATTCATCAACACAGTGACAGCAGACCGCCGCCACGGCCAAATAGAAGCAGCCTGCGCCTCTGTTCAGGACTCAGAGGTCAGGTTGCACCGGCTAAAGCGTGCTAATGATTTAGCAGCAGGCTGGGTGGAGTAACAGAATTTTAACACTCAGAGTTTTTGTTTCACCTGAAGTTTTAGAGGTCTTATTTACTCAGGAAGTGTCGTTGTAAACATTTCTAATATCAGGTTTACGTTCAGCTTCATTATACCCACTGTCGCTCATTAGCTTCTCTGACCAAGCATGAGCATTTTTAACAGTTACAGATAATAAATGTTGATGACAGATCTCTAATTTTAGCCGTTTGAGTTGAGTTTTAGACATCTCATCTCAACTTTTACCCTTTGGTGTAAATATTCAGCTTTTATCCCACACTGTAGATCGATAACATTACTAAACATTAATATTGTCTATTTCTGAGGATGTTCAAATCTCACTGAGATTGCCTCTTTAAAAGGATGTTTGTGAGCTTCGATTTTTTATTTCCTTTATTGTATGCTTTTATTTTGAAATGGCGTACTTGTTTCTCCCAATAGAACTGAAATGATAATATCTTATTTTTGAGGACTGCTACAGCGAGCTGCTGCTGCTGCTCCTGCGTCTTCTTCATATTTCTCGTTTAATGATGGGTTGCAATCAGCTCAAAATATGGCGACCACGCCATAAAAAGGACAGTTTTTTTTGTCATCACTTGGTTTTCCCAGAAGCCTCGGCGTCATTCAGAGCTTGGAAACATCAGCTAAAGTAGAATTTGCATGCCGGCTACCAGCTTCTATGAAGAGCAGAGCGTGTTGTAACTAATTCTCAGAGCTCTGATTTATTTGCATGCACACAAGATCAAACAGCAAAATCCACTCTAAAGCAGGTAACATTTCCACAGGAAACGAAAAAGAAAAAGAGGAATCAATTTTCGTCATGTTCCTCAGTGAAATCCGCCGGTAAATGTTTCAGGTTTTTTTTCATAAAGTTCCCCACAAGCTAACGCAACAAATACTTTCATCTGATTGAACCACAAAGATGCCGATCAAGCTGACAGACATTTCAGTCTGGCCAACCACAGCCCAAAACTCACTGTCCGTACACGCCCATCTCTACAGCGATTCGACAAATTCAAGTTTGATTGTAGTCGATTCGTTCTGCTAATGTACGGCTCTCAGACGAGGGATTATGCAGGAAATCTGTAACGATTAGCTGAGATACAAGCCTGCGTAGCGCTGCAACTCAAAGCAAGTAGCTGCGACGATGCTAATTGCTAACGCACGGGACGCACAGCGCAGCGAGTCGACCTGTGGGAAACCGGCGATATTGGAGCGCAGCAGGAAACAACAATAAGGTGAGAGAGAAAAAAATGATCAGCCGTGATGGCGGTGATCCAAGAGCCGTTCACATCGACTTCCGTCTTTTTAACAAATCGGGAAATGGCGAAGTGTCGTATGCTTACTTGTTGTAAGTCAATATACCGTCACAAAAGTTTGTAAAATATCACAGAAAGGTTGAAAAGTGATTTTGTGTTGGTTTAAAGTCTGCGCCCTCTCTCTGACCTTCCTTCCTTTGTCTTCACAGACTACCTGGTGCCCCTCCTAAGCTCCATCTTCATCGTCATCTGGGTCCTCGTGCTGGTCTCCATCTTGCTGTGGTGCTTGCGCCGCCGGCGGAAACAGAGCAATCACAACGGGACGACAGTCACCGGCTCGGAGGACAACACCACCAACAACGTGCGGGAGCAGCTGAACCAGATCAAGAACCCTATAGAGAAGCACCTCTCGGTGTCCATCAAAGACTACGAGAACAAGAACTCCATCATTGCCAAAATAAGGACAAATCATCCCGAAGGGGATGAGGACGACAAGGAGAGGCACTTACAGAAGGGCCGCTTTGCCAAACAGCCAGCATACACACTGGTGGAGAGGGACGAGAAGACGCCCATCTCCAACCCCAACTCCACATCCAAAAACCCCAATTGGACTAATAAACAGGACAACAGAGACTTGGAGACAGCAAACAGCATAAACAGGATGGACTACATTGTATAGCAGACAGCTGTGTTGCCGTGCAACCAAGCCTAATGCCTTCACACCCCGGTGGTGGGTGGAACGGGGGAACTTTGGCAGGTGTAGTTAGTACACTGTCATGTCAGCGGTGACCCCTCAGTATTTTCAGATATTCCCCGTGTTAATTTAAGTTTTGACAAGCTGGCTTACACTGGCAGTGACAGTTGCTTTGGTTGGCTGGAAACACAAGGCACTGGTATACATTTCACTGTAGAAGTAGTTCGACCATGTCCTCCTCTGCATTTCATTTCATTTGTTTTTAAACATAGTGGACACATGGAAGGGGCTCCTGGTGTAATTGTTGTACAATGACTAAAACGACCCGACGTGTTCGACACTAGAGCTAACTCTCTCTTTTAGTTTGTGTTTGAATTCTTTCTAGCTCTGTTTGGAGAAAGTGCCTTTTTTCAGCTTTAGACTTCAGCAACTGTCAAATGAGAAAAAAAAAAAAAAAGAAAGATCATCTTTATTATTTATTTTTATTTTTCGGGGGAGGGAGGGAAGAGGGGGGGTCAATGTCAGCAGTTGCTGCCAATATGAAGAATTTATGTGTCGATTTAGAAACATGTAGATATGTACATTTTTTTATTAATCATTGTGTATATTTGATTTATTAACTTAATAATCAAGAGCCTTAAGATATCATTCCTTTTTATTTATATGTTCTGTCTAGTTTGAAGGTTTTGATAGCTGTGGAAGCCTACCATTTCTTTCAATTTCTTAATTTTTCCAAAGCCAAATTTCAAAGAAGACAAAGGACGGGCACTTTTTCGCCTGAGAGAGACAGAGAAAGAGACTTTTTTTTTGTTTTTTCGTTCTTCCACGCATTAGACATTTCATCATTTGTTGCCAAGACCTCGACTGAAGACAAGTGAGGTCAGGACAACAAAAGTACCACGGCTGCTGCGAGGGACAGACATGGTGGCAGACATATTGCTTGCCACTAATGGATTAATACTTAAGGGAACAAAAATCCTTCAGCGGCTTCAGTTTAACCCATTGACACATTTCAAAGGCTGTCGAGGCGAGTCGAGTCAACATGACACGCCAGAATTCCCATCTGCGTTAGTCAGCGTAATATCATAAGCTTAGAGTACTTGAAGAGAAAGGGGGGCGATGGGAACACTGTAGAGTCGGATGATGAAACACACTGCCTTGCTCAGAGAGTCTGCTTTGTTTCTGTGCACATTTGTTTCTTTTTCAAAATGAGGCTCTTAAAGACAAACATGTTTTATCTCATTTGTTAACCCCTTTGAGATCATGGCAACATTTTGTCCTATTTTTGACTTTTGTGTTCTGAACTTGAGAATTATTTGTTGATCTGGCAATATATTTTTGAAAGTCATATTTATTAAATATTTTGTATGAAAAGAGAATTAAAGTCGTCTTTGTTCTGGAGAGGGAGTGAAGCGTCTGTCTGTGATATATCAGGAACAAACATGAAGCTGCCGTGGGAACCCGTCCAAATGTGTTTACGGCTCCTCTTATTGGGTCAGTCCCGGGGGACTAAAATACCCTCGCTCCTACAGACAATGTCGCTCTTGTTGGATTTAAGTTGCAGCTTAACTCGAACCTTTCTATCTCGCCGCCTGAGAAGCAGAGTTCGGCTGATTTGAGATGTTCCCTTCTGCAGAATCTGTTTAAAAGGATTAAAGCCGAGGGAGGAGATTATCAGCACCTCTTGAAAACGACCTATAAGGGCTTAAGACAGTGGGGTCAGTTTCACTAATCCACCGTTGTGTCTCTTGTCCTGATAAGACCAGAAACAGGATGAGCTTCTGCTGCTGGTCTCAGGTTACCCTCGCTGACACCGACACAAACTCGTACAACCGTATGATTGGTGTGGTGATTCAAGTGTGTGGTCTCTGTGGTCTCACCTTTTGGTTTCTGAAGCTGCGTTTTGAAGTCCAAAGGTGGCGGCGGCCATTCTGGAAACGCTGACTGACCTTTTTGGCTGAGCTAGAAAATAGTGAATGTGGAGTTTAGACATATTATGTGTGTATGTGGACACTTAAGCACTTCTACATTAGCTCAGTTCTGAAGACCACAGGTTACAGGGGCAGTTTCCTCGCCCCCCTTTGTTCACAAAATTAGTTTATTGCATTAGTGCAGCTGAAACTGGACTTTTAAAATACATGTTCGTCCAACAATTAGACATAAAATGTGACTTAAAACGCATTAAATGTCTCATTGATGGACTACCATACCCAGCTTTCTGTGCATGCTCCACAGATCAAACCACAAGGTGAGCAGGTGAAATGCGTTGCTAGGAAACCAGGTAGTCAACAAAACCTCGACCGTGGAGGCAGAGACGTGGAAAAAGTCCAATTTGTGGTATCATAAAATTAGCCGTGTTTTTGTCATTTAACCCCATTTGACTCCTGCTGACGTGTTTGACTGTTTTGGTGCGTGATGCATCAGGTCAAAGAGAAACAGCCTGATACTAACGAGCTGCAGAATATCATGACCTATTTCTGTTCTTTGCCTGGTACTTTCAGACCAGGACAAGCTCAGGCGAATCTCCTAATTGTGTCATAACTGTGCAATAGTTTAATTTAAAGCTCCTGTGAGGAGATTTTGAAACAAGCTGAAATGAACAGTGATGTGTCTCTATGATGTGCACATGGAGACAGTTTTTTGTTAGTTAACACAAACATCTAAAGCATGAGATGAAAACAGCGACGCTTATATCATTTTGTGCGAAGGAGGCGCCAGAGTCAACACAGACGAAAAGTTCCTTACAGGAGCTTTAACTGTGCATGTAAACAACTTTTTTAAATGCTCCATCTTTCTGCAGAATTTAAAGTATGGTTAAAATTAATTAAGGCACATAATTAAATTAAATGATTGTAATTTTCAGGGGGCAAAACGACATATCAGTTTATGTTTTTCAACATAGTAGTCGAGTAGCTGTTACATAAAAAAGACAAAGACAGAATAATACAAGAGCAAAATAAAAACTGTATTATGTGGTTCAAACTTGTCAAGCATTTTATAGTAAGATGTCACACATAAAAATAAAAAAACCACAGTAGCACCAAAAACAACAACATTCTGTTAACTTATTGACGATCGCCTACAGATCCGACATGCAGGTTTAAGCTGCCAACTAAACTCCGACCACATAAACTGTTTTCTTAAAAGCTCAAAATAGGCGATATAAATACAACCAGGCTGCAAATGTGCTCATAAAAGCCTGGTGATTGTAAATTAATGAAGATTAATGAACTTCTCTTTGGTGTTAATTGGTGCCAGATGGACAATTAAAGAGGTTACACTGATGACAAAAGGCACAAAGAGGACAATAGAGTCAATTAACAATAAGTGAAATGAAGAAAAGACGTCAATTAATTTATAAGAAATTAAAGTTGTCACGCTCTAAATTTCATCAGGGAAGACTGTCATCATCTCAGCTTTTTACTGAACAGATGGAGCTCAGGAATAACTCATCCTCTAGTTCATATAACTCCACACGCCCAGTTTCATGTCCTAAAAAACTGGTTGCGTTGGATAAAATCTTCGATTGTTGAGCCAGTCTCAAATGTGGGTCAGGAAAGCCAAACCTGAAAAAGTTATCAGACTGTTTCCTTATTCGAGCAAAGATTTAGATTCTCCTCCAAGTACAAGTTAATATATTTACATTTAAAATGTCTCTCTAGTAAAATAGAAATAAAACGTAAATAAAAGCCGGCAGCATTATGTCATCAGCTAATTTTGTTTGGGTTGAAACGGGGTTATGAGTGACCGTTGCCCTAGTTGCTCTGTGCTCCTCTTGGGCCAAGGCCAGCAGAGCGATATGAGCAGCCCTGTGGCGCGTCTGGGCGATGACAGCAGCTACATTTTAACCTGTGATACCGTAGACGTCCCGCTGTTTCCAAATAAAACCACAAAGCTCATCGCACACCCACACACACGCCGAGGCTCGAGCTCAGAGAAAAAGGCGGTATTATAGCCTCCGATTTAGGGATCCATTTCAGGTGCTTAGCAACTGAGCGTCCAGGAAATTGTATATGAATGAAATGTAACAACAAAAGTAGATTTCTGAGAGTGGGGTGATGAAATATTTCTGGAAACAGCAATCAATCACCAGAGAGCTTCAGTGGGGAGACCGGACAGTTTTCAGACACGTAGGAGCCAGTGTTTGAGACTGAAAGCCATGACGTAGTACTGCATGGCTCCTGCCTGTCTGAAATCCCCAATCTCTGACACAAAACCAAATCTAAACTCCAATTAAAGGTTTTTGACTTTCATTTGCGAGCCTCTCTTGACCACCACTACTTATGGGTGGAGGCTGAGTCTGTTTCAAGTATTTGACAAAGCGTAACTGAAGCGCTCACGTATCATTTGCCATAATGTGTTCAGCGTTTGATGTGTGTGTGTGTGTGCGTGTGTGTTTGTGGGACCACTGTATGTACAGCTCATGAGAAAAGAAGAGACGTAATAGTAAAATGTGACACTTGTACAAAAGCGTGTCATCTGAAGGGCCTGGCGTACATGCATCTGGAGTAAACATGTCGCCCGACTCAGTATCATCTCTATCTCGGTGGCGTCAGGCATCTTTACTGTAGAGCGTCTCTCCCCCCTCAGGACCTCTTCTGTCGTCGTAATCTGGAGGTTCTGGGCACATTTTCACTCCCCTCCTCTCTGAGTGTGGATCTGGAACTAATAGAGGAGCCTGAGGATGCAGGCTTGACAGATAGGCCCCTCAGACTTGCGGCCAGCCTGTTTTGGTTTGTCTGTGCCGTGTTATTGCTTGTGAGGGGGAGCCTCTGGGCCCGTTTCCCTGGAGTAAGCAGCTCTACTTCCAGTGTGGTTTTGCTGCACTCGGAGACTGGGAAAGCCTTGGACTGTGCCTTGGCTTCGGCTGGAGGAAGGGGCTGCAGAGGAAGAGGGTCATGCTTGGATGTTTGTGTGGAGCCCTCGCTGGAGTGGGTCTGCATCATGGCTGGAGGACTTCCAAGGCATGTCCTCTTGGCCCTCTGTGGGTGAAGGTCTTCCCCTGCATCACTCGGCTTTTGCTGATTTCATGTCCGACTATAGAGGCCCCACGTGGGCTGATTCTGTGTGGACTCTCCTGGGTCAGGCCTTGTTTTAGAGTAGTCTCGGCCTCATTTAGGGCTCTGGGGAAAGGCTCCTAGTGGTCTGCGGCCCTCCTTTTAGAGCTGGTCACAGTCTCTTTTGGGTTTGATTCTAACTCTCCAGTCCGTTTTCGGTTTCTGGGACACAATTAGCTGCTCCCCCGTACTGGAAACACAGATCTCTCGCTGGACACCGGCTTGTTTGGCTCTGAAAAATGAGAAGAGGATGTGAGCAGATACTCCAGCGTCCTCTCTGACTGACGGGGTTGGAAAGTTTTGCGTTAGATCATGCTTACATCTTTTGAAGCTTGGTCTTCTTTGTTTTTGTGGCGCTGTTTAAAAGCTCTTGGGTTTCTCCCGCTCTGGAAAAGTACTCTGATCTGCTTTGTTCCAACAGCTCAGCCTAAAGAAGACAAACAAAATCCACGTAAACAAGAAAGTATTATTCCTGGCATCCCCGAGAAAGGTTCGGTTGGCTTTGAACTGCAAAACATTCACCAAAAAAACACTAAAATGATCATTAAACAGGAGAAATTCACACAAACTCCCCACCCTCTGACCTCCCCGTCCTCCAAACTGTGTTACATAACAGCGTCACCTCGTGATTCGAACTCTGATCAACAAATATTTTCTTTAATTTCTCTCTAGACATAAAGTAGCTCCCCGGTTGGCACACAGAATTAGTCCTTCACTTAAAACTGTCAAAAGGAACCACCTCAAAGTCTTTGGAAAATAATCACCGGCTCGTCACCGTGTGACGTGTGTTGCTCGGGCTCTGCTGTCTGAGGTTTGGAGTGAAGCTTACAGCCTCGGGCAGAGTTACTAAACGCTGAAACCATGTTGACAAGTTAAAACAGCGATTAGAGAAGGATCATTAGTGAGATGATGGAGCAAGGCAGGCGAAAAATAACACGCGGGCATACGAGTTTAAAAATGCAAGAGGCGTCTGAAAGAACCAGTTTTGTTTTTTTTTAAGGCTATTTTTGATTTCATCTTTTTTCTTTAGGGGAAAGTTTCTTTTAGTTTTAGTCACATTTATAGTTTTGGTTTCAAAAGTTTATGTCGAGTTTGTAAAGCTGCTGTAAGGAACTTTTGGTCTGTGTTGGCTTTGGCGCCCCCTGTGGACAAACTGATACCTCTGTACTAATACTCTTCCTGCTGTCAATTAAATGTAAAATGTGGGAAACTTTAAACCTTGTTGCTGATGATCTTGTGAGTTTCTGAAGTTCCCGTAGAGGCGCCAGTTTCTCAACCAGTTCAAAACTCTTCACTGGAGCTTTGACCAATCAGAAACTGTCGCCAGGATTATACCAAGTACCTAAATCTTCGTCATTTTATTGTCCTCTTGATGCCTTACCTTAGTTGGATAATTCAGCCTCGACTATCCCACAATCCAATGCTGCTATGCTGTCCCTGCTGGTCTGCTTAGGTAAGGAAGTCAGTGGCAGACTCTCTGGTTTTAATGAAAGACGGCCCTCTTCAGCCTCCATTTCACTACTTCACACAAACTTACTACACGAGTTCCTCCTCCATATTTCTCTCCACACCTGAGCGTTGCTAAAAAGTAAACTCAAAGTCGGCTCAAACACTTTGTTATGGGTTGAAAGTTCAGTACACCCACATAGCGAGGTGAACCTCTGAGGCAGAACAGGAGCAGACCAAAGATTGGATCTCACCAACATGTGCCCTCAACAGGCCACTAATGAAGGTTAATAACAGGTCTTCTCGTTGGCTGACCTCAAACAGACTCTGGATTTATGAGAGAATGAGAGACCTGCCCGTTAAATTGAGCAGAAAGTAAAGGTTGAGAGGCTGTCGATTTACAGCGATGAACGGCATCAAAAGACTCGATGAGGGATTATCACAGTCGCTCTGGTTTCGTGATTCAAACAGGTGAGGAGATTTATTATTATTGGAGTTTTGAAGTTTGAACAAATGAAAGAAAAGATGAAACTTTTTAAGTACACAGTCCATGGCATGTAAAGGCAGTAGCTCAGGAAGTCGAGCGCTCGTTCAATAACTGGAAGATTATCTTGATTCTGTCCATTGTGTCCTTGGGCAAGACACTTAACCCAACTTGCTCCCAGTGTGTGTCCTCCACTGGTGTGTGATTGTGAGTGTTGTGTGGTGGTGGTCCGAGAGGCCGTAGGAGAAAACTGGCAGCCCCGTTTCCGTCAGTCTGCCCCAGGACAGCTCTGACTACTGTGATAGTTTACCACCACCAAGGTGTGACTGTGAGCGAATGAATGATGTATCCAAGGTGAAGAACTTTGAGGGTCTCTGATAAAGCGCTATATGAAATCTGATGCATTATTATTTTATTGGCTAAAGGACCAAAAAGCTGCTGTTATAAAAAAGTGTGCACCCCTGTTGTTTCCCGATCGCTCACTTATGTGACAATTCTGCAACCAGTCAGTACGTTTACATGACACTTGAGGAAAACTGAATTATCGCCTCACTCCGATTAAGACCGGACAACTGAAGTACATGTAAACACCTTAGTCCGACTATAATTGGAGTTTGAGAACTTCGATTGAGACACCCAGATAATGCGATTGGAATTTGATTTTCTCTACCATGTAACCAGCGTAGTCAGATTATGATCGGACAATGCATGTGCGTTTGCACCACGCCTCCGTAACCCCAGAGCAAAAACACCAGAGAAGAAGTGGGGCTATCATTTAAACAACTTTCGACTCAGAAGAAACTGCAACTTGGCTGAAGCACGAAAGAACGTCCACTTTTGGAACAGCGAGGAGAGCGCCGTTATGCTTTCCATCCTGACAGAAATGGACATTTTAAAGTTTATGGATGGTCGCAAAACAAGGAATGGAGACATCTTTAAAAACGGTCCGGAAACAGCGTAGCTGAAAAGACCCATATCGCCCCCTAGTTTTGGGGAGGAGGACACGGTCACATCGATAATTTGATTTTCTCTGCATGTATACACGGAAAAGTTACTTAGCAAATTATGAGCTTAGTCCGATTAAGCTGTGCATGTAAACGCACTGAGTAAGCAGCACTAGTTTTGTTAGCCCCCGCTGCTTTATGATGGTGATACCTTAAATATGATTGAGCCATAAAATCCTGTCTGATTATGTCTTTGTTTTTTGCCATATCCCCCACCCCTACACTGTGGTAGATGATCTGGACCAAGCGACTCGATCAGTTGTTAGCATAAACATGTAGCTAGCATGGCTGTATCACTCTGTAAACTTTTGCTGAGGGAAAACACAACAAGGCAGAAGTCAGTTCCTGAGAAAATTTGAGGTTACGGCCACAATGTTTGTTTAATATCAGCCATTTTCAGATCATTACTTCTCTAAAACCGGCTTGATGAAATGATCAAAGCGCACTCGAGGATGGGAAAAACCAATGTGGTAAGTTTGGCACCCACCAGTTCCTGTGAGCACAAAGAAAAAAAAACCATTAACGTCCTCTCCCACTTCTTCCCTCATGATACCAATGACAACATTTGACCTGACACCCAAGAGAGAAGGAGTAATTGCCCAATACTGCGAAGGGAAACTAGGGCAAGGCTTTGAGACCTCGCAACTGCACTGGTTTGTGGTGTGAGCAGAATAAAGAGGCCAGACGGAGGGAGGGGATTGATTCAGGAGGCAGGACGACAAGGAAGTGGGCGGAGACGACAAGAAACAAGGGACAAGATACAAGAGAAAGAGAGAGCGTACAACAAAAGAAGAGGCACCCCCCTGGAGTAATGTCCCTTGACCTCCACGGACTCTTCAGCATGCCCACAAACACAAGAATCCTCACACAGGATGCTCTCCACAGGCTCCCCTTTGTGCAGAGACGGAGTCATGCTAGAGAGTGGGCAGGGGTTCAGACTTTACGCTCGTATGTCCAGAGTTACAGCAAGACTTGGGTTTGGATTTGGGACAGTGACACATAAAAATCTGCATTCGCCCACGCACTCACACACCCACCTCGACAACAACAACAATACTGAGAAAGATGTGGGTGCAGTCATTTGCATTGTGGTGCCTTGATATGTATTTTCATCTGTTTGATGTGAATAAATGCTGTTTGAAAATCAACTTGAAAGAAAAATCAACAAGAAGCCAATGGGAGGCTCTCTGGGAAAGTTTAGAGCCGTTCTGTTCCTGTCGGCACGACTTCAAAAGAGCGAGAGGGAAGGAGGGAGCGAGAGAGAACAGAGTGACGGAAAGGAAGAAGCAAAATGAGAGGATGAGGAGGATATACTTGGCAAATAGATGGAGAGAGACTGATTGAGAGATAAAAAGGGGGCTTGAAGATGGTGGATGAGCAACATCAGAAATATCACAGCCTTTCTCGATTCAGCAGTGTGGGAACCGAGTGAGTCTGATCTTGTTTGGAATGATGCAAACTCTCAATAGCTGGAAAGCATCCCAAGCAACAAGCGGGAGGAGTGTTGGTAAATAAGAACTTCCACCAGCCGCCGCCACCATAACCACCTCTTTCTCTCTTTGCAACAAGGGTTTAACCCCCCCACCCCACCCTCCCGCCGCCAGCCTGTCTGTTCGCCCCCACACAAAGCTGCACAACACTTCTCATGATGCAACACGTAGAGTGGAGCAGAGAAACAGTGCCCTCCCCGGCCCCGGAGCCTCCAGAACAACACGGCTCCACCACGGGAGCTGCAAGAAGACGGCACATCTGGACGTCAGATTAAAGAGATAAACCTGGCAGAGGGGCGAGGAGAGCGCCGAGTATGAATCACTGCTTTAGAAGGATACTGGTACCGATTCTTACAGCAGCTTGCCCCGACTCCCAATGACTCCTGGAAACAACTTCAAAAAGATAACCAACTCCAGGCTCCATAAAAAACAGGGAATGCCATTTAAGATAAGGTGAAAACACAAATAAGCAGATTAGCAGGTTATCTTTTAATGCAGCTGCTGAATCGTCCCTGAATCCTGAGGAGTCTGAAACACTCCCTTTGGCTGGTTTGGTATCTCCCAATACAGACGAGGTTTGCACTACTGTATAATTAACCTACAGAAATGCCCTCGGATTCTTGTCTGTACAATAAAATTACAACTTTGCTGAGTGAAGACATCCTGTTTTACAGAGACGAAGAAAAAAGGGGCCTTTCTGCAGCTTTATGACCGTTCAGTTGATCCAGTGGATGTTTTTGGGCCTCTAGAGGCTGAAAAGTATGAAAGCGTGTAAAAGCCGGAGATGACAAAAAGTTTTCCATTACGCACTTTTGGGAGACAACGTCAAAATGTCGAGACCAAAACTGAAATTTTGAGAGTAGAGTCAAAATGCAATGTTGTGACTACAGTCGAGATGCTAAGTGGCTAACTGTTTTCAGTCGAAACCACAGACTGCATAATATATAGACATAGTCTCAGTGAGGTCACCCGTTCGTGTCTGAAGTGGAAGTTTTGAAGCCGTGTTGGAAATGCTGACTCAGCCGAACTTTTGGTCCACCAACCCAGAGACAACGAGGCGGAGTCGAAGCGGGTCTTCATCCCCCTCATCAACAGCTACAGTCCGCCACCGTGTGCCTCTAATTCGCCAATCCTGAAACCTTCACATCCATGACACAAATGCGTCAAAGTTTACTCCATTAAATCTGCGTTTTTAAATCAGTTATTAAACATGTTTGTTTTTGCTCCAAAGGTGGGCTTCAGTGAATGAGTGTGTACGCAGGTTCTGGAGTCTTCAGCCAGCGTGAAGTAGACTCTTAGTGAACCGCAGTTTCTACCACTCTTGTGTTGGCTTCACCTCTCAAGACCTGAAGTTGCAGCTTGGTCAAAACGCCACTTTTCAGGTGAGTAAACACAAAACAAAGTGACCTTTCCTTCCATTTATTTTGTTTATCTGATCAGGACAATTACAGAGAATAACTTCAAGCTGTAGCAGCTGATGTTTTGCATATAGAGGTTACAACTATTGCTGGTTTCAAACTCGTTTCCTGTTAGGCTTTTGGTTGTCTGCTTATCTGCTCAGGTGATCTTCCAAATCTGTGGAGGTCTAAACTTGTACAAGAGACTAGACTAGCTAAAACCAAGACACATGTTCAACAAAAGACGGCTTTATTTAATCTTCCTTTAGCTAACAGTACCTGCATGCATTTACACCTCAGCTGTGTAGCTCACTGCAGCTTTTTGTCATGTGTAGATATCTGGCCTATAATTACAGCATACAGCTTTAAATATTAATGTATATATTACATTTCAAACTAGAGTATGCTCAACTTCTGTCAAAGTTATGGGGAAGAGGAGATGGCTCAAATCAACTTAAACCAGGGCGCGCAGATGGCCAAGCAGGTTAGCACACCCCACCTTGGTGACCATGGTCCCTGCAGCGGTCGCAGGTTTGAGTCCTCCCCCCTCTATCTCCCTGTACTTTGAACCTGTCCTATTGATAAAGGCAAAAACTCACCAAAAAAATCAACTTGATCCATCTCCTCTTCTCTTTCAGAATATATATATAAACGTACTCATGTGGTATGCAGTAGAAGCTGTTGACCCAAAAATAGTCTCATCAAACTTTTGATTTTCAACCTCTAGGTGCAGAGTAAACATCAACCTCCACTTGTGTTTTTTCCTCATCCCTTCACCGCCAACCTGTAGTTCAAAGATGTAAAGAACAACATCCAACATCTAAATCTCCAATCAACCATCAACTCTATATTTGCTTGTGATCCTCCACGGTGGGAGCCTGATTGTTTGTTTTAGGATTACTCCATCTTTGTTCCTCACCTAAGACGCACAACATCAGAGCTATGCCGTCCTTTAAAGCCATCTATTCACCCATCTGTCACAAAGCAATGAATCATCCCTCCTTGAACGTCTGAATCCAGACAAGTATTTGTTATAAAAATGGAATTATTCATCTCCTCTGTGCAGAGCCTTTGAACAGCTCTGTGACTGCACAGCTAAGTATACTGAATCCTCTAACTGGCACCATGAAACAACAACATATCTCAACTGTCAGGGCAAAAATAACCTCCTGCTGGGATGTTCGTGAAACGAGTCACACAAATTCCACCCTCCCTGGTCCCACAGAGGAATCATGCCCCGTTTGTTTAAGCTCACCACATCTTCCTTGCAACAAAGTCAACAAACATGCATGGGCACATACTTGTCGAAAATAGAGGACAGTTCTTATCCCTGAACAATGGCTCAAGTTTTTGGATACACCCATGTGCAGGGATTAAGACAAGCTGTTAACTGTTTGGACTCCCTTCATGGAAATCAATGAAAGCAGATTAAAGCAGGACGGACAGGACGGGATCGTGCTCTGTAAGAGACGATACTCGAGTGTTTGGCCTCGTTGGAGAGGAGATCAGCAGACACTGGACGCTTGGGAAAGCTCTGCTGCTCGCCGTTGAGAGCTGTGAAGAATAGAGGCGCGCTGAGGTCATGAGTAAACACACAGACTCATCCAGAGAGGAGAGGGGGGGACTGGAAACACATCTGCTCTGCCTTTGATCCAAACTTCTGCAGCCCAGCACGCCACTCACCTCAGCTGCCCACTCTGCGCCTGACTAGAAAACAACGGCCACAATCCTAAACACTAGTTCTTCCTTCCCATGCTGCCCTCCACACTGTCGCTGCTGACTCACACTGGGAGCTTTTTCTTTTTTTTTTTTTTTTTTAGAGGGACATGAATCTTCAAATGTCAAGGAAAAAAATAACACTGTTTAGGAGTTGCCTTTTCGATTGCTTCCCACGGTCTCATGCAGATGCAGTTTCGACAGCCCTGACTCTGCAGAACAACAATCAATTACAGGCTTGTAGATAGCAACGGACAGAGAGAGTTCATGTGAAATGTTTGAGTCATGACGGGACATTAGTTATGAAACGTCAATATCGCCGCCTCAGATGTGGTGGATATCACAAATATTTCCACTTAGACTGACAGTCCTGGTATGTGCAGACTTATCTGACTCACACAGGAGTTTACAACCATCTCTAGTGTATTGCAATTAAAATTACTGTATTGTGGTTATAGGTCATGCATCAGGCATCGAACTGCATGTTGCTGTATCCTCATCCTGAAATATGAAGCTTATTTTGAGCTCATCCTCGAGCTCTTGTTTGATCTGCCTGGTGTTTGCTGCTGAGCAGGTATTGTGCAGGGACTTCGGTGCTAATAGCAGGTTTCAGCTGCCAGTGTAAAGGGCAGTAATGAAAGCTGTGAGACTGAACCAGAACAGGGAAGTTGTGCTGCAAAGAAAAACATTCAGAAAAGATGGGAGATCAATCTTTGTGGTGTTCTGGACTGTAAAGTTTGGTGTTTTTACCTCCGCCAAGGAGGTTATGTTTTTGGTAGCATTGGTTTGTTGGTTTGTTTGTTTGTCTGTGAACAACTTTACGGAGAAAGTAACAGACAGATTGACCTGAAATTGTCGTTGGAATTTTCAATGCTGAAAGATAACCAATGGGCGGCACAGTGGTGTAGTGGTTAGCACTGTCGCCTCACAGTAAGAAGGTCCTGGGTTTGAATCCGGGTCAGGGCATTTCTTGTTTTAGGAACAGTGAACATACCAGTTTAAACACAAATCTTCCTATGTTTTGTTTTCTTACCTGACCTTCCAGCAACACACCTGTGCTATTTCACTTCCAGGTTATAGACGCTGGAGCATGCCCAGAATATTTGTGCCACTTCTAGTCCAACTGACACGTTTACACGGTGGAGAAAATCGATCCCGAACTCCAATATAGTTTGCAATTTCAGTTTGACTCGTGTTTGCATGTTTTCTTAAAGTCAAATTTCCATCAAACTAAAATTGATTTTTTTTTAAAAAAAACATATGTAAACATACTGACTGAAAAAAAAGGGTTTTGAGCACCCGTCTCCATGCCGTTGGTTTAATTTGCTTTTGTAGGCCCAAAGTTTGATTTGATGTTTTTTCTGCTAAACTCATCTTCACTGGATCTTTGAGATGCTTTATGATGATTTTGAGTAATTTAGAGCCGGACACAACCCTCTGTTAATGTTCTGTTTGACATATTTATGAACGTGGTTGGTTTTAACCGTTAACCTGCTGGTTATATAGTCAAGTATCTTGTTTTACTTTTGCGTGTATGTCTGCCCATTGTTGAATGGAAACTTCGCTCACCACGCCACTGCCTGTCTTGGCCAGGATACTTTTGAGATTTTTAATCCCAACAGGCTGTTTCTGGTTAAATAAAGGATAGATAAATAAATAAATACAGTGAATGTGTACCCAACGTCTTTTAACTGTCCCCCGGAGTACCAAAAATCAACAATAATTGGTATCCTAGCTCCTTCGCCACCGCTGGAAATGACTAAATGTCACCATCTCCTCCTCAGAGTGAACCACAGCTGAAAATATGACTAATAAGAGTTCATGGAGTACAGGGGCGCTCAGCGCACTGAAGTGTGGGAGAGAGACGTTGGTTTTCGCAGGACAAAAGGCCAACCGTGATGTCAGCTTAGTTCCCTCATAACATAACCCCATGACCCTGTGAGAAGTGCAAATTTGATGAGTCCACATTTCCACTGCGGTTAAGGTTGAAGATTTTTATTCAACGAGTCACACTCCCTGAATTTTAACAAACCTCCCGAAACACAGCGAAACGTGGCAATGTGTTGGGACTTGCAGACTCGAGCTGTCAAGACTTGTGGGATAAAAGACGTCGTCTTGAACGTATGAGTGACCCTGACATTGAATCTAATAAACACGATTATTTTTAGACAGCTTCATTTTAACCATCACTTCCCTCATTAACTTCTTCTCTTAGTTTCTCGGCTGAACAGTTCCTCTCTGACACATAAGAAAAGAGTGAAGGACGTAAACAAATGAGGGTTTTTGTCATGTGAAAAACTTCAGCCGTGCTGTCTGGTATCTTTCCCTTAAAAACCACGCTCGAGGTTGGGCTAGTGAGAGCTCCACCACAAGACTCCCACCCTCCAATTCCCTCTGCTTGTACTGTATGAGCCCAGAGAACCACATCCTGAGGAGAGGAACGCAATCGACAGCAATGCCTCCTTGAACTGGAAAATTGGTTACACAATCTGAACTTTTCACTGACGACTCTGTTGCTCAAGTAAAAAAAAACATTACAATTGCTGCTTTCATTGGACGCCAGGCTGCGAAGAGTGTAGGGAAACAATGAGTGAAAAAAACCTCACAGAGAAACGGCGAGACGTTGATCATGAGACCTGATGTCTGTTCTTGATGTGAGAGCCAAGGTGAGAGGCTCTACCATCATTTCCCATGATACTTTGAGAGTTTTAGATCAAATGAGCTCTGTCTGGAGGACATGTGACATAAAAAGACAACAAAAAAAGTCTGTCTTACAGGTAAGTGTGGAATAAAGATGACAGCATGACCTCTGACCAGTTAATACCCACTAAACATGACTGCATCTGAGTCCAGTCTGATTGTATTTAGATATTGTAGTATGTATGTCATACTAAAGTATAATAAAAATGTGAAAGTATGGTATGATAAAAAAAAACGTCATTGAATAGTATGTTAAAAAATGTCATAGTATAGTATAATAGAGATGTCAGAGTATAGTGTGTTAAAAATGGTCATGGTATAGTATGATAAAACTGTCACAGTATAGTATGATAAAATATTTAATGGTATAGAATGATAAAAATGTCATAGAATAGTATGTTAAAATTTTCAAGTTTTAGTGTGAAAAAAAAATTCCTATATCGGTATGAAAAAATGTCATAGTTTAGTATGATAAAAATGGCGTAGTATAGTATGTTAAAAATTCGATTTTTAAGTATGAAATGTTTTTCATTTTTTGAAATGAAAAAGATTGTCATTGTAGAGTATGATAAAAAGTCATAGTACAGTATGTTAAAAATTTCATATTTTAGATTGAAAAAAATGTCACAGTATAATATAATCAAATGTCTTAGTATAGTATGTCAAAAATGCTATAGTATAGTATGATAAAAATGTTATAGTATTGTATGATAAAATGTCATACTATAGTGTGTTAAAAAAAATGTCATAGTATAGTATGATAAAAATGTCATAGTATAGTATGTTCAAACTTTAAAATTTTAGTATGAGAAAAAATTTCATAAATTAGTGTGAAAAAAAAGTAATAGTTAAGTATGATAAACCTGTCATAGTATAGTATGTTCAAAATGTTATTTTTTGATATTAAATTTTTTTCATTTTTTATATGAAAAAGATTGTCATAGTATAGTATGATTAAAATGTCACAGTATAGTATGAGAAAAAATGTCATAGTATAGAATGATAAAAATGTCATAGTATAGTATGTTCAAACTTTAAAATTTTAGTATGAGAAAAAATTTCATAAATCAGTATTAAAAAATGTAATAGTTAAGTATGATAAAAATGTCATAGTTTGTATGTTAAAAATATAATTATTTAGTATGGAATTTTTGTCATAATTTAAAATGAAAAAGAATGTCATAGTATAGTATGATAAAAATGTCACAGTATAGTATGATAAAAAATGTCATCGTATAGAATGATAAAAATGTCATAATATAGTATGATAAAACTGTCAGAGTATAGTATGTTAAAAATGTCATATTTTAGATTGAAAAAAATGTCATAGTATAGTATGATAAAACTGTCATGGTATAGTATGATAAAAAAATGCCATAGTATAGTATTTTTAAAAAAATGCCATTATTTTGAGTGAAAAAATGTCTTATAGTAGTATGATAAAAATGTCATAGTATAGTTTGTGATTATCTGAGGGAATGGTTAGAGGAAGATGGGAAGTTACAATGAATTAAAACCAGGCAGGGGAGATGAAATGAAGAGTAGGAAACAGGAAATCAGAATAAGCAAGTAATTTATTTACAGTCAAAAGTTATCACAAAAAAGATCAAACAACTAAAAACGAGCATGAGGCAGATTATCAATAAGTTATTTAAAACCAAAATTCACTGCCAACCATTCAAACAAACAAAAAAAACACCACAGGCTCCTGCCACCGGAAAACCTGGACTTCAAAAAACACCAAAACGCACACGATGGAAACACAGTCAACAAGTCAGGAGGTCTGCAGCACGTATGTCAATCACGAGGGCTGAGAGAGAGATTCAGGGCAGTTGTGCGTTCTTATATCTGCCCCACTCACCACACCAAGCAGGTTAACCTGACACACCTGGGAAGGGACCTACTGGAAAGAGACAAACAGCAGAAGACACAGGACACACCCACAGCCGTAACAGTTTGTTAAAATTATCAAATTTTTAAGTATTAAATAAAAAGTCCATATCTGAGAATGAAAAAAATGTCATAGAATATTATAATAAAGATGTTTGTTTTTTTTGTATAATAAAAATGTCATGGTAAAGTGTGTTAAAAAATGCCATGGTATAGTATGATAAAACTGTCACAGAATAGTATGATAAAAATATTTTATGGAATAGAATGATAAAAATGTCATACTAGAGTATGTTAAAAATTTTATTTTTTAGTATGAAAAAAAAAATTCATATATCAGTATAAAAAAATGTCAAAGTATAGTATGATAAATCTGTCATAGTATAGTATGTTATAATTTAATTCTTAGTATGAAATTTTTTTCCCTTTTTTCAAAATTAAAACGATTGTGATAAAAATGTCATACTATTGTATGATAAAATGTCATAGTATAGTATGTTCAAATTTTCAAATTTTACCATGAAAAAAAATTTCATATATCAGTATGAAAAAAATGTCATAGTATAGTATGATAAATCTGTCATAGTATAGTATGTTAAAAACTTGTTTTTTTAGTATGAAAAAAATTTCATATACCAGTATGTAAAAAAATGTCATAGTAAAGTATGATAAAAATGTCATGGTACAGTATGTTAAAAATTTTATTTTCTGGTATGAAAAAAAAGTTCATACATCAGTTTGTAAAAAAAGTCATAGTATAGTATGATAAATCTGTCATAGTATCGTATGTTAAAAATTTAATTTCTTTGTATGAAATTTTTTTCCTTTTTTTTAAATCAAAAATATTGCCATAGTATAATATGATAAAAATGTCATAGTATAGTATGTTAAAATCGTAAAATTTTTAAGTATGAAATAAAAAAATCATTTTTTAAGATGAAAAAGATTGTCATAGTAAAGTATGATAAAAATGTCATAGTATAGTATGTTAAAAATTCTATATTTTAGATTGAAAAAAAATGTCATAGTATAGTATGATAAAACTGTCACAGTATAGTATGATAAAAAAAATGTCATAGTATAGTCTGATAAAAATGTCATAGTATAGTATGTTAAAAATTTTATTTTTTAGATTTAAAAAAATGTCAAGGTATAGTATGAGTGAATAAGGTCATAGTATAGTATGATAAAACAGTCACAGTATAGTATGATAAAAAATGTCATAGTATAGTATGTTGAAAAAAGTCATAATTATGAGTGAATAAGGTCATAGTATAGTATGATAAAAATGTCACAATATAGTATGTTAAAAATTGTATTTTTAGTACAAAATTTTTTCATTTTTTAAAATGAAAAAGATCGTCATAGTACAGTATGATAAAAATTTACATATTTTAGATTGAAAAAAAGTCACAGTATAGTATGATAAAAATGTCATAGTATAGTATGATAATTTAATTCATTTTTAAAATGAAAAAGATTGTCAGAGTAAAGTATGAAAAAAATATCACAGTATAGTATGTTAAAAATTTCATATTTTAGATTGAAAAAAAGTCATAATTATCAGTGAATAGGGTCATAGTATAGTATTATAAAAATGTCACAGTATAGTATGTTAAAAATTTCAAATTTGAGATAGAAAAAAAATGTCATAGTTTAGTATGATAAAACTGTCACAGTATAGTTTGATAAAAAATTTCATAGTATAGTCTGTTCAAAGAACAGTCATAGCATGGTTTTTAAAAAAATGTCATAGTATATTATGTTAAAATATGTAATAGTAAAGTATGTTGAAAATGTCATAGTATATTATGTTAAAATATGTAATAGTATAGTATGATAAAAAATTGTCATAGTATAGTATGATAAAAAAAATGTCATGTTATGCCATGTCAGAAATGTCCTAGATTAGTATGTTAAAAAAAATGTTATGCTATAGTTTGTTACTTAACGTCATAGTGTAGTATGTAAAAAAAAAAAGTCATATTAAAGTGTCTCTCTTCACGCTGAAGTATTGTACTCCCGACAAAAACTCTGATCCTGCTTTTAAAAAAACAAATTTCCTTTATTGTAAATATTTAACATGGACACATATTACAGGGCTGTTAATTTGTCTATATTATGGATTTAAATGACAACACAAATCATCAGTTCTGTCACTGGTGGTCTTTTTTACTTTTGTACATTAAATAAATACTGTATGTCAATATGAATTCCAGTCTGTTACATAAACATAGAAAAACTCCTGACAGGATCTTTAATCAAAGTGAGGATAACCACTTCTTCAGAGGTCTACCATAAAACCCCAAATAATATATGTGTATTAGAACGATGAAGTGCTTGGGTTCTGAATTTCCTTAATCATAAATGACATAGTATACAACAGAAAACACTATTTTTGATGATGAATTACAGTAAGACCATATTTAGTGGTTACGTTTACAAAATCAGGGTTTTTTACAGATGATAAATCATCTTTTTTGGAGTGATAAATGAAACATGATATTGTGCCACATACAGATCGGTTGGAACTAGAAAGGGGGAAAAATTCTGCTTTTTGCTGTTCACTGAAACATTTAGCCAAAACAGATCTTCGGTGTGTGTGAAAGTATCCCAACCTGCCTCCAGAGCTAAATACGAACAATTATTTTTGGCGATATTTTTGACCACCCATTCATGTTGAGGTTTACAGCGATCCGTGTTTGAGTTTGGTCAGAGGAGAACAAAAACTGTTCAGCTGGGGTGAATTTGCAGAATGTGGGAGCGGGAACTCTTTGAACACCGGGGGATGACTCTGCAGTTCTGGACCCCACCTCTGCCATCCTCCCTTTCCCCTCGGGTCTTCAAAAAGCTGAGGCAGGCGCAGAGCCCGTCCCCCCTCCTCTCTGTAAACAGATCAGCATACATAAAGTGAGAGCACAATTTGGCAACACATCCCTATAATAACACACAGAGCCATGCGGGACAATCTGCCAGGCGACTGGAAGAGGAAATAGAGGAGTATAAACAGCACTCACCGCGGCCAGGCTCGGGTTTCCATGGAGCGCTGAGGCATCCTCTGAACGGCGCACACACACAACATAACGCTCAGGAAACACACGCAAATCTGGAGGCAGGCAAACACAGAGACAACGCAGAGCATGCTAGTTAATATCAGGGTTCACCTCTAATTATGAGTACAAGACAGGCCGAGGGAAATGTGGTGGAGGTCTGACTTCACATCCACACAACACCAACTATTTACTATCCCCCAGACCGAGAGAAAATGATAGTTTACAGATAATTGCTGAGCTTTATGAGCCGCGTAAGCAGCATGAAATATTAGGAAATTTTATGTTGATAGAGGCTCCTGGGAGAAATTTGACTGTTTCATCGACTTCAAAGAAAAAGATCATTTACAAAAGCAACACTTTAATGTGAAATGTATCATGATAATAAATCCAACAGGCCTCAGATTGTCTTCTCAGCTAGACAGCCAAGTTGGTGTCTCTCCGACCCATTGCCTGTGAAATACCCTCCTGTGCTCGCCTCTCCTCTGCAGCCCCGTCTGTTTCACGATGGCGCTCCTAATAACAAACCCTGATGCTGCTGAAAGTGGAGCGAATGAAAAGGCTCATTGGCAAAATTTTACAAACGCCTTCATGAGACATTCTTCGACTCCACAGCCGTCCACTTTCCTCTCAGATGTTTTACACAAGTATTGAATTTAGTGCGTAAAAGCTGATATTCCCTCGCAGTGGTCACTTCTGCAAACATTGGTTTTGCTTCAGTTGTCCGGATTTGTGGTTTGTAAATACAGCCAATGCACACATTTTGTTAGGCACAGGCAGCGCTTGCATACACCACACACGTGCACTAATGGATGTGTACCTTGTGTGGTATAGCTAATGGGGTGAAGAAGGACAAATAAGTCATTTGGCTGGTTGGTTGGATGTTCGCTATTTCCTACTATCTACTTATTCTATGTAAAAATACAGAATCAGAGCGTTTTAACTTCTGCTGAGCTACATTTGGAGCCAAGATATGAACTCACACTGCAAAGACTCAAATCTTAGGAGATGTTTTTGTCTAATTTCTGGTAAAATATGTCATTAGGTTTAACTGAAGCCACATTCACCTGACAGGTAAACTTTTCCAATTACTAATTACAAGCGATTCAAGTCTTATTTTTGGTGTAAATATCTTGAAGTAAGCAATTTTTCTGCATCCTGCACTGGTAAATGTTGTTTAAATCAAGTTTAGTAGACACATTTTACTGTAAATAAGAAAAAACACTGAGAAATGAGGAGCTTTTTGCAGCGTGTAAAGTTTTACCGTAAAGTTTAAACGTATGAATGTATAAAAAGGTATATTTTAAAAATACTGTTTTAAAAAGGAGTGATTCATTTGTTTGTTTCTTTGTTTCTTTAGCCTTCTTTTTGTTTCAAGGGGTTTAGAAAAAACCATCAAACATACAGTAAACTGTCTTGATATCTCCGTGCAGATTATTAGTCTCAAAACTGGAACAAGTTTATTTTAAGTTTTCAGAGCTGCAGATTTTTGTCCATTTTTTATTGGTAAACATAATACTTGAAGGGAACATTGGTCTACTGGAATTCGGCGAAGAATACTCAAATTTTCTTGACTTTTTGACTTTATATCCGTCTATGGTCTTGTAGTCCAACACAGTAATGTATTTTGAAGGGTATAGATTGAAGTTTAGGAGTCTGTGCAGCTTTAATAACAGAATAATAAAGTGCGTTTAACCACTAAAAGGACTAAATCCATATATTTTCTTAACTGTCACTGTTTTTGTAACACAGGTATCAGCCTTACAGTTCAAGCTCCAAACATCTGTTTTTGAAACTAATCATGATAAGCACTTTTAACCTCCTGTTTTATAACATTATTTGGATTTTTACATAACCACAATTAACTGCTGACTTAGTGGACCAAAATTAGCCAACCTTTGACCCTTGGAGAGTGGGTCTAATTCGACATGTTAGGGACCTGCTGAGAGAGGCCGTCCTCTCAGTCTGCAGCAGGTCAGAGCCGTCTCAACGTCCACTCCCCTCAGGGGGCAGATATTAACTTTACTGACAGGAAGAGAACCATGTTGGTCCCATGAAAAGGTGGCTCAGGGTCACAGAAACTAGATGGGCCGTGGAGATAGATCCTCACTGCCCTCCAATCTCCCACTCTCAGTAGCCTCTCGAGGGAGCCGCTTAATGGCTGCGTGTTCTCAATAACACCCCGAGCAGGTAGAGACAGGACATAAAAAACAAGTGGAGGGGAGAAAAGTCAACATGGAGAGCACAGATGACTGAGTCTTTCTGTGGGAAATTTGGCTGAGAGTGACTCATTCAGATGTCTATTTCTGTTTCCTGTCACTGGGGATTGATTCATTGAGAACATGGAGTACGTACCGCCGTAGAGCTGCTTCACCACGCAGCGGAGGTTCGAGTGCCTCTTCAGAAAATTGGCAGCGAGGTTGAAGTTATTTCCTAAAAACAAAGAAAAACGTTTAAGCGTAAAAAGAAAGAAGAAGCACACTGTAACTGTACGACTGTCAACAGCCTTCAAATCAAACACCGGGGGACGGTTTAGTGATGGGAACTTTCTGGATGATGAGTGTTGGCATTGTGCTCATCCCCTCATTCACTAATAACACTTGTTCAATTGACCACCATGGCACAATACAGCCACTGTTGGTAATCAGATCATTTTTGTTATTCAAACCCTGAAAGAAAATGTCTTTAACAAGATTACAGACAGAGCAAATATTTTTTAACAGATAAAGAGATCGTCAAATGATGAGCTCCATGACCGGGACTTTAGTCAGGACGTAAAGTGAAGTTCTGGGATGTATGGTTGTGATTTCAGACACATAGCAGGAGGCGTGAAGTGATCATAAAAATGTGATGATTGAGGAGTAAAAATGTGTTTTGTTCTCTGACATTTCCTGGTTCATCTACAGCAGTCACAGTCTCTGTTTAACAGTTTTGGTTGCCACATTCCGCTCTCCCGTCTAACTTTAAACTTTGTGTTGTCTATCGTCGCCATAGTTGCATTTATGCTTCTCTCTTCAGTCAATTTGCTTCCTAACTTTTCCTCAGATAAGACAAAACAACCATCGTCAAGCTCATTTGGTCAAGCTTCATTATCCTGTAGTGTGTCCCCTATGTTGGTTTTTGCCTTGACAAGATGGAATGTCAATATTCACACATCTGTAGTGGATTCAGCTTCTTCCTCACAGAGCCAAAGAGTGAACTACCAACTCTCTATAGCACCAAGGCTTGGACCGGTGTTCCCCTGGTTCCTTCAGACAAGCTGCTGCAAACTGTGCCACATCCAGCCAATTCTATCATCTTTCTTGCACCTCATGACCACCTTGCTAAAGTATGCAGCCCCTGTTTGCTCCCTAAAGTACAAAAAAGAAAGAGTAGTTTGGTGACACGCACAGAGTTATGGTTAGCTCACTTTTCCTGACACAAGAACCAACACCCCTTCTTTAAATCACTGCACTTCCAGCTCTTTAGACTCTGATTCACTGCTCCAGACTCGTTCATGGAGTGAGAAACCATTCATTGTGTTTTAATTTGACTGACCTCCCAGTCGGGCACAAGCAGGGAAACCGTGGCGCGAACCCTCTGCTCTATTTGTCATGGAATGTTTGTCATGCTATGTAAGATGTGCTGGGCAGAAACAGTGGCCTGTTGCCTAATCTGGGAGGAATTTGTTGACTTAAAGCGAGAGCCTGGCTAACACGCTATCCAGTTGTTCTTTGTAAACAAGACAACAGTGCTGGGAAGCTGACAGAGCCTGCTCTCTCTCTCTTTCTCTCTCTTTCTCTCTCTCTTTCTACCTCTGCTGTTTCTTATCCCCTCTCTTATTATTGGCACTCATGTTGCTGTTGCCGTGTGAAAAACTCATTAGCCGCTAACCATGGGGGCTTCAGCATTTTAACTTCAGTTAAAGGATTACATGTCTTCCATAGTTTGAGAAAATCCTGACCTCTTGCACTCGAGGCTCGCTCACTACTCCCAGGATAACGTCAAAAATGCACCGTCATCAAGCTGGAAATCCGTGTGTCTGTTTCTGAAAAGCCGACATTTCGGGCTTGTTTACCCGTCGGCTACACTGACAGTCACTCATCAATAAATCTGGGAAGAATTCTTGGACAAGCCTCTGCTCAAAATTGACCTGCACCTTGGATAAACACGCTCCATACTGAGCACAACAGAGCAGACAGCATGTTAACAGCATGGGCCCACACACAAGTGTGAGGGGGCCTCTGTGAACATTCCCCTTTCCCCGCTAGCTGATGTGATCTCAGCGCCGACTCGAAGCGTCTAATTATCCTCTTCAAAAAGAAGCAGGCTTGTGATTCTTTAGATAATGACACGCTATTACTGAGACTGTTCGCCACAAAACTGCCACAGGTACACGCTTAAGACCACTGGTCAGTGATTAATGGCGCCACCTCCGCTTTCCTTTCTTTTTTCTGCTTGTGGCGGAATTAGCGTTAGCTTTAGGTCACTGTTTCTGCAATTACAGTACAGACTTGAAACAAATGAAGATATAAAAGCAGGAATAAAGAGTGAATCTCTGTGATTGAAAGTTATGAACCAGGAAATAAAACTGTGTGAAACCAAAAGGTTGTTAAGTTTTATGAAAGATGGACGCCTGCCTGATTTTTTAACGCCGCGCAATTACAAACAATATTTTCCCAAGGATGAAGTTGTATCCTGGATGACAGGCTGGATGACTTAAGAGTGTGAAGAAGATATTTAGCCTGCGGCAAAATTAGACGAGTCAGTCGGTATGTGTGAATATACCTTAACATCTATAATCTGGGTAATAATCGGAGTGATTCAAGAGGAGTTATGGGAAGCTTTTATTAAGTGTGAAACTTGGCAACAAACACAAGAGCACTTTGCACACTTGCTTTACACTACTGTCATAACCTGTCAGTTCATACCATCACGGTGACGTCTGCAGCCGTTTCATAATCGAGTCAATAAAAGGTTGTTTTTGTTTATGATATCATTTCTAAGAGTTAATCCTCTTACTTCCACAAGGTAGTAAAACCTCAATGATTGACAGTTATGAAGTAATATGAAGTATCGTGAAGTAATATTCTTGTGGGGAAAACTTTTTAGGAAGGTCATATTACAAAAATAAAGTCGCCATATGCTGCAGTATAAGACATTGAAGTCGTGTTCATATTTGGTTGTTTCTAATGTTTGAAGGCTTGTAGAACGGACAATAGGGCCGGATATCCTCTGAAGTTTATGGCCCCGTTTATACATACCCTGTTATTTTTAAAAACTGAGACATTAACCATCGTTTGCAACCAACGTTCGTTTAGACGCAAATGAAGAATTCAACCCTGAAAACGATGCTTTTTAAAAACTCCGGCCAGAGTGGAGATTTTGGAAAACTCTGTTTGAACGTTTAAATGTTAACAGAGGAAAACTGAGTGTTGGGTCGCCGACGGCAGATTGTGTACAGGATTTTATCGTTGTTTTTTTTTAAGTAGCTCCATTGCTAACATTTGCTTCACTTAACAAGCATATGCTTTAGTTGGAATACTTTATAAACTCAACGACAGTTCGGTATGATAAGCATGTTTTTAGTCTTCATTTATTTGAAAACATTGAAAATATTCTGTTCGTCTCTAAATAGCCGTAATCATCTAATGCTGGATGTCGATCCAGTGAGGAATGCAGATCTGAATCTCAGTTGTGTTTTCTCTGCCCATTCTTGGTCCAACAAGCGACCGGGACACAAGAATCTTTCATAGCATATTCATGACTTGATATGTTTTCAGAAGCTCTGATTTAGTCCTTTAGACTCTTTAGCCTCATGTCAAACTCGGCAGCTATTCTCGCCGCTTTCCCTGGTGGCTTGAGCTCGCCAATTCCCAGGACAAGTTTGACAGGGACGTCTGGACACAGAGTTGGGAACCAGTGCATCGTCGTGCCCCGAGACATCAGCTGTTGCTCCAAACTTTATAACGTCCTGCACAGCGCGGAGTTGCTCTTGGCCCTCTGCCCGGGTTCTCTCGTGCTAAGCTTACATTCATGTTTCTCTCTCACAAACAGTTTGCTGGTGCCTCCTCTGGGAATCGGTGGCCTCTTTCTGTGGCAACTGTGGCCCGCAGTGGTGCAATACTCGAATCTGCAGAGGAGACACTTTAAAGGCTTTCATTTGTACTTCCTGCAAGAGAAGATGTTCTTGCTTAATTGTTTTGAAACCCAATGCACGATGTTATGACAGATCAAATCAAACAGTAAACAAGCAAGCACGCTATGTTTTCAGAAATGTGGTAGATAATAATGGAACCACTTGTATGGAGAGTATTCTACCATCTTGTAATATACCGCAGGAAAAAAAGAAAGTCTCCACAGGGTCGGTGCCAAGGCTAAAGAACTGTATTTTTGAGAGACACACACACATGCGCGCGCACACACACACACACACACACACATCCCTGCAGCTTTCACCGCTTCCTGGGAAAACAATGAGAGGAAAGAAAAGTCAACAAACCAAAAGGCATCCAGTGTGAGTAGGACTGTAAGATGGAACAGACAGGGGTGAGAAGCATTCAGACCAAGGTCAAAGGTAAGCCCCCATGGAACAGACTTCATTAACTTCAGTCATATCCTGAGGAGATCATTAAAACAGCTCTAGAAAACACAGCAGCCTACTTCTTCTCTCCATCCGCATTCCTGGCAGCACATGCTGTTGTGACTCATGCAACAACCATAAGAATTTCTGCTCTGATATGGGGGCTTTTCTGGGGTCCTGTGAATTCGCTGAACGCTGAAGGTCCACTGACTTTGACAGGAATCCTTCGGGGAGGTTTCTCTCTGCACCTGGTTACACTGAGCTTTCTATTCAGGTCAGCTGCTTTGACGGGAAAGACAAACCAGAAGTCCTGCAAACAGATCATGAAAACGGCACTAAGGTGTACAGACCCCAAGAGTCCAGAGATGGCGTGCATCAAAATAATTGAAATTCATAAAAACTCTGTGGACACATATAACTTGTTGGTGGTGCTAGCTCTGCCAGCCTTAGTCACACTCTGTGATCCAATTTGACACCTTTGACCTGCAGATTCTGCAGCCCTGAATTTACCCGTGTTACATCAGTTTAGGGTGACCATATTCTGACTTCCCTAAAAGAGGACACGACTACGCTGGGGTGGAGTCACAGAGTCGCACAAAGTTAATTTTGAGAGTTTTTCGGGTCGGATCAAGTGTCTTTTACGCACTTCTAACTCAGTAACGCCACGTGATGCAAACTTGAAATTTACGTACAAAACCCCAGACTTTTAAGGATTTTATAAACTTCCCCGGACAGCCCCCCAAAAAGAGGACATGTGCGGGTAAAAGAGGACGTACGGTTACCCTACATAAGCTGTTTCTTAATTTACTTGTCATAGGCCTGTCACGATAACAAATTTTGCTGGACGATAATTGTGCTACAAATTATCGCCGATAAACGATATTATTGACACCATTTTTTAAATTATAGATAATGATATTATATGGCATAATAATGCGAGTACACCATGTCAAAAGTGATAAACTTTAATTTCCACACGAGAACAACACTGGTTGTTTTCATTGACTAAAATATTTCCCTTTTCTCCCACGACGAAGACGTAACGTTGACGAGCTAAACATAAGTCGGAGATGACTAAAATGTGACGAGACGAAAGTGCGTTTACGTTGATGGGACGGGACGAAAATGACGAACAGAGTTGCAAAACTCAGTCAGTTAAACGCTAAACATATAGGAGCAGCTTCAGTCCGCTCTGACAGCTCTCATCAGCCTGCTGTGCTCCTCCAACACACAGACACACACGCACGCGCGCTCGCGCACACACACACACACACGTGGAGTTTTGTGGTTGACGAAAACAAAACTGGTTTAAAGCCGAAATATTCCCACACTTGGGCTGTTGCGTTCGGTTTAGACACCAAAGCTGTCGTGTTCATTCTGTTAGCTTGCTTTTCACTCACGATGCTCACTTGCAGCACTATATCCAAAAAGTCTGTGTCTGTGTGCCTGTGCGCGCTAGCCCCCTCGTGACAAAGACACTGAATGACTGACAGGAGGGTTCACTAACTCCGTTCATTCCGCTATAGAGCCAACGCCCCCAGGTGCCGAGAACAATGCGCAGAGTGAGACCTCTTCTCTCATCCAGCGTGTTTGGTAGCGAGAGAGGAGGTAAACAAACGCACGTCAATTATCGAGGCTGGCAAAGTTATCGACCTCGTTTTTATTTATCGAGCGATAAGGCGATTTATTGATTATCGCGACAGGCCTAACTTGTCAGCTAGTTGGGGTTATAACTCCTGTTGTAACGAGGAAATGAGTTGCCTTGAATCATCTCAAACAGTGAGAGCCTACCTCGAGAGAAACTGAAATTTTCAGCCACATAATTGCTCCACTTAGTTTCTGACAGGATTATTTTACTAGTTTAGAGTTATATTCCATGCAAGGAGAGTATCATTGCAGAAACAGTAGCAACAGGGGGAAGAAAAGATGATAACATGAAAAGAAAACATGATTGGCCTCTTGATCCATCAGATAAAAGTCGGACAGAGAAATAAAAAAGCTCTCCCTAATGAAATATTATACCTCAGTTTACTGCTAAAATGATGCCAGATTTAAAACCACGGCTCTGAGAAGGACAGGAATCTGATAAGCCAGGAGCTGCATGTAAACAATGGTTTTACAGTATCCTAGTTGTTGCAGTGCATGTTAAAGCGCTCTCAGATTTCCCGCTGTAACCTGATTTATCCCGTTAACCACATTTCTGGTGTGCATGTAAGTGTAGTGACTGTATGTCAGGAGTACTTCACTTCCCACGCAAACCCCTTTATGAACAGGAGTTGAATCAGCAGGACAGTCAGACATCAGTGCCTGAGAATCCTGCTCTTTTGACATCTCTGCTTTGATGTGGACCCCCTCCCTCTGCCCTTGAGTGTGGGTGGAGAGTTGGGGCTCAAAAAGAGAGAAAGAGAGAGAGAGGGGTGGAGTAGTGAGGGATGAGAGAGCCCGAGGAAGTTACCCATATGTAAGTGGGGGCTTTCCTGGAAGGACATCACTCTCTGTGTGTAACTACAGCTACGGCTGTTGCAGAGCAGTGTGCCTTATCATCCTGCACAACGTCCACCTGAAACAATATTTGCACATGAGTGTTCAATTTAACATTTGGGTGACCCCTTCATCGCAGTTACAAAATACGCCGCAGCATGGTAGCTCAGGCCAACCCATAATGCAGCATGTGACTAGAGTGGTGGGGAGCGTTTTGGAGCACAGAACAATTATCGAGGGAGGAAAATCTATTTCTCAGAAACATAATCTGATGAGAGAAAAGTAGTCACAATACAAACTGTCACAGTTAATCATCATTATGTCCTAATTAGCCCAAGTGGCCACAGATCTCTCAGAGTGCAGCCTCTGTTTGTATTAGAGAGACTTCAGGATGAGAATGCAAACTGCTTACTCTGCATTAAGACCCTCCACATTAATGGGATGCCGAGTAGTTTGTGGACTTTTTCGGGTTATGTCCTGTGCCCAGCCCGCCTGTCAAGACTCAGATTTGGCCTCAGTGGAAAAAAAAGCCTCTGTCTGCTTGCTGGGTGCTCGAAAATCGGAGCTATCAAGATTTGGCTCGAGCAGAAACCTCAGCGACAAAAACCGCAGTTCCTCAAAAGTCCACTTGGGGCTGAGTCCAAAGTAGGTCAATCCTCATAGAAAGTCATGTAAGATAGAGACAGGCACATCTGAAAGAGCGGGTTTATATTACTATTGTTAAATATTACACTCTTGTCGATCCAGCGATGGGTGGATAAGTTCACGTTAGCGTTATAAGTTTTGACTTTCCATCTATGGTGAGGTGGGAGGTTAAAAGACTTCCTTGACAGGTACTGACATAAATAACCAAGATACCTGAAGAAGCAACCTTGCTACTGATGCGGCATCCCTCCTGTCAACCAACACACATCCATCTGAGCAATAAAACCTCAAAGATCCCTCAGGTTGGTCCAGCCCACAGCAGAACAGACTCTTTTCTTGGTTGACCTTAAACCACGATGACTTTTCTCTCAGAAAATAAGATATAATTGATAGTTTAGTAAAGTTGTGAGAACTAGAAACTGTCCATGTCCAGTCTCACTAGACCAGATTGTTGGTTTTGGCCCGGGTTTGTAATACGATCCGATTTCCAGAAGAGTTGGGGATGTTTTCCACCGTGTTGCATCACCTCGACTTTTAACAAACCTCTGTGAGTGTTTGGGAGCCAAGGCAACCAATTTGTGGAGTCTTTGTCTGATATAGGATTTCAGCTGATCAACAGTTCAGGGTCTTCCTTATTGTGTTATTTGTTATTCGCACCATGACGTGCCAAAATGTGGGTTACAGATCAGTGCGAGTTCAGAACCAGCCTCTTCTGCTACAGAGTCATGATGTTATAATACCTGCAGGATGTTAAACTTTGATTCGTCAGACCTCTGCGAAGTTTCCAAGTTCGCCTCAGACTATCTTGAGGAGGAATCACTCGTGTTTCTGGATTTCCTCTTTACAGTTTGAACCTGAATCTATGACTGCAGAGACAAACTGTTCACAGACATCTTTGAGGAAGTGATTTTGAGCCCATGCGGTGACTCCTACTACAGAGTCATGTCTATTTTTGATACAGCGCTGCTTCGGTGCCTGAAGATCGCAGTCATCAGTTATCAGCCTCGTTCTTCTTCTAGATTTCTCTTAATTTTCTTAAACGTTTGATGTTCTGTAGATGATGAAATCCAGTATAAACTGAAATCGATCATTTTTCCATCTTTACTTCTGAGAGACTCCGCCTCCAAACTCTTATGGCACCGGGGTTGCAGATTAGATCATTTACAGAGACGTTGCATCTGAGGCAGGGATGTTGTTGGCCGTGATGATGACAAGCCACTAAATGAATCTCACTCTGAGGGAAACAGTCGGCTCATTCAACAGCTTTGAGCAGAAATTAACTTCATATTTTGGGTAACTTGGTGATCCACCCTCTTCCTCTAACACAGTCACTTCACATGAGAAAACCAATCGCGCAACAGCGGAAAAATGCTGAACTTTAGACTTGAAAAAGGCGATCAATAACTCCATGTCGTCACGGTGCTTTTACAGCCTACGAACTTAACTCGCTGACCTTATGCAAACAAAAGCCTGGAAAGCATTTCTGTCATCAATTAAACTGCTGCTGTCATTAACAGCAGTCCCGGGCTGGCATTTTCTGACAACACGAGAGAATTTTGCACACAGCATTACAATGACATCTGTCCGCAGAGAAACCGCAGAGCTCATAAGAACACGCGACAGAGGCCCCGTTTCTTTCAAAAGAAAGCAAAGAGCAGAGAAAAACAACATCCTCCTCCCTCAGAAATGTTTCAGTAAATCCTCAAACAAGGCATTCTGGTCAGGCTGAACACTTAGCAGGAGTTCAAGAGAGTGTGTGCCATCTCCCAGACCAGAATGTGGTAAAGGGGAACAGTCACATGAATGTGATCCGTGCTCAGGCTCAGGCTCAGGCCCTAATTATATGGGAAAAGAGCGTGGTGTGACAGCTATGGCGGGGATTGTGGTCGTGTCCTAAGAGTCTGCAGCTGACCCTGCGGAGACAGGGAAGGAGAGAAAGTGAGAAAACATCAAGAAAAGACAAGAGGAGGGCAGAGGAGAGGAGAGAGGGTGCAAAAATGTGTAGAAGTTCGAGGGCCAAAAAAAAAGGAGGCGAGTGTGTGTCTATGTGTCCAATAATGGGGAGGGGAGTTAACAGTGGAGTCAGACTGTCCTATGTGCTGCTGCTGAGTAAGGCCGGGGGCTTACAGGAAGGATTTAAAGAGCCACAGCAACACCACAAAGCACCGGGGGAAAGGGGGTTGCCCAGCAGGGGCCAGAGGAGGGAGGGTGAGTGGGTTAGAGGGGCAGGCGGGCCGGAGTGGCTACTCTGATCAGGATCCATTTCCAGCCCAAGCCTTGGAATTCCTTTGTTCCTGTCACAGGTCTCTGTTACCCCCGCGCCTTAATCCCGGCCTGCCTCACGCCCAGTAACACAGAGCAGGGCAGGTAACTCTGCCACATGCATGCCTCTCTATTTACAGACCAGTCCATACATCACAGACACACACAGACACACACATAAATAGTAGTAGCTGTAGTAGCACTTAGGTGTGTAACTACAAAAGAAATGTGCTGCTAACCTTCACTCTCCCTGAAATGGACACTGAAGAAGGCTCACTCACACTTTGACTTTCAGACACTTTTAAAAACCGTTGTAGCCCGAGGCCTTCAAAGAGCATGGGAAGCAAAACAAAGCTAACTGTATGACAGGGCAGTGCAAAAACTGAGTCTACACATCCTCCGCATTCTTCATCAGGAGGGAGATGGTCATTCGTAAACACATTCTCCAACAGTAAAGCTATCCAGCAACACTTGTGCTTTTCCCGCAGTGGCCATGTCCAGGCTGCCTTAAGCCCCCTTCACAGGGCTGCCAAGAGGAGTCAGTGGTACACTGTGCTGCGCTCGCAAAGCCCTCTCCCACGGCTATTAGTGACCATTCATCTGGGGAGCCTGGGAAAATGCCTCTCCAGCCTGCCGTGGCCATGGGGAAACAGGCTGGCAGGTGTTCCTCCCCTAAGCCCTGGCACCTGTGCAGGCAGAGGAAGAAGGAACCAGCTCTGCCATGGGGCGCAACGTACTCAGGGTACCCACTCTGCCAGGGCTCCTCCGACCCATCCAGAGAGTAGGAAGTCCCTCCAACACGAGGTGGTGGGTGAGCTCTACTGGAGCTCTGCGGCACATGAAGGGATCAATCTGCATGTATCAATACGAAGAGTGGGCGTGAGACATCTGGTAATGTGCTCTGGCAGTTTGAAATGGCACGTTAGCTAAATCCGTGTGAAATGGGCCCTCTCAGTTTACACTCTACACTTCCACACAAATATATACACTATAATGGACCACAAAACCAATACCCCCTGGAGGAAAAACAATACAAGACCAAAAGAGAAGAGGAATAAAGAAAGCAGAGAATCAGCAGAGCAAGCAAACTAAGACAAATCTAATATTTAAAGAATATTATTCAGAGTGTTTGGCACACATGCCGTGCAGTTCAAGAGTTAAGAGATGGACAAAGCCTCTGCCGCTGCAAACACTGTAGAATAAAAAGATTTGGCATCAACCTGCAACTAATGAAAACAAACTTTCTTCACCATGAATCAGTTCGTCCTCCATAACAGAAGTCTTCAATTCAAGCTGATCTGTGCTGCAACCATGAGTGGATTAGAGCTGCCATCACAGCAGCAAGAAGAAGAAGGACTGATTTTAGATTACTGAGCACCGATGAAGCAAAGTGCAGATCTAGCAGAGATTTGAGCTTTATTTATTTATTCAATAAGTTTCACATAAATGTGTTTTTGCCACCACGGCGTGGCTGCAGGGGCTGCGAGCTGAGCTGCTGCCAACATATGCTCCGCTTATTCCTTGGTTAGGATTCCTTCCACCCTTCAGACGGCGGCTGAATTGTCCGCAGAGCCCCCCCCCCCACCCTTTTTCTTGACACAAGCTCATCCAGCTACAAATTCAGTAAAAACACTGAACAAAGAGGCATCGCGTTCAACCAGCGCCTCTCCAACACTCTCAAGCGGCAAAAACAACAGAAAGTGCCAACAAATCTTTTCCATACATAATTTTGGTTTTCATAAATGTATTTTTCTGTGTATTCTGTATTTATGACCGCCTGTTAAACTGGAGAACTGAGGAAAGCTCCCTGGCACCCATCCTGTCTTTATGTATTCTTAGTCTGGCGAAGGTCTCAGAACTGGGGCTGGGAGGAAATATCGACACAGCAATATCACAACCCTCCTGACTTGTGCAATACAATAATCAAAATGCAAACACTAAATTTAAGAATTTTAATCAAAAAAATATGGCGCTCTGAAGGGTTCTTCTTCTCCAATGCCAATTTGACCGGCTATGTCACAACTCTGTGATTCCCCACAATGGCGCTAACGGGATGATTTAGGGCCACACGGACTGAACTTAATTGGCCCAAGAGGAAGATGACAGCAGGAAAATAGCAGAAGAAGAAACAAAAAGTGGGAAAAACCCAAGTAACCATGAAAGTCGGAGCTAAGAATGCGGTTACATCTGAATTAACTGTGTTTCATTATGAGCTGAAAACTTAGAGTTAAAGTTATTTAGTCATTAGCTTCTGTTGGGGTTAATTCCAGGTGAGCAGCAGTATCACAAGAGAGCAAAAAAGAGACGTTGCTCCCCCGTGTCGTTCACGAGCCCAAACAAAGTTATCGTGCTACAATATCAGACAGTAGAAACCAACCAAAATTGACTGAATCCTCTTTTGGTGACGACTGCCGACACAAGCAAGAAAACGAAGTAAATACCAGAGACTCTGGCAGAATAACGGGCGCTTAAAACGAAGGTAGACCGGACAAGAGCTAAAAAGCCGGGTCAATATAAACGATGGGGGACGCTTGGGGATCTTGGTGACCCTGTAACCTTTCTGCTGGACAGGTAAACCGCTTTAACAAAGTAAGACAAGTGTCTGTAACAGAAGTGTTTCTTGTCAAACGGACCTGCTGTAGCGTGTTGTAGCACCATCGCTAAACTGTTGACCTCGGGTCCTGGACTATGTCACTTTATCCTAGTTGTAGAAGTCCTGCAAACATTGTGTTTGCTGGTCGTCTGTTGGCATCTACAGTAGCACCAATGCTTTTGACTTTCACCTTGACTGGGCCCCATTTGTAATTATCTGAAGTATTTATCTGCATTATATCTGAATTTAATTGGAACGATACGAGCGAGCAGGAGCGTCTGTTTGTGGGCGGGGCTTGCTGGAGCAGAGAGGAGGAGCTGAAGGGAAAACTGGTTGGGAGGGGTAGAGTTTACATTCAAGATTTCTCCCAAAAACTGGAACTATATAACTTATACTGATGGTCAAAGCATCACTGTATCATGATATTATATCCCGGGTACACAAGTCGATATTAGAGATTAAAAATGGTTTCCGAACACTCGCCTGGGTCTGAATTGAGACAGCTGTCACTGGAAAGCAGTGGCATCTTTATGAACAAAACTGCGACACTCCTGTGGTCAAAGAGCATAACCACTAGCTTCCTTATCAAATGACAAAAATGTATTCCTCGAAGCACAGAGGGCCTATTATCCACTCATTTTCAATCTGTAATTACTCTGAGAAATGTGGGTGTGTCAGCACGGTCGACCAGCGAGAATGCAGCAGGCCTCTCCCAAGATCCCCTTCCCTTCAGCTTTTAAGGTCTTGCATGTCCATTCTGCCCGTCCAGAGCCAAAATGTTTGGTGGGAAAAGTTCCCTCTGTTCATCTCTCTAAAAACATAAATAAATCACATCACTATGAGCTAATCATGAAGTCTCAAGTAGCCTGGGTAAAAAAAAAAAAAAAAAAATGAGGAGGGGAGAGGGGGCCGTGGGCTGACAGTTGGAAATTGGCCTCTGCAGCTGAGATTTGAAGAAACGGCCTGAATTTATGTTGGCAGGAGACATGGGATAAGCTCTCTGACATGTGCTGTACACTCACACATGCACCCTACACAGCAGCATGCACACATAAATACAATAACCCATAGAGATAACTCGGACCCAAACACTCGCACTGAAGGACCTTGGAATGTTAAAAGCTGTTGATGGCTCATTTGAAGTGCCAACAGCTGAGGCTGTTACGCTGCTCTTACTGCTGTCTGTTGGCGGGAGCCCCTGTGATTTCACACTGGCACCAGCTCAAACACCGCCTCATACAAGACCCCACCACACCCCCACCCTCATACCATCCCACACATAGCACCACACTCCACCCACCTATTCTTGGCCCCAGACATCAGCACTATCCTGACTGACACCTTTCCTCTGTGCGCAACAACATGCATGTGCACATGTTCTGGCACATACCATCGAATCTGGAATATAAGTCACACTGGGATAGAGGATTCAGAAGCTTTTTTTTCAGGGGTGTCCCAGAGGGAGGGAGACAGCTTTTAACTGTCTTCCTGTGTGAAGAGGTGGTGCGAGTCGACTTTCCATGTGTTTTTATCCTGCTAACTACAGATGTCGAGCTCTGGAGAGGTAGCATTTGTAGTGCTTTGGTGCGTGTGAAATATGTGCTGCTGAAACAATAGTCAGAGTTCCAACAACATATGAATGATAAAACATTATTTAGTGTTTTCCCTTATTTGGAGCAGCCACCCAGAACCCCAACACGCCAGAAACAACCAGAATATTTTATACCTGTAACACAGGTGCACAGCAGAAACTTGATTTCTGTTTCAGTACGCACATTAGAGCGTCACGGCCTCCAGACCGCTGACGAGAATCTGTATTTCTGAGTGTATACAAAAATATGGACAGTTTATGATTATTGTATGAAGAATTTTCATGTCCACAGCTGTAGTGAACTTCCCAGGTATGAGATATAAAACACAGCAACACTTCTCGGATGCTTTTCTGTCCTTGTTTCCTCGTTCTTTGCTCGACTCTCTCTGAATCTCACCCATTTTTCCCTCTGGTATCTAACATATAAAAGAGTATTTAGGCTACATTAAAGTAAATAATTTTGAGTCCTTATGTTACAAGAATAAAGTCATAATCTAGTAAGAATAAAGTTGCAGCAAGGTCCCAATATCAGGATTATAAAGTTGTGATGTAACAGGGGTTAAGCCATCATGCAGGCTGTCGGTCCTCCTGAAGAGCCTTTACATCAAACAAACACACCACATCATTTATTTACTAAATAGTCCATAACTGTTTTCTTCATATGTGTGTTTACAATCTAATGAGATGAAAGTTTTAACACAGAAGTCTGCTCCACTAGTCTCCATCATGCTCTGACAAAAAATACACCAAATCCTCTTTCTGCATGTTTTATGGTTATGTTAGTCACACCTCTTCAACACTTCAGTATATATTCTGCTCTAGATAACACAACAGACACGCACTTTTACAAACAGATCTTCCTCTGACTAAAACAGATCCACGCAGAGAAAACAGCTTCCACTCCCTGCTTTCTGAAAGGCCAGTGAGGATTAGCAGGTTAGCGTTTGACCTCCTTGCCGAACAGACGACCCCAATACTTAATACCCACCCTGAGGTTTGCTGGGCTTCCCTCCCTAAGCCTATAGTCTGTCCTCCCCTTTTTATGGCTCCTGCCTGCCTGCTTACTTCTCACAGTCGCAGTCTCCACCTTTACTGCTCCGCCGTCTCCCTCACACGGGACAATGAAAAGACCAAGAATGTCATTACACTCACTTAAGACCTTTAATAGGACTAGAGCACATGAAGTGAGTGGGCCTGTTTGAGCCGCGATACCGTTTCATGTCCTGAGAGGGGAAAATTCTCAGATATGGTACGGAGTCATGTTCCACTGGTTACATTCTTTCTGGCAAAGCTGAGAGGAGCTTAATCATTTTTACACGCATATTTCCCCGCTGAAACACTGATAGTGCTCTTGTTCACACAGTGGGAGCGTATGTGTGTGTGTGTGTGAAAGTGTGTATGTGTGTGAGATCTCCATCATTAGACATGTCTGTCTCTCTTCAGTCTGTCATGGGCAATATGAGACAGGCTTTTCAGTAACCTTACACTGTAAGCCTGTTCACACCTAGCCCAGGGGGAGGATATATCTCTGCAACACACTGTCGCTCCTTTTGATTTCGCACTGGTTCTGACGTGCATCAGCGCCTGGGTGCAGCGCAACCAGTGTGTCTGCTTATATGCTGACTGTGTGTTTATCGGGAAAATGACAGAAGTGGAGCGATAATAACACGTACACAGACATCGGTGTGTGAAAACAAATGCACACGCCGTTTGGGTGGATTAGGAGGCTGAAGTGGAGGGAAGTAGCGTGAGAGGCAGCGCTGCAGCCACAGGAGAAACTTTATGGGGCCGACTGCCCTGTAATCCCACTCTCACAGTCGGTCCTTCCCCGCTGAGTGAGCCTACTTTAACTGCCCTTAACTGCTACCTGTGACAAACCTGTCTGCATTACAGCACACAGCCGGGGGTTCCTCTGAAGCTGGGCTTACGGCGCTTCAAAGGCATGTGTGTGGGTGGCTGGAGGAATGAACCGGCACTGGATAAATAGGGATGAACTGCATTTGTTAGCACACAGAAGGGAAGTCCACATTAAGTTGACTTCATGACCTTCTCGACTGTGTCAGTCCTCGTCAGTCAAAACTTCAGAGTGTCAGAGTAACACAGGGTCATGTTTGTGGTTTTGATTGTTGTGTTCTACTACCTGGATGTAAACCTGCACAGTGGATAGATTACACTTCTTAGCAATCTGCAATATAGCAAACAGAGATAACTGTGTCTGGGTAAACTGGTATTTAACCACTCAACCTAACAACGCACCTACAGCACAGGTGTGGGGACGTTAACGCTCCATCTGCAAACCAGTTCAACACTTTTCACTAACAGACTCTGTGTTTGATGCTTGAACAGAAACTCCTTTTCTTATTTTTAATTGATGTACACTTGCTCTGTTATTATGATCCCAGCCGATAAGTTACCACCTCTTCTTCAAACTCATACGAGCATGAGAAAGATGCTTTTGTTTGTGTGCGTGCCAGCTCTGAGTGCGAGGGCAGCGATCAGAAAAACAATAAATCAGAGGACGAATTACTGAAATTCGCAGCTCTAAAAGGGGGTGATCATTAAGGTGTTATGGGCCCCTTCAAACCCAATCAGGAAACCCCGATGTAGCAACCTGACACCTGCATAGCCCATCTAAAAAAGTCCCCTGATTTCTTCATTTACTCACAGAAACATTAATTTTATTGTGCTGGTCTTCTTAAACTGTCAAACCGAAATGCTAAATTTAACGTCTATTGCAAATTAAGGTCAACACGCCCGTCTGTTGTTACTTGTTGGGCGTAACTTTGCCATGTTATGTTTTCAGCGTGCATCACGTCTGATGTTATTCTGAAAGATTTGTTTTTGTTTGGGATTGTTGTAATAATAACAGACATAAATTTACATAGTGTTGATGAAAGCGCTGAAAAAAATCAAACATACACATTTCAACATCCTCTCTTTAAACAGATGTAATAGTCTGAGCTCAAATGTCCATTTATTGAGTAATATAAGTCTTTACGAACTGCTCCAGTTGACACTGGTGTGTAATTTGTTGATTTTTCACTGTGTTTATATATGTATCGATAAACGTGTTGAGGCAACAGTTTATGGTGTGAACTACAAGAGCAGATAAATCCAGGTGTGCCAACGCCACATTACTGAAAAGGAGAACAAACACAGGCCATTTAAATGGACTTAAACTGTGAGCCAAGTTAAACAGAGCAGCGCAGTCTAAAATCCTATCAGCTCCTGCCTGTGGGTCACACCCTGGGCGTAGAGAGCCACCAAGTCCTGACTAGTCCTGTTGTCTTTCCTCCCACACTCTCCTCTGAAGGTAACCCTGAAATACATTTTGTACTTCTCTGTGACCCCCGCTCTCCCGCCCCGAGCTCAGCGCCCACCCCTCTGCCCCTCCTTACGCTCGGCCTGCAGTCGCTGAGATCCAACGGATAAATAATGATTTTTGAGTTCATCGCCAAAGTAAATCATTTTTCTCTCTCAAAGGGTGATGATAGACACACCTCAGACAAGAAAAGGGAAGGCTGCGATGACTGCATTCCAGGGCAGTGACTAACAGTGAAAGCAAAACAGAGTAAACATGACAGGAGTTCATTACAAATAACAATTTAAACTAGCGCGCTGAGTAAATACACAGAGAAGTGATGTTTTTACAGGTACTGGGCCAGTAAGAAAAGCATTCTGGTTTTGGCTGCAGTGCTGGGAAATCAGGGTCGTAAACTGTCGACTGGTTTGAGGACTGATAACCAGAGTTCAACAGAAGATTACTCCACCGAGCAAAAACTTTGCACCATAAAGGACATGAGCGAAAAAGTAAATGTGACCTGTACCTACAGCTGATTTTTTTTTATGTGTTTTTAAACGTTAGAGGTTAGATACAGGGTTTAAAGCGTCATAATTTGTTATTTTAAGAGAAGGAATGCAATGGCAACAGCGGAGGAGGCTTCTAGAGTGCTAGGCAACAAAATGATTCAAACTGGTTTTAAAGATAACGATCTGACACAACGTTCTGTTACTTCTCTTTATCACTTCAGAATGGCACTTTACTCTCATCTCAAAACAAACTGCTCATGTTTCAGATTTGTTTTCTTTACTTTTTTTGCATTTATGTTCACATTATTTATCCTTGTTAATAAGTTTTGTTTATTTTGTATGTTAGGTGTATGTTGGCTGGGGTTGTGTATGGAAGTAGGGTGAGCAAGATGTCTGCATTTGTTATATGGTATGTATGTTAATGTATTGTAATGTGTCCTGAGTTCTATGTATGTTTGTTTAGGGACCCCCTTGAAAATGAGATGCTTTCCTTTAATAAATTCAAGTTTAAATGTCAGATTGGAGAGTTTTTTGAGTTTTCATAAAGCTAATAGAGGAACAGCCTGAAAAGATGAGTATAACACTCTCCTTTTAGAGTTACTGAGAGCTAGAAAAATATCACTGATGAGTGTTTTTCCATCCACATTATTTCAAAGGATACATAGGAGGTAGAAATGAAATGCAGGGTTCCTGCACAGTTAGAATTTCCATACTTTTCCATCCCCTAAATTTTAGAATTATTTTTGGAAATACCTACTTTTCCATTTTAGAAGTGTGGTAATGATGTGGAAACATTGTTTTTCCATACTTTATTTTTCATTTTCCATATTTTTAAGACCAAATTTATTTCCATACTTGCATAGGAACCCTGGAAATGGGAACGATGAGCAGCAAATCCTACTGAGAGTGGGAAGTGACTCTTTGTCCAGTCCAATGATGACTGCAGCCTCTGTACACGAGGTGCCTACTCCACCAGCTGTGCTAAACTGGGGCCCCTACGCCTGTCCTCCTTTTTTGATTTAAACTTGGGTAGTAAAGGCCGGCCCGTCTCAGGACCATGTACTGGTTCATCTCCTGTAAGACAGTGCGTTACCTTTGACAGTCAAGGTTACAGCAGGTGCCAGCTCCTTCTTCTGTTTGGTCTGTTTTCTATTGTGGAGGATGTCCGTGTACTGCTTCACTCTCTGGTCCACCGCGTCTCGAACCAGGGCCGTGACCTCCTGCGAACAGTGTGCAGATATTTCAGTGCAGGAAAACATCTCTGAACAAAAGCAAACAGGACAGTTAGAGGCCTCCGAAGAGAAAGGCCAGTGAGACAACTCCACAAGTGGCTGGGTGGAGAGATGAGAACAGTTGAGCAACAATGGAAACCTCTGTGATGAATAGACACAAGGCTCAAAGTCATTTCAGATTCCACGCTGCTGTCGCTGCTGTCTCGAGAAAAGGCCCCCTGCAGAACAGAAGCCATATATTCAGTCACACGCTTATTCACACCCACGCCCGTCTCCCTGTGTCCGTACCTCGATGTGGTCCGTAGTAAACCAGCTGGCGTCCTCTCGGCCGCCCAGGGGCAGAACGTGGAGATCCACCAGCACCGCAAAGTTCCCACACTGTAACACAAAGAGGAAGGACAGCCACAGGTTGCTGAGGGGCATTGAGCTCAGAGACAACAAAGGAAATCAGAGTGTGGGTGATTGACAGCGAGACAAACCACAACGACCCCCTGAGTCTTCAAACATCACCCCAGGCCTCTCACAGTAGTCCCCTCCCTCCTGTTTCGCTGTCTAGCCATCTTTTTACCAATCTCTTTACAAAAAAAAAAAAGGACGTCCCTCTTTGTCTCCTCATATTTCCCCTTTCTCAGAGTATTTCCTTTATCTATAAGCTTTGCAATATAGTCAGTGCCTCAGGTCAAAACAGGCTGCACAGGGAGAGTTTAAAGAGGGAGCACATAAATGAGGATTATCCGACTTTGTATCAGAGTGGTGATAAAACTGCACAGATCTGCCCCACAGCTCTGTAGGTTTCTGGACTACAACTTCAGAGTGGATAAGAAAGCTGAGTCGAGGGCTGCAGAGTGGATTCCTCAAGCACCACGTCATCGTGTCAATGACAATAAGCTACGAGGGACGGGGAGGCCAGAAATGCCGCGGCTGGTTAACTCGCCGTTACATCTTTCTCAGGCTGGCCTGATTATGGTTTACACATGAGTGCAAAAGCTGCCCGCTGCAGAGAGCAAATGGATGTGGGTCTCGTGTGAACTTCATCTCTCCCTGGACAAGGAAGTAATGGATGGAGTGAGACCACCCACAACATGAGACAGAGGAGAAACAAGCACTGCCCCAAAGCCCAGTGTGATAATGCAGCAGAAAGCAGTGAACTGAATAAAGCAGCAAAAACACAGTTACATAAAGCCAAACGCAGACGCAGATTTTCTCATTTTTTCTCATGGTGGATGTGTACAAACAGAAGAGGTGATTCATGTAGTAACAGAGGATCCTTTTCACACTAAGAGCTTTGTTTGGAGCTTTGTCCGTCCCCTGGGCTGGAGCGCTAAACTCGACAATCCAGACTTCAGGGATGTTTCTACGACCTCGCTCTCAGGATGACGAACATCAACAGGGTGTGTAGGGGAAGGCCCTCGCTACAGACACAAGTCTATACACTTCCCACCACCAAACTCTCTCCAGTTGTCTCCCTCTGTTGTTTCAAAAGGGGTCAGGTTTGCTCTTTCGTCATAGCAGGAGTCTGAGAAAGTTTTATTAACTGTTAGGAAGCTGAAGTTGGGCTGGGAACCGTTTGTCATGTGGCATTCAAAGGCTAAAATCTGCCTCTGAGCGACTCAGACAGACAAATACTTGTTCTTTTTCCCATGAGAGTATTCTCCTTTCTTATTGTCGTCCAGCAAATAATAACTGAAAAGAAGCTGCTGCCTCACTTTTTCTTGGAGGTCAAACAGAGGAGAGGGCGCCCCCACATGACCGACCAGAGTACTGCATCAAAGCCTGCTCTAAAAATTATTTCTTTACAAACTTTTGCCTGAATAGAAACAAAAATATGTTTCCACAAAGAAAAGACTGGAGCAGAACAGAGCCCCCCTCTCTGTGCAGACCCCTCATATATAAGATGTGTGCATGCAGCCTGTCAGTATCAGCTCGTCCCTATAGATCAGTATTCTCTCCATCCTTTGCCCTTTGTCTGGCAGCAGTACACGGGTGACTGGTGGCCTCAGCTGACTGCCTCCAACAATTACCAGTGTGTGGGAAAAGCCTAGCAACAGAGGGCCAGACCCTGTCAATCAAAACACGGGGACGTACTGCTGGAGGAGCCCTACGGTGGTGTCTAAGGGGTTGGACTTGACACACGATGGACGGGTGACGGTATGCGGACTTTTGTCTTTGACTTGACAGACATAAGAGCAGTGACAGTGATGGGTTTAATACTGCTGCACCTGCTATTTTCTCTGCCGACTAAAGAGGGTCAAATTAAAGACACACTACAAGTATGTGTCGCACTTACATTCAGAGCACATCTATAGGACCCATTTATTAAAAAAAGTTAATTTTTTATTTTATTTTAGCTAATTTTTTTAGATTAATTTTCTATTTTTTCATATATCTAAAAAAAAGCACATTTTCATTTTATTTTGCTAATTTTTTTTTGATTATTTTTCAATTTTTTCATATATTTAAAAAAGTACATTTTTATTTTATTTTACTATTTTTTTAGATTAGTTTTCTCTTTTTGGGGTCATTTTTATTGCTTAAGTTTAGCAAACCTATGTATTTATCATGGTTTGCGGTGCACAGTGTTGGATTGGGGTACAATTACTATCTCACGTTCATTCAAAGCACTTTGAGTATTATTCATGTTTATTTATTTACTTATTCATTCATTTATTTTTCTATTTATGTATCTATATACATTTATAGGTATAGGTATATGAGAGTATATGTTTGATTATTCATTGCTGTAACATTTACTTGTACCTTCTTTTCTCAGTTGAATTAAATAAAAGTTGATCACAAAAAAGAGTATTATTTATGTCTCTATGTGCAACATTTAAGTTGTTATCTTTTGCTTTAGTTATAATGGTTACAGTCTGATCCTCTTTTATTATTTACAAACGAGCCAAGAAGTTACTTAAGAAGTAAGTAACTAAGAAGTAACTTTTCACGTATTATTCGAGTTGTTTTGACTTCAGCATTAAGTCACATCTCCCCGGTTATCCCGACACCACATGAATGCAGGGAGGAACTCTTGCTTAATGCATGGATTACCAGCTTTTCAGGTACAATCGGCCTGCTATAAATCCTTCAAAGCACATGTTACATTTAGTCCAACATGTGTCACATGAGTAATAATTCATCCGCATGTTTATATTTGAGACCACGGTTAATAGAGGAGCAGCATCGGAGTCTTTTTAACAGGAGGTATCTGACAGAGAACAGAGAATCAATCTTATAGGGTACATGGCTTTAAATTACACCGGCTAATGTGAGCCCTAAAGAGCAGCACAAGGTTAATTTGATCAATACTCGGGGACAAAGAGAGCAGTATAGAGAGCCAGGCCCTTATAGAGGCACACAGCAGGGTGAATCCCCCTCTGAGCTCCTGATTGAGTCAGTGTTTTGGGCTGAACGCCAGACATCTAGCAAGCCTTAGACTAACTTCCTTTTATCACATTAGAGCAGCAGACAAGACTCAACTGGGAACTGGACATTAATGATAAACATTGGTCTGTCCCCCACACAAAAACAGCATGTGATTCTCCGAAAAGGGAATTTTGTCAGGAATGTAAACTAATGCAATCACACTAATAAGAAAACAATTAATTTGTCCGAGAAACCAGAGCTTCAGTGGAGGCGCAAATTCCCCTCTGGAGTGTCAATCTTTGAGTCCGGGTTTGAGCCGTGTAGGTGAAGCTATCAGAGCCTTGACAAAAAGGATGTTTGAGTTGAGTGCAGCAGATAAGACAAAAAGGAGGCCGGATCTAATTTTACACAAAGGCAAAGACGACAATCACGTCATGTGGTCTAAATTTGTCAAGTCCCAGGACAAAGGCTGACCTGTGGATCTCTGAGCTGAACCCTGTCATGAACTATGACCTCCATGGATCCCCTTTAAACCCAGCCATGGCCTCTCTTTACTGAGATCTCTTAATACTTCATGAATGCAGAGATACACACCAAAAAACTCTTAATTTATCTCAGACTGGTGTCTTTTACAATCTTAGTGTCAGTCTCTGTCTGAAACACTTCATTTCAGTTACTGTCCCCAGCAATCTAGAAGCCTCTTCCACTGCTGCCATGAAACAAAGCCACACCTCTCTCCTTAAAATGACAAAGTATGAAACGTGGCCCCGTGATTTGGGCCCCAGTCTGACCTGGAAAGTTTGAAAAGAGACAAAAAAACATCCCCAGCAAAAAATATCAGGTAAGTTCTGCGCTTATTTCACCTCACCAATTAGTGGTGTCTTAATCTGACCAGGAAGTCCGGGCTTGAAAAACAAAGCTGGTGAAGAAGTGTTGAAAACTGCAGTTCCTTGAGTGTCCACTTGAGGCTGGCTGTAAAAGCACCAGAAGCCACATACACACCCATTCAAAATCAGACATGTTTACAACCTGTGTTCAAAAAGTGTCTTAGTCTGATTTGCTCATTTCTCTACCCTCACACACTACACTAAAACTCATAAGTTAAGTGATATTAAGCGTCTAAGTTCTGCTATCACTAATATTGTAAAGGCTAAAGGTCCATATCAGCTCCTCCTCTTTGCCTCTTAATTGGTCAGCCAGAAGTTTTTCAATATCTTAATATAAAAATAAAAATGCATGAAAAAACTTCTTTAAAAGACTCTGGGGGGTACCTGAAAAATATCCAGTATATCCGTTAATAAGGTGGGAGATACACAAGAAATCCACTTTGTCATTCCCACGTCTAACCCCGCCCACAGAAGCACCTCTGCAGCCCCACAGGGAGGAGAAACCTGAAGGATTTCATTACATAGCAAAAGCATTTATCAAATTCATGAGCTTTCTTAGCTTGTGTACTTTGCTTTGACTCAAACTGTCGCTGTTGTTGGAAAAGGAGAGTTTGAAAAAGGGCCAAGTTTCAGAGGAAGTTACTCTTTTCATACATACTGGAGCGGGCCAGCTCTGCTTTGTTCCCCGTCTTGCACAGGCTTTTTAGAGTTATGAACAGCGGCTGAAGGCTGAATGAGAGGCGGCAAGGAGCGCTACTTAATACCAAATCCTTTATTGTGCCATCTTTTGTGTGCTGACACACAGTGAATGAATGGGACTTAGTCTTCCTGCAGGCTAAGCTCAGCTCCTCCTGCCTAATTCTCCCCACTGCCAATCTGATAAACATGACCTGCAGGAAGAAAAAGGGTTAACAGAGACAAAAACCTCAGAGACGTTTGAGGCTGAAGCTGCTCACAGTCCACAGCACAACATGAGAAAATTCCTTCATATTTCTGTCTGTAAATAAACAAATCCAGAGCCAAGCTCTCTGACGGCTCCTTTCCCTTTCTGCTCTTTGGAGCTCTGGTCTTTATCACTCTCAGTTCCCAAAACACCCTCTACCTTCCCTTATCTCTCTCCCAGACCCAGCTCTCCATCCTCCCGTCTGTGCTGCTCCGATTTGGGCACAGAGCCCAAAACACTGCGAGCAGTTTCACCCGTCTCCCCACCTCGCTGCCCTTTGCCATCACTATCACGCCGTATAAGAACCAGACCTACTCGGACTGCACTTAGCTCAGAGGCTAACACTAACCAGCCGCAGATGTTTACATTGGAAGAGAAGGGGCAGCAGATGCGGTCTCACTCAATAAAACTTGCATCTCTCCAACTCTCCCTTTGTCTCCCTCTTTTTTTCTGACTTTCTCTCTCTTCCTCCAAGTCTGCAAAGAACCCAGGGGAGCTCTTTAGATCTGTGGGTGTGACAACCTCGCTCTCAGGCTTTATTTGCTTCATTCCCAGCTCTCTCTCTCCCTCTCTCTCTCTCTCTTTCTCTCTGTGCTGTGAGTCACCTGGGTTTCCCCTTTGAAAAAAAGGACAACTCTGTTTTCCAATTCTTGAAACTGCCAGATACTGAGCACTGAACCCAGAGACTTGATTATTATTGAGGCAAATGTTATTTACAAAAACTCCTCGGAAGTGTTTTGTTTGCAAAGCTCCCGTCATTCAGGTGAATGTTAGCACACCTGAGTCCTCTTTATTTGATGATAAAAAAAGAGACACAACCCAAGAGAGGAATTCCAGCAGCAAGAACAGACAGGAATATCTCCAGGTAACACTCAGCAAACAAAACCCGGGCAGACACATCCTTGAGAAATTGATAGATAGAGAGCAACAGCAGGCTGAGAAGTGTTTGGCCTCATTAGGAAACGTGGATTCGGTGAAGCAATGTAGGGCAGAGCTGAGATGAAAGTGTGGTTTATTTTCACTCCTGTCACCTTCAGCTGGGACGATTCCCAAAAATGTCAAAATGTTTCTATAAGAGTGCAGAAATTTCTACATGGGCTGTCAAAGGATAAACTTTTAAAATCATGATTAATCGCATGATTGCTCAAAGTTAACTCATGATTAATCGCAAATAAATCGCACTTTGTAAGTCTTCTAAATGAAGAAGCTAAGATTGAAATTTTATTTGTGATATCTGTTTCAAAACTCACCTAAATGTGCATTTTTGTTTTCTTGACACGACATTTGACCACATCATGATGGTGTTTATTTACCTCCACCTAATTTTCATTTCACCCAATCTTAAACACATCTTAATGTAACCCTGTGTCCCCTAACTTTTATCCTGCTGATTTTGACACATATGTCAACATTGGATTTCAATTTCATTTTTGGCACTTGCTACTAAGTTTGGGCGTCATTCCCTTGCAAGCTACTAACCACCAAAACTCTTAAAGCTTCCTTCACAGACCTGTTTCTGCATCTTTATCATTCTTGTTCAGAGATGTTTATGTCTCTACGATGTTACTGCTGCACATTTTCCTGATTCCAAAACATGTATGTGGTAATCATGCATCAAAAAAATGAGTGGCAGTTTAAAGAATTTGCGTCAACACGTTATTAACACGCCAACTTTGACAGCCCTAGTTTTTACCAAAAGCAGGATGTGTGGTCTGGTATGAGCTCATGTGCTGCTCATCTGTGACAACAACACTAACCAGCACAAAAACCTCTGACATTAAAACTGCTCTGTGAAACCTCAATCTTATTTATTTATTTCTAAAATAACACTTTACTGTCTGACTCAAACTACTACTTAAGATGGTTGGAGAGTCAGCGGTGCACATGGCTAATAGAAGGCAGATTGCAGGGCTCTGCAGCAGTAATGTCCTGGCAGACAGCGAGCACTTCAGTGGATCAGAGTTTTAGCCTGCAGGCTCTTTTCGGGAGGTCTGAGAAGTGGCAGGTCACTATATAGTCAAAGCCTGTTTAAGAAGGAGCATACCAGCACCTCCTGCAGCTCCACGGAGCAGGGAGGGAGCTGCTTTGAAAACATCTTAGGAGGAGTCATAAAACACATGGCTGAACTGCCCTCTAAACATGGCATGGTGAATCCAAGAACATAACTCATAATTGCTTCACTAATCCTAGCCGAGCTGGCCTCTTTTTGCAGCATGTCTTTGTGCAAACACTTTCCCTGTGCAGCTTTTTTTCCCTTCAGTATCCAGAGAATTTAATTTATTCATTAAAAAACACAGCGGCAGCGGTGTTTGCTTTGCAAAAGTGAAGCCCAGGGTAGCGCCTAAAACGCCATTGTTTGCACTGATCCCGTTTAACATACTTGTTTGTGGTTAGTTGGTTAAGCATAGTAGAGGCTGAGTGCATTTTCTCAGGCAGAGTAACACAACAGTATCATTATGTGCCCAGTGGGAAGGAACCTTCCGTGAACCTCAAGGGTTTTACTCTCCCACAACCAGCTGAGGGGGGTGGAGGGGGTGGTGGTCTGTATGCAGGCATGCATATGAAACAAATAAAGGGGGTGAAGGCAATATCTGGTCAACTAGGCACACATGGCATTACAGAGGATGTGAGAGATCAGTGCGAATGTCTGCAGCCCTCGTACAAAACTCTCAATAAATGAAACATCAACAAAAGAGAGACGGGTGGCTTTCCCTGCACTTAACAAAAACATCTGATGTGCATTATTCCTGACAGAGCATCACAGTGAGGAGGAACAGCTCAGCTCTGTAACAGGAGGAGTTTCCTCTGCTCTGTGCGGCTCTGTCCATTAACAAAAGACTCTCAGGGAGGCAGTCAGCAGAGATTTGCAGAAGGTGAACAGAGTCTCTGAATAATGTCCTCCAAAGCATGAATAACTACATCAGAATGTGGAAGCATAATGGTATAAACATGGATCAGTAATGCCCTCTTGTGGCCAACAAATATACTGCAGATAGTAACAAAAAAATACAGCCAATACTGAAGTTACAACTGAACATTAACACCTTTGAAAAGGGGAAAAATTCCTGTTTCACCTGGAAAAAGATGCACACAACTTTATAGTGGTCTGATATTGACATTGATAATAAAGGTAAAATCATGATTATAAAGACAGAGTAACTTCTAATGCTGATTTTTCTCATGCTTAAATACAGAACCTTTACCTCCTTATATGACTAACTTTGATGTACACTAACAACTAGATCATTTAAAACTCTTACGATGATTATTTGCATTTGGTAACCATCTCCTCTTCAATTCAACCATCTTCTAATTTGCAATAGACAGACTTACCTTAATGACAAATTTAAAGGGAGCCATGGTGAGAACAGACTGTGCAGCTTTACCTGAAAATGATCAAAATAGCAGATAACATACTGTGATTCAAACATAACATTCTATTAGTTAATAATATTGAAAAGCATAAGAGTCAAATGTCTTCGCTCATTTTGTCTTTGCATGTGAACTCTGACCAAATAATCATAATCAAAACATTGAGAACAATAATAATATCATGTTGTCTTATGAGAATCAAACGCATCATCCAGTAATAATATTTGCTGTAGAAACAATATAAGCTAATATAAGTTAATTATTTAATCGTTAACAGTCCTGTTCATATTTAAAGATCATAAAGATGAATCACTGTTTACATTAGTGTTTATCATAACCAACGACAACTGACACCCGTTAAATAAGTTTGTCAGTTTTAACATTTCACTACAGAACATAGTGTCGGTAACAAAAGCAAAACTGTCGCATTAATGCTTCAGAATTTAGGTTTTACACTCACTTTTTCTACTTAAAGTCGACTCATTGCCCAAATGTTAGCAAACAAACCGCCAACAGTTTTGAATTGTCGAACTACATGGCTCCTTGATATGACGTCAGTTCCGCTTGTAGTCCGGAAGCGGCGATGCCCGAAAAGACCCGATACTGTAATCAAATGACGTCAGAGAGTTGACCGACTTGGAAATTTGGGGTTAAATCTCTTTCTTTCTTTTTTTCTGAAACATTGAAAAACTAAAACGATACAGACACAAACAAGAGGATTTTTTTAAATTTATTGACGAGAATTAAATGAAAGCTATTTCTATTTTTTTGTCAGGCGATCCTTCAGCCTCCTAACATGAGTTTTGTCCGTTAGAGACGCTTAGAAGCAGCAAAGTCTCATTTCAAACCTAGATTTTCCAATTAACCGATACTTTTGTCGTCTTCTACTCTGTTTTCCGCTAATATTTTCTTCTTGCATTTTTTGGACATTACGAAGACATCTTTGTAACGTTTATTCGTCAGAAAAAGTAGTAAATGTGTCTGTTGTGATGTCTCGACTCGTTCAGAAATCTCCGTCTCTCTGCACAGATCTGCCGCTAAATAATTCAGACGTCTGCAACAAACTTCGTTTACTGAAGGAGCTGCTTAAATCCTGCTATGGCCCCACAGGTAGACTTAAACAAGTCCATAACAACATAGGGGGTCATGTCGTTACTACATCCACCTCCTCGGTTCTCCTCCCAGCTCTGTCCTCCTCTCAGCCTTTAGTCAATCTGATCAGAAGCTGCATCCTAAACCACGTCTCTCGATTTAGTGACTGCGGTTTGTTTGCAGCCATCCTCTGTCTCACTCTCATTGAGGAGGCGAAGCTGTCAGGTCTGAGGAGAAATGTGTCCATCAAAGTGAACAAGCACCTGCTGGGTATGTGCTCCTCTTATCTCCAGGAGGAAGATTGTGGCTGCAGAGTGGTGCTTGACTTCTGCAGCAGCATGAACTTGATCACACTGACTCGCAGCGTTATCTACAGCAAACCTGCATGTGTGCTCGCAGAAGTAGAGGCACTGCACATGAGCAAACTGGCTGTTCAGGCTTTTTTACTGACTGTCCCCTGTAACAGCCCAGGAACAGTCAGACTGGGCAGGATAGTGACTGTTGGTGTTGAGGGACACCCTGTGCTGAACTCTGCAGTGCTTACAGGGTTACTTGTGGAAGTGCATGATCATCTTAGCCTCAGAATGATAAAGAGCATGCAAACAAATCCACTGCGCGTGGTTTTGTTTAGTGCATCTCTTGCTGGAGACCTCTCTGATCTTGGAGATGGGATCATTGAGGCGCACACAGGTGTAGACACAGACTCACAGATTCTGGACCAGCTCCTGGAGTTCTGCAAACATGTGGTCGAAGATGAAGTGAAGCTCTTTGTGTGCCAGAAGGTGCTACACCCGGTCTTACAGCAGTACCTGAGGAACCATGGTGTCATAGTGATCGACAGAGTGGGAGTCGCTCTCATGGAGCCACTTACTCTGCTGACAGGTTGGTATTAAAATATCAAAAGTCTTTTTCTGGATTATGATGATCATAAATTTAATTCATATTGTTCTCTTCTTAATTGAACATGGACACAGTGTGCTTCACAATAACTACAACCATGTCTGTTTGGCTGCAGAGACCAAATTTTTATGAGAGGATCGTGCCGCAAAAAAATGGAAAAAGGAAAACAGATTAAAAGAAGCTTACAAGGCAATAAAAAGCTTTTCAACACCATATAAAATGTCATGTTTCTGTCAAAGAGAGAGGAGACAAGACATTTGAAAGTTACAGCATAACAGGTTCAAAATGAAACATTATTTAGGATACGATTTACTAACTTAGAGGCTTAAAAGCGGTAATATACGGTCAGGTATTATTTATACATGCCAATCTTTAAAGAATATCTTATGTTCAAACTACATATGATGAAGAAAACACTCGTCCCTCTGCTTCACTAACACACACCTCATCCTCCCGCTCCCAGCTGTTCTGCAGACGTTATTCTGTCAGGTTATAAATGTAGATCCTGAGTCCTCCACATGTGTTCTTTCTTTCTGCCCACTCCACTAAACAGGTGCTCAACCTGTGGCTACGTTACACACCACAATCCCAGCCAAGGCTTACGGGACGGTGAGGAGTCTGAGTGTGAAGGAGTTTGGATCAAAGACCATGTTGCATTTACAGCCTGCTGCAGAGTCTGCGGTCTGTACGATGGTTGTGTGCCACAGGAACGAGACGATGCTGAGTGAGCTGAAGGTAAGGAGAGTGTTGAAGTTAAATCAAGCATGGAGGTGAATCTAACAGGTGAGCTGATGGATTGATGTTTACGTGTTGTAGGCCGTGTGTCAGCAGGCAGAGCATGTGTTGAGACTCACCCTGAAAGAGCCGTCTGCTTTATTGGGAGGAGGATGCACTGAGACCCACTTGGCTGCTTTTATCAGAAACAAGGTAAGGTTTTTTACAAGCTTGATTTTATTGGTTATTTACTTATTTATCACAGTTAAAAACACTGTAATTCCATCACAGAGCCTGAATGAGGTCTCCCAGACTTTAACGGCTGTGGAATGCTCACAGTCAGAGTACCTCCTCGGCGTGGAGGGCTTCTGCCGCTCTCTGGAGTCCGTTGCGGCAGCGCTGCAGCACGACGGGGGAAACTCTCTAACTGACCTGACTCATGCTCACCACTGGACCCTTCCTGCAGACGTCACGACAGAAAACATGGAGGAAAGCTTGACCTTCTGTGGCTGTGGACTCACGAGAAACAGCCCAAACATGAAGTGGACTCATCTCAACACTAAATACCCACAATTCTCTCCTGCACCTGCACTCAGGGACAGTACTGTGCAGCCGCATGTGCTGGACTCCTTCACAGCTAAACTTAACGCGCTGCAGGTGGCCGTAGAGACTGCCAATCTGGTGCTGGATGTGCGGTATGTGATCCAAGATACAAACTAGCACAAATTCAGAATGATGACTTTTTTTATGACAATAAAAGTTTAATATTTAACTGAGACTCTGGATGTTTGTGTTTTCTTTTTTTTCACCTTATTATGATTAAGAGACGATGTAGACAAAATTCAGTTGTATACAGTTAGTTATGAAGCTGTTATTTATAAAAGTATACAGGTGTTTCTGTGATGAACTGTCTTATATAAATGGTTATGCTTCCATGCCAACTAAAAACAAAACAATGTACAGTTAGACTAATACAAGGTCTGTGAAAAAGATGAAAAAAAAAGTTCAGATTCTTGTCTTTGCTCTCTGATGTTGGTTCAGGTATTTTCTGCTCTCAGACGAAGCTCAGGTGTTTTTTTTCTCTCAGAAGATGAAAGGAATCAAAGCTTTTCGTAACTTGGGATAGTCTTTGAATTTCTCTTTGTAAAACCTGAAACAGAGAAGAGGGAGGGTTCATCTGTCAGCAGGACTGGAACATGATAATGTACAAACCCAGTCCAGAGAAAGTTTGGACGCTGTAACCACACGAGGAAAGAAGAAGGATTTCCAGGTTTGCAAATCAGTTTAACCCTAAAGATTACATTAACAATTATGCAAAGAAAACATATGAAACCCCTGTCTTTGGGCCCTCAGGTGGCACTGCATCTAAAACAGACAAGACTCTGTAGTGGAAATAACTGCATGGGCTTAAAAAGACAGACTGAGTGGAGGGGAGAACTGGAAATCATGGACACTACATCCTCTACTTGGGTTGTTATCAGCACACAGGTATAAGGCTCATCAGAGTCCATGTCATAGGTAGCTTCCACATCCATTAATGTTGAACAATATCCACTGGTGTTAAGACTATGGTAACCCGAAATACCTGTGACAGTGATCTTTAGGTACCTGTGATGATAGTAGGCTCTTGGTCCAATAAAACTCAGGCTGAATAACGCAAATGAGAGCGCAGGAAGAGACCAGGTGGCCACAGCGTAGCCGAACCACTCCACGATCTCTCCTAAGTAGTTTGCACCAGACACGTATTCAAACAGACCTCCTACAGGACATGAAGAAGACAGTTATAGACCAAGCAGAGTGAATGAGACAGTATCAAGGTTTGATCTCTTGGTACCTTTAGGAATCTTGTAAATGACTTCTCCTGGTTCCCTCAGGTTGCGTAGGATATAGTCGCTGTGGATATTGATGGCCATTCCAGCGTAAAACATGAGTAAACCTAGAGGAAAACTTCTGTTTATTATTTATCATCCAAGTTTATTTTACAAGTGGACTAAAATATTACCTCTGGTAGATCATAAGTACATCAATAGCTGCATTTACATGAGCACAAATTATCGGATTAAATGCCCAATCGGAATAAAATGCGTCATGTAAACATGTGGATCGGAAGATTCTGATCCAATTCGGCTCAATCGGAAAGACAGTGTATTCCGATTGAGAGGGGTGGTTTATGCCGATCGTTATTCCGAAATGCGTCCATGTAAACACTTATTCTGATCGTGACTTTCTTACCTGATTCGATCTTCACTCTTTAGTCTTTGGTTTATTTATTGGGGTCAGTTCAGGAGGTTTCGTTATTTACATTCCGGCATAAAAGACAACCGCGGGTGCCATGTCTGCTCCTCCGATAACATAACAAGGCGTTCATACAGTGTAATGATGTCACATCTGCACGCACAGTGCAACTTTTGACAGAACAGTAAAATAAGTAAGCAAGGGCGCCATCTAGTGACAACATTTAACAAAGAGGAAAACTCCTGAGTTTGATGGAGTGAGCAACTACCATGTTTGTTGGTTTGTTGACAGCACAGGCGTTAATACAACTCTTCTTCTGCAGTTGTTTTAGCAAAATTAGAGAACTCTGCGCATGTCCAAATGCTTCTAATCTGAATAAAGCTTGGTGCATATATATACGCAAGTCATGATCGGATCATTTGATTTTGCACTCATATAAACAGTGGATTCATATTATCCGATCCATCAAAATTTTAATCGGATCAAGAAATTTTTCCCACATAAACGCGGTTACTGTATGTATTCAGATATCAGTGGAGACAAAAAAATGTAGTTTTGTACGACTGAAAGGACTAGGACTGATAATGTTACTGGCAAATGATTATATTTTTACGTCTATTTCATTCCCCACCAGTTTAGGCATGAATGATTTATATGTTGGCCATAGGAGAGAGATGAGAAACCTCTGAGTTAACTGGGCAGCAGGAAAGATCTCGAGTCACCTGGTTGTACAGGTGTGTAAACTGGGAGTCCATGAACCCAGAGGCCACCCCTGCATGAGTCAGAGTTTTGAAGCTCATACCTATAATGTAACGACAATCAGCTGACCAGTCTTCATCGAAGTGGGCGCAGTGCAGCAGGTAGTGACCCTGGAGGGAACCATTCAGGGAGCAGAAGAAACCGGCTGCCACCATCACACCCAGAGGAAAAGGCTTTCCTCTGGTCAGCAGAGCGTACACAAACGTCCTGAAAGAAAAACAACACAGGTGAAACATGTCAGTGGTATGACAGCACATGAATATCTTTGTAACCGTGTCCATGAATTATGATTTACACAGACAGAGTGAAGAACTTCTACCTCCTCTGTGTTTAACTCAACACACTTGTGACCTGCTTTCTATCAGGTTCACACATCGTTTTTTTCTCAATCATAATAAGGGAAATCATCTGTGTTACTGTTTTCATGCAAAATGAAACATATTTCTGCTGTGAGAAGCTAGTGCTAATGTGACAAATAAGTCAACATTTCCTGCAAATGTCCAATTTTCTAAACAATGAAAATGTTTACCTCATTTCACCCCAATCCCTAGAAGTAAGTTTGGACACCGTGTAAAAACAAAAACAGATTTCATGGTTGGAAATAATCAAAACCTCATAATTTAGTTCAAGAGGGTGCAGAGACAACTTATCAAAACATACAACCCACAACTTTTTGGAAATATTATGTCTATTTTTAGATCTGATACCAGTAATAAGTATCAAAAACACAACAAACTCATAAAAACCACAACTAATGACATTTATCTGCATCAGGTTAGTCACTTTACCAAGTATAAAAATGGGAAACCAGAGAAATTAGTCCCTCAGAAGAAAAGATTCACCACTCTGTGAGAGACCGCGTGAGGAAAAAGTTCAGCAAATGTTTCTTAATAACAACAAAGAACAGCATCAATACTGTACAACCCTGATGTTCAGGCGGCACTGCACTGAAACAGACATGACTCTGTAGTGGAAATCACTGCATCATCTACAAACAGGTAAAAGCAGTACTGTGCAAAATAGGAAACCATGTCCAAGCCTGCAGACAGACTGGGTCAAAGGCTGTTATATCAGCATGGCTCTGTAGTAGAAGAGTCCTACTGAGAAACCGGCCTGATGCAGTCTTGATTTTAACACCTATTGACCCTGATTGTGAAGCAGCTGGAGTCCTGGCAAGAACGAGGAAACATTTTCATTTCTCAACTTTAGGAATCATGATTTCCTAAACATTTACAGCATGTTGTTGTCAAAGGAAGAGCTGATGCAACATGATGGTGAACACATGTTCCAGATTCTTTTGAGACGTGATATTGGCATCAAATTTGAAATGAGCTGATTGCAGTGCTGCCTAGAGTCCAAATATTTGCAGGAGCCAAACATGCACAGTTATTTTAAAATTTCTGGCAGTTGAACCATTTAAATACACATAAAAATGATGAAACCGTTTTTTTGATTTACCTCTGAAAGTAGTGCACACAGAAGGTCCCGAGCAGCAGATTCCTCCCCATACTGGAGGGTCTGTGCGAGGTCAACAGTAGAAGAAGAGCAATCATGAGTGCTGGCATCTCTTGCAGGAACCATGCCACTGCTGCTGGGACCATCCTCTCCGGATGAGAGATTCCCATGTGGCGCCCATAAGAGGTCTGTGCCTTCCTGTGATGGATCAGGTACCCGAGCGCCATCAGGATCATCCCAAAGCTCAGATATCTGACCAGGTCTTCACAGCAGTCCATCTTGCAGAGAAGCAATCTTTCTCTTCTGATGAAGAGACAAATGTCAGGCTGTATATTGTAAATGGATGTGATCAGCCTCTTCTGACTCCTCCCAAAAAGGGAGACGGTCTGCTCAATCAGAGTTTCACAGAGTGGGTACAGAGATGTCTCCAGGTGAGGACACAGCTAATATTCCCACCTCAGAATGTACTCTGTGTCCTTATCTAACTCTGCATGAATATCAAACTAACCATGAAGTCATCCAAAGTTCCTCACTGATGGCCTCATCTGCCTCTGTGTAGTAAGATACAGCAACATCTGCACACATCTCAAGGTCTTTCACACTGTCTGGATTTATGAGATTGTACATGAGAGGAAACCTGTCAACTTGAGAGGTCTGCGAATATAACAGAAGATATTCCTAATCTTTCTCATCTTCCTCTCGGAAATTCTGCAGCCGGTGATTCTTGTTAAGCCGTGAACAAAGTTTCAGCTGGAGAAATCACAACCAGACACCACAAACCTTTGGTGCTGCTTTCAAACATTTTTATGTTTCTTTGTATTCGGTTTCAAATGATTGAACTATTCAGAGAAACAGTATCTGAGTAAAATTAACACAGTATGATCCTGACCATAAAACTTTAGATCCCGGACTAATTAGGAAAAGTTTCAAAATGTCTAAGAGTTAAGAAAAAGTTGAGAACGTGTTCTACGAAAAGTCTAGGAAACACTCAAGCTGTGGTGCTTGAAAAAGACCCGAAGTGCCCTCTCAGATGTTCCTGTGGTAAACAAATATGATTCAATGACCTCTCTGTATTGAAAATTCCTTTGGCAGCTGTTCGTCTGAATGATCACATATAAAGAAGTGCCTCCGTCTACCTTTGTGTGAGTAATTTGTAAAAACTGCCTTCTGGTTACCCTCTCAATACATATAAAATATAACAGAATGACTCTCTGGATACGTTGTCAGGATAAAAAAATGCTAAAAAGTGCCCTTTGGACGCCCTTCCTGTATATAAAATTTAAAAAATAACAATCTAAATGTGTTCTCAGTCTGTAAAATGTTAAAAAAAAAAAAAGACCTTTGGTTTTTCTCCTGCTGTAGAGAGGATAAAAAAGGCGCCTGCTGGATATATGTCGTTTATATAGTACATGTAAATGTTTCCTCTGGAGGCCCTTTCAAAAATTACTATCTGGATATATTACAAAATAAAGAAAAATTCAATATATTAATATTGAATTAATGCCCTGTTTGCTCTTCCAGTATAATTCTCGGAACGAGCTTCCAGTATGTAAAATAAAAAAAGGGAGTTCTGGATTTTCTTTTTATATGTAAACACAAAAAAGTGCAACCTGGATGCCCTTCCAGTTTTGAAAACATTAGAAAAATCACTAGAAAGCAGGAAAGTAAGTGTTAAATGTTTGAACCCTATGCTCTGGGTATCAGCTGTCGGAAAAGCTACTCCAAATCTGGACCTCCGGGCTACCTACTGAGCCAAAGTAAAGATTTGACGATGAGAGAGAAGAGTGAGGGGCACAAAAAGGTCTTCAAAATACAACTAGAGGCTGATCTTCATTAATCACAACTTCCTGTGCCCCGTGGTAGAAAAGGTAGTCCAGGTAATCATCTAATTAAACTACAACTGGACCTCGATTAAACTGTGCACGCAAACATACTGACGGATATATGTGGGTTCAAGCACAACATCAAAACTGAACAGTTAGTTTGCTTTTTGCCGTCATATTTTCCTGCAGTGAAAAACTTGTTGTGAGTTCTGGTGGTTCATTAGACCCTCTAACCTGGTGCTGATCCCAGAACAAAAGTCACACAAGGATACTCAGAAAGCCGCAAGTTTTTTTGTTTGTTTTGTTTCTGTTTTCACTTGAAGTCATCCAAAATTCAAGTAATCGACACACATCTGCAGAGGGCATGTCTTCATTAGAAAGCAGTGATCCTGTTTTTCATTTCAAGTCTGTGTTCAGAGTGAAAAGATGCTGGGAACAAAGTTGATTTAAAAAAAGAGAGTCAATCATCTGGAGCGGATTAGCGTAAATCTGCAGATAAATGCATCCAGCTGCCGGATTATTAGGCACACCTAGCCTGAGAGCCTCCACCTCTGTCAGGATTCACAAAAACCTGTAAACATCTCAGCGTCCACGGGTTCATCTCAACCACTGCAACGTTCACCGTCTTTATTAAAGTTTATTCAACCAGTTTAATCGGATCTTAATCTTTCAGACGCTTTAAAGATTTTTCTTACTTTTGTTTTATTTTGAAGTTTTAATCATGTGTATTTTTTTCCATTCTATAATCTATCTTTAATGACAAATCCCGCCTTTACTCTGATAAATTTCTGACTTTTTAACTGCAATATTAAGACTTTTTATTCCTCTTAGTTTACTCAAGTAAAACCAAAACTTTATTCAAGTAAAATTCTGTGTAATTCTAGTAATAATAAAACTTTATTCTTCAAAATTAATGACTTTATTTTTTAACATTACAACCTCATACCTGAAATTTCAGTCTTCGTGTCTTCCTTAATGTGGCACTAATCCTCCGTCATAGTTTTCACACTCCTGAAAAATTCCACAACTTTTTGGGATGAGCTGCAAACAGAATCAGAATTACTTCATTGATCCCGAAACTGGGAAATTAAGTCAAACTTTTTTTCCTGTGACTTTATCCAAATATTTACCCGGCAGCCCCAAAGGAAAATTCCTACAAGACGTAAGCAGAGCCCATGTGAGACAGCAGGAAAAAAACAGGAAAATTCAGGCACAACATGATCTGATTACTGGCATGTTTCCTTTTCAGACTGTGAACTCTCAACTTAACATCAGACTCAGCTTTGATACCCTGTTTAGATGAAGTTTACACCAGAGGAGGATGTCCTGAAATTTTCAGGAAATTTTCAAGGATGCATGAGTGAAAAGAGTTCATGCATCCTTAAAAAAAAAAACTAAATATCACAGCCTAAAATCGTGTATTAAACTGATTTGCTTCGACTTAGTTTAACTTCTCAGCTTTGACAGTACACGAAGAATAAAAAGTGCTCCTTTGAGTGTTTTTAGTCCCTGAAATGAAAAGATTAAGTGTCTATTTTTCTGTATTTATCCAACCACTTGGCTCCCTCTACTGGGGCTGGACTACTATGCTGTGACTTTAATTCAACACCTGAGGCATAAAGTGGAGTAATTGGTCGTACTTTTAAGTTTTTTCAACTGCGGTTTTGAAAATCAAAACAGGAAACTCATCACTCACAAATCTGAGGAAGAGAACAAGCCAGAGTTAGAAAACATGAAACGCAGCGACACTTTTCTGCACAGAAGAAAAAAGACAGCAGAGCAGACGTGCTTTTCAGAACAGTTTACTTGTTTTGTAACATGAATCCACGGCCTTAACTGAAGAGCCTTCTGGGATGCTTTGTCAGTGGAACCTGAGATAAAAAAAACTCCATTTAGGGAGTAGTTAAGTAGTATATTTTTAGGTTTGTGATGTGTAATTTCCCATTCTCTAAGCAAGAAAAAAAAATACAAAAAAACAACATTTCTAAAAGACAAACATCCATTAACAGAAAATAATGAACAGTGTTGAGGTTCAGCCTTTTGTCTCTCTACAGGAATGAGGCGAGGTGGAGAAAACCGAACACCACTCCCTGCTGGAGAACGGAGATAACAGTTGGTGCCATTTTAGACCAACAGATGAGAGGAGGGGGACAGGTCGCACACTCCCGGAGTGCTGGGTGAGCCGGAGACATAACTGGGGCACTGGGCAAGGGGCGAGGGGGGTTCATATGGTTAAACAAAAACTGAGAGAACAGGTCAAAATAAGACTAAAGTGAGATTAGGCTCTATATGTGGATGTGCAACAGTGATAAAAGGCACAATAGCACAGTGTGTCATGCTCTTCTGGTTTCCCTTCATCAGTCTGTGCCCACTTTGTTCAACCAGGCCTTGTAGCTTGATGCTCAGTGTGACGCTTCTTATGGTGCCGGGGGGAGGAGATGTTAGAGGACTGCTTCGTTTTCACCGGAATACTTAAACTTCAGCAGCAAGAGTCAGTCAGCGCTTAATGATCAGTCAGGACAGCAGCTGTCGTCTTTTATCGGGTCACTGTAAACGTTCACCGCCTCTTCAATCCTCAAGTTTCTGTTGCAGTTTATCTATTAGATATTAAAGGAGCGCTACAGCTAATAATACGACTTTCTAATAAACTACTTCAAAAAGGATTTTTTTCTTTTCATTCTTCTTCTTATAAAGTTTATATTCATATCATTTTAAATCGGTTCAGATCCACTTACTCCTGCGTCCATCACTCACTTTAGGTTGTTTTGTTTTTACATTATAGAGACTCGTTTTGGCTTTGTGCTGATCTATAATAACAGACCGTTTCCCATGCGTCATGCTCAGTGTGGGAAGCTCGAGTGTTTTCATACTGGGCTGAGTAATAACTCCAGGGTCACAAACACAGAGAATAAGACAAACTGTGATTATTCGCCACTTCAAAGTTGGACCAAAAATAACGTATTTAATAACTTATTTCCAACGACGCAGAAGTCTGCAGAACAAAGAGAAAACAAAACTCGTTGTTGCTTCGACTCCTTCTGTTCTTTTTATTTTTGGTCTGGTGGATTCAGATTTCCTCCTGACTGCAGAACAGTTTGTCTTTCTGCACTAAAAGCACTGCAATTAGCCAGAAATGTCGGCTTTCCTGACCTCTTTTATGCAAATCTAAATTTATGTCCTATTTATTCAAATGTGTTTTTCTACTTGCTCACTGTGCCTCCAGATTTCCAATGCTTGTTGCTTAATCCTTATTCCGTACATAACACTGCATAAAAGGTCGATGAAGAGAGATTTGGATGGTTTGCAAATCACTCACAGCCTACATTTTATGAAAAAGCTGAAAAAAGTTGGGGCATGGAGGACGAAACTCTAACAAATATGTGTACTGCTTAAAAAAAATACAAAACCTGGAGGAACATCGCCCCGCTAATGAGGCAGATAGTTCGGCGATTCAACATCGCTGGAGTCTGGAGAAATCTCTGTGCAAAAGAGTCTTTACTGAGCAGCTGTAATCTCTGGGCTCTGAGGCAGCACTGCATTCAAAAAACAGACATAACTCTGAAGTGGAAATCATCGCATTGGCCAAGAATCACTTCTAAAAACCACCGACTGAGGATGCAGATTAAAATTGTACCGTGGAAAAACCAGGGATCGGGGTTTGTTGTCATTAATGTAGACCGGTCTCCTCAGTCCTTAAAGAGTCTGTTTGCAGTTTTCTTTAAACAATCACATTTTTCACTTTCTACACTTAATATCTCAGCTTTGCACTACTTTATATGAATAAAGGGATTGCAAACCATCTATTAACTGCATTCAAACTTATTGGAAATTCTGAGTTTTAGTTTATGACCAATCAAGAAGCAACTAACCGATCATCCATGGGATTTGCAAACACGGACTGAGCTGAACTGAGCTTCTGACGCTGGGCGTGACATCAGAGGAGAACAGTCTGTATGTGAATTTGCTTTAACATCATCGGCGCATAAACAGCTCTGAATAAAGTTTCTTTAAAGAGGTGTCAAACTAAACCGAGACTCAAAGCTCTGACCAGAAGAAAGACTTCGATCTTCCTGTAAACTTTTGTCTTCTGAACAAAAACCTGAAACTTTTAACAGCTCTTGCAAATTTGAGCAGACCATCTGAGACTTCTCAGGCTACACCAACAGCTTCGCCGACCTTACAGAACTGAGCGAGTAACGAGACAACTTCTACAAATCTATAAAAAAAACAAGCCAGAGAGAAACCTTCGCTTCAGTCTCCTGACTGAGAGTTTAGTAACTGCAGAGTTCCAAGGTGAAGAGGTGTCTGTCAGTGTGTGTTTGGAGAAAATTATGACATTTCTCCCTTTAATGCTACAGAGATATGATCAGAATCTGGGGTCAGTGCTGCGCATGTTCATTTTCCAGATAAAACCATGTCGATGGCTTCGGAGCTTCACTTACAACACTGCTTTTGCTCAAATCTACAGACTACTCGAGTAAATACTTCACGTCTATTCAAACTATGAAAAAAAGAAGAAGAACAGGGATAAAATATGGATAAAAGATAATATTTAATAATTAACTGAGAGTAATTAAGTTTTTGGTTTGTACAGTAGGGGTTAGTGAACTTTGCTGTATGCAGCCCTTTGTTAGCAACTACAACATAAGAGTATGTTGAGCGATGACACTGTTTGTTTTTTTTAAGGGTTTAAGTCGCATGAAGCTTGAAGCAGTCGGTCAAAAACACTTCATTCTCATCTGGCAGCGTTTCACTCTTCTCCTTTAAGATCTGCAGTTTTACTTCATTACTTTTCTGAGGCAAATTACACGAGCACAGAACACCAAAGAGTCCGAGTGTGAAGACTGCATTGTAACAACTCGAATCCATCGTCTCGTCGGGACAAACAAACTCAGGGAGGACGACTACAATCCTTGCAAAATACCCAAAGCGCTCCACCTCCCAACGTTTCCTCTAACAAGAGCTCCGTCTGTCTGTCTATCTCCTCCTGAATAATCTCAAAACTGCACTTCAAACTAAAGGTTTCAAACCTGACGCTCTGAGACACACTTCAAACTGAGAGGAGGGTGGAGAAAGGCGGAGCAGAGCTGAGAGAGAGAGACAGAGAAAGAAGACTGTATTGGCTTCGAGTGTCTAGGTCCTTCCTGCAAATAGTGGGCGTTACACGGGGTGGGCTGAGAGAGAGAGGGGCGGGGGGTTGTCTGGGTCGGGTTATGGCGATAGATAGTAAGGGCAGGGCAGCGGCATTGCTTTGCCCCCTGCGGCGGTCGACCTCAATGAACGATGAGCGCCCCTGCAGCGTAACTCACAGAGCTGTCCTGCCAGTTCCTGCACTCGCTGGACTGGGCGTAGTTCAGGAAAGAGAAGTTCATTTCTAATCCAGATTTCCTCAGCTCGGCCACAGCCTGCAAAACAGACACAAGAGGGACATCCAGTCAGTCCCAGGAGCGAAGTCTCCCTATGAGGGTGAAAGGAGGCGCCTAATGAGGTCTTTTTTTGAAGCCGTTTCTCACTGGCCTGTTATTTCCACACATCTTTATTTGGATGGGGTCAAATATGGAGGAGACAAAGTTTCAAACACACAAACTCAGATTCAAAAGTGAAAGAAACAGATTCATGAGAACTGAAAACTTTGTTAATCTAAATATTACTTCTGGATGGAGAAAATTCACATGAAGGTAAAAACAGCACATCAGATGTTGAAACTGTTGGTCTTTTTAAAAAGATTACGCTAATTTTAAACAAAACATCAAACAATTATTTATTGGGGACATTTTTCAGAAGTTAAGTCTCTCTGGAGTGAAGACTACATGAACTTAGTCTATATGTGTTCTATGTTCTATATATGAAACTATATGAACATATTCAAAACATTATACAAAACAAGGGTTATTGATAAATACATTGCATTACAGTATCAAACAAATCCTACAACACAAACCATACAAAACTCACAACTAAACTACACTTTTTTTTTTTTTTTCTTGTTTTTTTTGTTTTTTATTAATCAATTAATGAATTTATTAATTATTTGTTTATTTATTATTTTTGTTTGTTTTGTTTTTTGTAATCTATTTATGTTTATTATTTATTCTTAGTACAATTCTTAGCGGCCTCATAAAGGAGGAGAAGAATAAAGAAAAAGGAGGAAAATTGCAGACTCCGCTGGACTTACATGTAGCAGCACTCCAATAGGGTGACGCCCACAGATGGTGTTGCGATACTTCTTCAAGTAGTTGGTGAAAGACATCGGATCCAGCTGTTCTATAATGCCCATCCCCTTAAAAAAACAACAATAAACATAAAACTGATTAGAAAACTAAACCATTCCCTCACAGTATCACAGTTTTATTCTAGAGTAAGACAGGTACAAAGATATCATTTCGTTTTCATAAAGTCTGGCTCACTGTGTCTGTTAAATATCGACTTTATCACCTTAACAGCCGAGCATAGAAACTCAAACTTTCCTTTTCATGGTTCACTGACTGACTGAGAGCACATCTGAATATATATGGATGTTAACAGACTCACCATTTTGTCCAGATGTTCAATAGACCTGTAGATCTCCCCTTGAGTTTCATCGTAGTATGTGTAACGGAACCGTTGACCTTCAAGAGAGACAGAGACGTTGGTACAAAGCCGAATACAGTCCTAAAGACTTCATTAACGGTGATCTTAACTGTTTAAATGTTTATGTTTTTACGCTGGATTCAGAAATAGGAGTCTGAATCGATAAGGGGACCCAGATTGGTACCAGGACCGAAGGAATTGAAACAGGACCCGACCCTGATTCTAGAAACAGGATTGTTTATACAGCGTGACTCATAACACACGCCAACTGAGAAGAAGAGGAGAAGCTGCGACAGCGATGGATGTATCAGGTGTCTGAGCAGCTGGAAATGTTTAACTCGACAACCACCTGAGTGTCGATCGTGTTTGTTTTACTCTAAAGTCACATTTGACCTTCAGAGATTTCCAGTCTAGATGGTGTGAAAAGAACCTGTGGGTGTGATCTGAGATGGTCGTATCGTAGCTCTCCGAACTGATCTGTTAAATCTGACGTCACTCTTCGAAGCATCAGCTCAGATTTTTTAACCAGACTACAGACTACACTAGGTGTGTTTACCTTCGTTGGTACCTACCCCAGTGGCAGAAGTCAGATGAAATAATGAAAAGGTTGGAGGGGTCTGCCAGGTACTTGCTGAGCAGTTTTCCATACTCCTGTTCCCTGGACTCACTCAGGGCTCCCACCAACACAGGGACGATGCTAAACTCGTCTTTGTGGCTGAAACAGAGTTTTGACGAAGCGTGAGCAGCTGAACACCTCACTGTCGTTATTCGTCGAATATCATATCACAAAATAAAGACGTTTTCTTACTTGTGGTAACCCTCAATCTACTCCACCTGATCAGATCCACCTCATGTTCTCTGAGCTCAGCCTTCAGCTACTTTCAGTGGATAATAAGTGAGGAACAAATGTGCTCTGTGCACTTAGCTGGAAGTACCTGATCCTTGATTTTCTGGACCAGGACAATGCCTCTGACTCCTGCCAAGCTAACAGAAGGCTGTGTTAATTATGCATGTCTGCCTTTCAGTGTGTCTCGGTGTTATTCTGGTGCACAGTAAATATAGAAGTGACGCAACAGAAAACTAATAAAGCTCTTTAACTGCCTTCTTGTTTGATAATTAATTATTAAAACTTCCCATTTGAGATTTTTACTGCCTGCAGTTGTTGTGACGCTTTCCTTTAATGAGTGAATCACTTCTTTAATCTCGAGCAAACACATGAAAAAAAGAAGGAAACACATCCTTGTGAAGTACTTTACAGAGTATTTACTCTTTCTTATCCTCAGATAGTCCGTACTTTCGACTCCCTACGTTTCCAAAGCAAGGTCATTAATGTGGTTTTGACGGAAAGGCTTTTTCGCATCACTGCTGGCTGTCTCCCCAACATTAAGAACAATTTTCACATCAACAGATGGGACTAAGTGAGGAGAATATCACACACAGCAGAGGCATCAAGAAGAACGACAAGAGGGATTTTAACCGAGAAGACGAGACGCTTTAAGAAAGGAGAGCGTGAGGTTGTTGAAATGTTCCACACTCACTTTAATAATGATAGTCTTAAAAGAGGTCGTTAAATATTCACTGATATTACACCTGAGTTTAAATTCTGCTATCATAACTTCACACTTGGGCTGAAACAGTTCCTAGAATAAATCTAAAAGAACTCATGATAAAAAAAAGCCTCTGGGTTCAGTTCAAATCTGAGTGAATACACAGCTCACTGTTTCGCAATGTGAATGAAATTCTCGATGTAATAACTATCAGCTACATTTATTCTCATCCTTGTAAAATGAACATGAAGTATTTTTTTGCTCTTTTCTTTGAGGAAAATTTTCAGCTTCTCAGCACTTGTGTCTCACTGTTTCTTGACTATCTTAACAGAGGTACCAGCGTAGGCGACCAGAGTGCTAACACACAGATTATGAACATGGACCCTCTCTGTTTTCCTTATCTACCTAAACATGATTATTACTCTATTTAAGAGATATTAAACTAACTGAACAAAAACTAAATTGACCAAACTGTTATCCATCATGGATAACCCTGACCACCCTCTCCACCTCACTCTGGACAGACAGCGGAGCTCCTTCTCCAACAGACTGTTGCAGCTCCGCTGTCGAAGGGACAGATACAGGAAATCTTTCCTGCCACAAGCAATTGTTCTATTTAATAACTCACATCTGTCAGACAGGGACTCACATCTGTCTGCTGTATAGTCCATTTTTTAAAAACTCCTACCACATCACATTACTGAGCACCTTAATTTGTCTGTTTATTTATCATCCCATCTGTATATTTCGCATTTCATATTTATTACTCATTTCAATAGCCCACATTCTTCATATCTCACTTTTTTCTCTTAGGATGTTTATTATATTTAGTCTGTATTTATTGTATATACTTAGTATTTTTAGTCTGTATTGTACTTCTTATATTTAATTTTATTTTGTATTTTTTTGCTGCTATAACATGTGAATTTCCCAGTTTGGGATCAATAAAGTCTGTCTGTCTGTCTGTCTTTATCTATAACTACGAGATGAAATGTTCAATTTAAAGCTCCTGTGAAGATCTTCTTGTTCGTGTACATTTTGGCGCCCCCCTGTGGACAAAGCAGTCTTTACTTACCTCGTCCACTTCCTCTTTATGCACAAACACAAAAGAGCTCATGCTGCTGACTTCTGGTTGACTGTCTCCTACCCCTCCCACAGTTTCAGGCATTAGAATACATGATAGAAATCATGAGTGTTGCTACTGTGTGTCATAAAAAGGCATCAATTTAAATTTCAGTCTATTTCATTAGGTTAAAAAAAAATCCTCATAGGAGCTTCAAAGTTTATTTATGTAGATAAGATGATCTTTTAACAATCTTTTAATGTCACAGCAAAAAAAAAAACACTTGATAAAACGTCTGCAGAGTGTGCAACATTTCCTGTTAGATTTATCAATTAATCACCAGAATAATCAATAAATTACCACAGCCCTAATCTACTCACATCAGAGGATACATGATAAAAATGGCACAAATGTGATGTTTATTTTTCAGCCTGTTATGTTCATATGTTCCTCAGAGTGTCAATGATTCAAGTTTGACGGTCTCCAAGGATGTAATCAACACCTCGAAATGTGAGCTACCTTTACATACGCATGTTTGAGCTCAGGGCGACACAGTACACACTCAATCTGTTCAAGGCTATAGGCTAAAAACTAAACACAACCTCTGAAGTGAACTGACACTGGATGTAAAAACAACAATGTACAGCAGATAAAAAGAAATGCTTTAAACAGACTCTACCTCCAAATACTAAAGAGTGTTTTTATGTTCAATAATGTTGAAGAAAAATCATGAAATACTCGCGGCGTTCCTTACCTCTCCATGGCTTTAGCAGTGTAAGGCAAGTGCATTTCAATACTGTGCTCATCTTCATCTGTCTGAATACTCATCCGCTCGAACAACCCAGTTTTCCAGAGGTCAGCGTAAACTGAAAAAAAAAGAGAAAAAAGGCGAGACTCAATTTAATTTGTACACCTCACTGTGATCGTGTCGACTAATTAAGTAAGACTCGGAGTTTACGCTGTGAATCCTGATTAAGTGTCTACCTGAGCAAAACCTCATCAGCGAGAGAGCCTTTTCACAAAGAGTCTGGTCCCTGGAGGATGACTTTAAGTGCATCATTTACAAAAAACTCCTGAGAGGTTTGCATGTTAGAGAGCTCATCAGGCCAGACTCAAAAAAGAAAGTGTAGAGCCAAACACTTTGCTTGTTGTTTTCTACTTTTTAATGATCCAGAAACTTTTTTTTTTTTAAGTGTTTGTCTCACTTGGTTGTTGGCTCCACATCCTACAAAAACATCTTCTGAAATACCTCCCCATATCAGCACCTGGCATCTGTTCATGTCTAAGATTGTGCAGAAACCACAGAGAAGGCGTAGAAACTGTGGAGCTGAAAACATATATATATACCCTTCTGGTCGATTCTCAGGTCATAGAGAGGTGTTCTATAGACGTCTGCAGGTGACAGGGCACAGCGGGAGAGGGGCACATGGTGTGAGGGTCCCAGGATGAACACCCTACGACTGAAGAGAACAGGACTTTACCAGCAACACAACCCACTATCTGATCTGAGCGTAACAAAAGAAACAACAGAGCTTTTCTTTAGTGAGGATCAGAGACAGAAGAGTGCACTACTTACGTGACAGAGGGATCAACCTGCTTGTAGGCATGTGCTGCACAAGCACCACAGTAGGTATAGCCAGCGTGCCTGCAATCAAAAACACGTCAAACCACAGATACCTCCTGACACGTCTGAATACTTTCTGCTTCTTGTAAACGCTCTTACGGTGCTATGATGGCTCTAGCAGGTCTAATCGAGGACTCTGCTTTGGACAGCCAGCCCTCTAGTTGTGCATTCAGCTGGGATCCTGAAAAGGAAATTAAAATTAAAAGCATTATTACAACATTTTTAGACTTCAGATCACTGAGTTTAAGAGGCGTCTCCAACCGGCTTGATTTCTGCCTCCTTCAGCAACAAAAAACACAGAAACACTTATTACAAACTAAGCTAAGAACGATATGTCTCTGAAGATATTAACTCTCAGATCAAATGAATCCGAGGCGACAGACACAAGGCTTTAAACTTTCACACCAGGATCAGGTGTTTCTCATAGAAATATATCAGTGTAATCATCTCCAGGAGCTTAAGTGTGAACTGTCGCAGCAGTGATGATGTTACTTAAGGTGAAAACGGCAATAAAGGAGAATGAGCTTCCACACGTTGCCAGTTCTGATGTGCTTGACTTTCTGGTTTTAACACTCAGCCGAGCTGTCATACTAAATCAAACCTGACACCTTTATGACCCAAGTCTGAACTATAGGAATAAGCTTTAGTTAAAATTGCTTATTGCAGTCAAATTTAAAGGGAAAATGTTGTGTTAGGGAACCAGTTTGGCTCAGTTGGCTCCTCATGTACAGAACACATGGTCTCTAGTAGGATTGATTCCCCATCCTGTCTCTTCGGCGAGGAAAAGTAAAAAGGGTTGTATTGCTGTAAACATAATTGGTCTATAACTGATCTCTTTGATAGTCATGTAAAATCTTTGACTTGATATCCAGGGGAAAGTGTCAATAAAGGTTTTAAGTTCTGGTTTTTATCAAAACATGGTTGGAAAGTAAGTTGCATTGTGACATGACCCTGACTGAAAAATGTGAGCTAGATTCAAAGACAGGGAAGACTATCTTAACCAAAACTATGACTGTATCAAACCCAGTAAAGACACAATGTGTGGAAAGTATCTGAATATTAGAAACAGGATATAACAGCCACAGCGTGTTTAAATTAGTGTAAAATCAACAGAACATAAAAAAATCTTTTTCCTCATTAATTTAAAATGACTCTTTTGTATCAACATAGGAATGAGTCTCTATTCTGCACCATCGTGTTTCTACAGCATCAACGAACAGACAAACTCCACATATCTGCTTTTTTGTAAAGGTGAGTGGCTGAAAAACATCTGCTGGAAGACAAATTAGAGGAGAGTGGTTGTAAAAACTGAACATGGATCAACCTCATTGTTTAACTCAAAGACCACTCTAGCTTTATCAAAAGACAGGGTCAGGAATAGAGTGTTTCAATGTTGAATTTTGATGTTAGATACAGATAAATATTCCTATTTCTGCACTCTGAACCTCTAAGACTGAACCATCTTCGGGAAAAGGATAGGATCCATTATTTGATTCTGAAAAGCTTGCATATTTTTTAAGTTTTAAAGATGTTTTATTCCTAAAGATGAATAATTCATGCGTCTAAATTGGCTTATGGTCTCCTTTTGGATCAGTAAACATGACTTGCAATCTTTTTGGGGGGCTGTACATGTTAATCATGCATCACATCAATACAACAAATCAGCCATTCAATCAACTACTTACAAGATCAACTGAAAACGGTGTCAAATGTGGAGAAAACATAGGCTACGAGGTGATCGAGATTAGACCAAATGTACAACACCTCAGCCTTCAGGAACAGTCCATGCACATTTAGTTTCTATTTAATCTAATCGTCATTATTGCTTCTGTGGTGTTTCACGGATATAAAGCTGCTGGAATAAACAGTGAAGAGAGGATAAACAGGCAGGCTTCATAAAAACAAACTGGCAGCTAGCTGGAGAAATGGGGGAAGGGGTGCAACATGAAGCTTCAGTTTTCTGCCCTGCCCTACCCAGTCCTTTGTTTCAGGGAGGGGAGGATTTCTGCTCTGAAAACAAGGCAGACAGGGTCAGAGACCAAAACAGACGCAGTTCAAGTCAAATTATTGGGAACAGATTAAATTTAGAAATGTCTTATCTAGTTAGATAACAGCTAGGCCACTGAGTTCAGCTATTTCAGCTATGCTAGCTTATGTTAAGGAGATATCTTTGGCTGCTTATGAGGGGAATAAAACATACAAACCGAGGAGAAAATGTCAGTGAATTTTAAAGTATTTCCATCCACAATCTGAGAGGAAAAAGTGCTGGATGAGTCCAAACCGAGCTAACACCACAAAGATGAAGCTACATGCTAGCTTAGCGGCTCCTCATCAGCTGTGTTCGAGTTAGCCTGTACGGTCTGCAGTGACAGCCTCTGAAGATGATTAAAAACTACACATATCAGCCAAAAAAGAACAAACTAAACAAGTAAAGCGAACAAACACCACATAAAAACACGAGCCTGTTAGCACACGGCGCGCTAACCCAGCCGGGGTTCTGGTGACAGTTACCCGAAGCAGAGTACCAGCTCCCGGCGTGACTCGCTTCTCTGCACACCACTCGGTTCGACATCTTGGTTCCCAAGCCGCCTATCTTGGTGTGCTGAGCTTCAGTCCGGCGACAAAAAATAAAATAAGACAGCGAGGTGTCAGCTAACCCAGAGAGAAACCAGCGGCTGTGTGGATGTAGAGACAAAGGGAAGCCGGACCGGACAGACGGGCTCACAGGCTAACGGGCTCAGGGTTCGAGAACCGGTTAATAAGTGAGCCGGAGGCTGAAGAGAACCTCACTTTGTTGGACAGCCTCAAATAATGACGAGAAATTTTACAAAGGCACGAAATACTAAATTTTTCCAATGTGCCAAAACGGAACAGCCAGAGGAGCAGTACGAAGAGCTGGAGCTGTCAGAGTCCGGATCGCAGGATTAGGAGACTGGTTAGTCTCGACTCGAGTCAGTCAGGTAAGGATCTTTTTTCTCCTCCGAACTTTATTGAACAACATCAACACGACAAACAGTGCAGACCGGGAATGGGAAATACGAGTCTTTTCAATGAGACGGAACATTTGACTCGAACAAGTGACGTGAACCTGATCTTTCGACTCCAAAAACGGCGATATATTTAAATTTAATCGCTAAATAATTGGTATGTTTATAGGAATGTATAACATATAGTTGCTATATATTTATATTGTTATTTATAAAATGCAACTTGGCTTAAACTGCTACCTTTGAGTACAAGTTAGAGGAAATTATGAACTGAAATATGTGCAGTTTATGTTTGAATTTGAAACGTTAAACTTGAATAACTGAATTGATAATTTGAAATTGTTTTGTTTAATTTGAATTTGATTTATTCATATTTGAATTGCTAATCTTGAATAATTGAATCAAAAAATTGAATTTGAATCACATAATTTGAAATTATATTGTTTATTTTAAATTTGAATCATTCATATTTGGATTTGAATTGCTAAACTTGAATAATTGACATGAAAATACAAATATAAACTAATCAAATTCAAAACATACAATACAATTTCAATTTATGTGCTTCAAATTCAATTTATCCAATTCAATTAATCAAGTTTAGCAATTCAAATATAAATGATTCAAATTCAGTTTCTGGTGGCACATATTTCAGCCCATACGAAATCAATAACCACACATTGCCAGAGTAGTCTTCCACAGCAAAAAATAATAATAATAATAAAAGAATGAAAAATGATGTTCAAAGTACCCCTACAACAATTGACACAAACTAAAAGTTCCTCACGAGTTACAACGTGATGTCATTTAGCTGCTTTAATTTAATCCTAGGTGAACAGATTTATTTCCCTTTTATTCATATTTAGAATAAAGGGAGTTGTTGCTCGAAATTAGAGCCGCTTCCACCTGAACTAGAAAGAGTCAGTTGATAGAATCGATTCGTTCGCGAACGACACAGCAGAAGTACACACGGGAAAGCGGAAGCTAGCGGTGGAGTTGCTTGTGTTGTGATCAGGGACCGTAACTAATGTTATTATGTTGTAAATGGTAGTTTGATACACACAATTCTATGGTTACAGCGTTATAAATGCATCTAAAGCTTGTACTGTACCGTCCCCTTCCCGATAAACCGCCAACTCTTGACTCCCTACTGAAAACCAACGTTAGGAAACGGTAACGCGAGGAGGACAGCGTCGGCTACAATGAACGCAGTCAGGAGCAAAGACAGCTGTGAAGTTATTAAAAACTACCACAAACAGGCGTTTGACTATGTCTCGAAGGCTTTAAGAATCGATGAAGATGATACAGGTGTGTAAATGTGTGTTTCAGCTGCTGTGTTGTAGTGTGTGACAGCTGGTAAACACCCTCCCTGTGTGTGCGTCTGCGTGTGTGTGTGCTGACAGGAGACAAGGAGCAGGCTGTGATGTGGTACAAAAAGGGGATTGCTGAGCTCGAAAAGGGGATTGCGGTGGAGATCACAGCACAAGGTAATGCCCAAACACAAACCCAGGTGCTCATGGAGGACAGTGTTGAGATGCTTTAACTAAAATTTACATATTCTGTCACAGCAGGTGATCAATATGAGCGTGCAAAGAGGCTTCAGGATAAGATGGAAGCAAACCTCACCATGGCAAAAGACAGACTGGCCCTCTTGGGTAAGATGTCCCCCTCAGGTTTAAGCTCTCTCTGCTGCTTGTACAGATTATTAAAGACACTAAAGATCAATGTTGTTATTATTTTACAGAAACAACATTGGCATCCAGAAGGAGAAGTGCCCCCCAGAGGAGTTTTACTCTTCCTCAGCCGAAAGCTGTTCCTAAAAGCCAGCCTGCAGCTCGAGGAGTATCCTCCAACATCAGACCCTCTACTGCCGTCAGACCTGCAGCTGGACCTGCTGATTCGAGGGTGATTACATTCACCTGTGATCCCCTTATCCCGCTTTTAGTTTGATATTTTTCTGTCTTTTGTTTATGTTGCCCCAATTCCTGTAGACTGAATTACTAAACTGAATGAAAACAGTGAAAAAGTACAGATAGGAAGAATAAATGTGAAATCGATTAGTAACCTAAAGAGGCACAAACTCTGACATTGTTTTTGGGTTCATGATAAATCTTGAAAATCAGTTTTTAAAAGTGCCTGATCATCCGTCAGAGGACTGCTACAGTTAGCTCACTTGCAGCTGCTGCTTCTCCTTCATTTTGTTTTATTTGTTTTGTTTTATTCTGGATCCACCATTGATTACAACAAAATATGCAGTAGCTACTCTTCCCAGGGTCCTTATCTTCTTTTTCATTTTCATTTTGAACTTAAACATGTACTTACAGACATTACACTTACATAACACTCATTCTTCACTTGCTTCATACAGTCACTCTTAATTTCTCTTGCTTGTTGAAAAATAAACCAATACGTAAATAAGATGAAGAAAGAAAAGTGAAAAGACAAAGAAGAAAAACAGAACACTTAATCCATTCAACTTCGTCTCTCCTGTTTTTTTGCTTGTGCTAACCAGCGTAGGTTTACCACAACATGGACTTGTAGTTCTTGCACAATACCTGCTTTTCATTTTTTTAAAAAGACAGGTATTGTTGATGCCGTGTATGTAGCAACAGCCCTCGTGTCATGTCAGTGACATGCAGGACAGGGGCCAGGAAAGGTCTTGGCTGTAGCCAGCACTATAGGACTGAAGCTTCTGTACACGCAGTGTGCAACATAACAACCAGGAAGCCAGTGCCTTGAACTTTCTGATTGTAATGAGTTTTTTTTTGTAATGCTCTCACTAAGGTGGCTCCACGGACGGGAAGAGCTCCGAATGGAAGACCTGCAGCTGTCAGACAGCCTCCAAAGAGGGATTTGAAAAACTTCAAAAATGTGGACAGCAAACTGGCCACCCTGATTCTGAATGAAATTGTCGACAGGTATTTTAACTCTGAGCATTTTGTTAGAAACAGAATTCAACATGAAATCCTGCAGCAGAGATGAGGTATGTTTGTTCGTTCATTTCAGCGGAGCGTCTGTTGCTTTTGAGGACATCGCAGGACAAGATCTGGCCAAGCAAGCCCTTCAAGAGATCGTCATCCTCCCCGCCTTACGACCAGAAGTAATGACATGAAAATTCATTCTCCTCTTTGCCCTCTTCATTTCTGTTTTACTTATCTTTCTCACCCTGTCATTCAGCTCTTTACTGGCCTGAGAGCTCCGGCGCGTGGTTTGCTTTTATTCGGCCCACCTGGAAATGGAAAAACAATGCTGGTAAGTTACATTTTCTGTCTTACAGTAAACCCTCAGAACTGTGTTTCACATTCAGCGCAGAGCTGCTGATACTTTACCTTTTGTGTCACAAGGCCAAAGCAGTGGCAGCCGAGTCAAACGCCACCTTCTTCAACATCAGCGCTGCAAGTTTAACCTCTAAATATGTAAGAAAACACTTAAGTTGTCCATTTTGTGCAGTTAACTAAATTTAAAAATGTTGTTTTCATTTCCCTAACCTCCCCTGTTTTCACTGTCTCAGGTAGGAGAGGGTGAGAAGCTTGTACGAGCTCTCTTTGCTGTTGCCAGAGAGTTGCAGCCCTCTGTCATATTCATCGGTTTGTAACACAGTATCCTGAAAAAATGTGCCTGAAACACAAATTTTCCCCCAGATTTTGAGCTCATTCAAGGTAAATACCTCTCCTTGTTTCTAGATGAAGTTGACAGTTTGCTGTGTGAGAGGAGGGAGGGAGAACATGAAGCCTCTCGCCGATTAAAGACCGAGTTCCTGCTGGAGTTTGACGGGGTAAGAGCAGCAGCTGTCGCCCTGAAATCTGATCATGAAGCAGCTTCAGAGAGTCTCAGTTGTCACAAAGAGCTTGTGTGTTTCAGGTGCAGTCGGGAAAGGATGACAGGGTGCTGGTGATGGGAGCCACCAACAGGCCTCAGGAGCTGGATGAAGCAGTGCTGAGGTACATGATGGTGCTGCACAGGAACTGTTTAGATGTTAAGACATGTACGGACAGTTGGACAGTCTTTGGGAGAGGCAGGGAACATCCACTCACGCAGACGGTCATTTTCAGAGCTCTTCTCACCAGATCTTACTGCTGCAAGGCTATGAAAGTCTTCCAATAGCACTAGAGTGACCTCTCTGTCTGCTCCATATTTGCTTCCATTCAGCGGTATACTACAAAGTAAATGTAAGTAAATGTAAACACAAGCAAAAGATACTCTAGACCTTGAAATTCTGCCTAAAAAGAACTATTGGTCTGTTTCTCCTCTACATGGATCACCACTGAAAGTTGATATATGAAGTCCAGTCCCCTCTTAAGTGATAGAGAAGTGAAAGTGACTTGTGTGGCAGTATTTGGAAATATCTTCAACTGAGAGAGCACGAAGGGGCACAACCTTTGAGATATCAGAAAAACTTATCTCGCTTCTGCAGTTTTAGAAAACTAACCTCCGTTTCTCTCTTCATGTCTCAGGCGCTTCGCTAAAAGAGTTTACGTGACGCTGCCAGATGAGCAGGTATTTGGAAACATTCATTAATTTGTCAATTTGAAAATAAATGGAGTAAAATTTTAATTATTTCAATTTTTTGTGACATTATTCTCCCTGCAGACAAGATTCACTCTGCTGAAAAACCTGCTGGGAAAACAGGGAAATCCTCTGAGCTCCAACGAGCTCTCCTATCTCGCAAAGTAAGTTTCATATTAATGCGCCTCACTAACTCGACCTCATGACCTTTAGTGTTAACTCGCACATATTTCTGATGATGTCACCACAGAAAGACAGCAGGATACTCAGGAAGTGATCTCACGTCATTAGCCAAAGATGCAGCTCTGGGACCAATTAGAGGTAAGACGTCAGACTAATGTGGATTTTAGCCTCTGTGGGGAACTTCATTCATGTAAAAGTTCTCTTTTTGGCAGAGTTGGGACCAGAACAAGTCCGAAACATGGCGGCTAGTGAGGTAATGTTGCTGAAATCCTCCTGATTATGTAAATAACCCATTTACATCACAGTATTTGTATATTTATAAACCGTTTTCTTCTTCGCAGATGCGTAACATCAACAAGAAAGACTTTGAGGATTCTCTGAAGCGCATTAAGCCCAGCGTCAGTCCGACCACTCTGAACATGTACGCTCAGTGGAACAAAGACTTTGGTGACACAACAGCTTTTTGAACCTCTGCCCGTTACCTGTTAAGAAAAACTGACGAGGACAGTTTTTCCCTCTGCTTTTGCTCGATGGAGGCGAGATCTCACTTAAACAAAAGCTTTTCTAAATTAAAGCTGCAATGTACAAACATGATTAAATCTGGGAGCATTATTAGAGCTTTTCCCGTTTTATGGAAAGACTTTGCTATCAAGATTTATATCCGTTTCTTTACTGAACTATTACACTCCTCAAACACTGTCAAACTTCATTATTTATTTTTGAGGATTCCCTGCAAAATGACTCAACCTCTCTCTTGCCTCTAGAGGGCAGCAAACGTCTAACTCCTCACTTTACTTCACATATCGGGATAATTTTGCACATACAAGAATTACCTAATGTATTAAAATGATGGTATTAATCACCAAGTGCTCTGTGCGCTCGTACACATGCAGGTGTGATAATAATTGGGAGCAGATTAAACAAATGGCGTGCTTGTCTCATTCATTCATGTAGGTAGAAACAGACAGTGTATACTCCTGACAGTGGTGTGCTGAAAGTCTTTTTGGGGGCAAAAGTTGAACATTTAAAAGTAGAACTGTAGTAGCTGCCCTCTCTCCCTGTATGCATCAATAAAAACATTCATGAAAGTTTCTGCAGTTTGTTTGTTTTCAATCAATAAAAAGGTTTTCATGATTTTTAAGCCAATAAATTCCATTTTCCACAGCATCAAGGAGGTTCCTTCAACAAAACAGATGGCTCTCGCCTGTAATTTCCTGTAAGAGAGTGCCGTGTGTGAGTCTTTTCATTTGCAGGTAGATGGCGCTGATGTCCTCTTCTCACCTGATACAGAGCTACCTTCAGCAGCTCACTGCAGTCTGAATCAGCTGATATTTTGCCTGTAAGCACAGATGAGAGGAATGTAACCGTTTAGCATTAATGGAAATATAGTCCATGTTGAGCTGTGTTGGCTGTCAGGTTGAGTGATGGATTGAATTAAGCGTGCAGTTTTTACATTTTACATTAACAGGAGCTTCTGTCTGGGTCATGTACACACATGTAGGCGCTTTTGAAAAACGGTCACAGTTCTTTAACTCTCTAAATTTGCTTTAGCACATTTCTCAAAACATGAATTAAGTAGGACGACGTGATTCCATAACAGCTCAGGTATAGAGAAAAAACACAGATGATTTATACATATGCTGTTAGTCACCGAAAACATCGAGCTCACATGTCAGGATCGAGTTCAGCACCTAAAGGATAATTTTTCAATACAAAGATTTTGTTTGATTGGTCAAACTGAGCAGAACTGGATACACAGGTGAAAAGAGGGACAGAAGGAGGAGGCATAACGAGAGAGTTCCTGCTTATAAATGTCAAATCAAGACATGCCCCTATATGAAAAAGGATTTCTACATGTAGAAACTGAAATAATTAAAAGAAATAGAGCAAAGATATGCACCATACCCTGTCCTGTCACATCATGTTGAACCAAATTATTCTAGATCTAAGCATCAGTTCATATATCAGATCCTGTCATATTTAATAGAGCACCATCCTGTATGATATCATATTATATAATTTTATCAGATGACAGATTATATCATGAGCTTTTTCAAACTGTTGAATGCCTTCATACATGTATCTCATGGTATCTCATGGTATGCTACTATAATTATAATATATTCTATCAAGTCGTATCTTGTAAAAATAAACATGAAAAAAGAAACTTTCCAAACCAATTTTTTTCTTTTTTGCATTACAGAAAAAATAAGAAAATTGTGTAAAACTTAATCACATCAAACTCTGTGGGGTTGTTATCATAATGTATCACAGCCCATATCATATTATATCACATAATTTTATCTCATATCAAGTATCATATTATAATGTATCATAGCCCAAATCATATCATATCATTTTATCTCATATCAAATATCATATATTATATTGTTTCTCATCATGTATTTTCCTGTATGTTTTACAGTAAGTCTCATTACTGAAACCTGTTGCCACTGTATGGTTTCTCATCATATGGTATCAGGTCTTCTGTATCATATAATATCTTATTCTGTTTTATCTGTTCACCATGTTTTCTTTTACAGTCTGTAGAATCGTATATTTATATATATACAGTTTTTCAGAATTTTACACTTTTCCCTGGTGAGGACTGAATGCTGTGAGGAAATGTACTGACTTCGTCTGTCCCTCGAATATTTAGCCGAAGCCATTGAGAAGAACTGCGATAAGTGAATTTACGTCATCCAGCTCTGTGGTTAGGTGTTAATTACCAGCCTGCATCTAATAAGAAGGCTCGATTCTGCTCAAACGGGGGTCAGCAGCTGTCAGGACACGGCATGTTCACGCTCTGTAAATGCTTGTGGTCATTCCTTGTTTTAGTGCGCTTCAAACTGTGACTTAAACTTCACCTCTTTCTCCCAGAGGCCCTTCCTTTGGTCAGCTGCTGGTGTTGCCTGCGGTTTGTGCGGCTCAGCTGATGTCTCATGCGGCCCTCCAGAAGTTTACAGACTCTGCAAATGCAAACAGATCCTGAAATTAATGAAAGCCCATCCTCTGACTTTTATTTCCACATTTCTACTTTACCAGATGAGAAAAAAAAAGAGCTTAACATGCAAAACACTGGCTCCTAGATCTGCAGCCACACCTACGGCTGCTCTCTTCTCCTCGGGGGAAGAGACATGGTTGGAGTGTGTTTTTTAACTTGTCAGGACTGAAGAGCTTCTTTCATGACGCCAGACAGGAATGGAGAGTGTTAGAGGTGAGGGTTTAGTCATCACCTTTTTTCTCTGTTTACTCTTCCCTGAGAACATCCTGTATGAGGAACAAATGGTCTGTAAGACGGACTGGCTGCATGACCATTCAGTCACGTTTCCTTCACACCTTTATGAAGCATGTCTGACTTTGAAACGACCGCCTAAAGGAGGAGGATATCAACATTCTTACAAGTAATTATGTGAAATATCATCAGTAATTACAGCACAGAGCAATTACCTCCTGATGTGCCTTTAATTTCCATCCCGACCCGACTAAAGACTATTGAGGACGTTCAGATGATTGACAGCCTCCCTGTGGTTGCGTGTCAGGGGCCCGCACCTCCACAGTAGCTCATTGATGCTTGACCACAACATCCACTCATGGGAAAACAGAATAGGTGATCATTTGATACCTCGAGTGAAACGGCCCACCCTGTAGAGAGTAGAATAAGAGTCAACACACTGAAGAGCGCTCTGACTGGGCAAACAGGCCGTGAGTGTTTCTTCAAGTGGCCCATTATGAAAGCAGTGTGTGTGTGTGTGTGTGTGTGTGTGGACGGGAGGGTTTTTGTTACGGTGGGTCCATGTCACTGTTTGGATAAGGTGTTAATCATCAAACATAAATATATTAATTGACCTGCCTGATGATAAGGAGTCACATGCTGCAGCCATCAAATACCTGTGTGAGGACCTTTAGGGTCACAGCGGCACATTGAGGGCAGTCCCGTTTGGAAGGCTTTAATGTATCCGACCTCTCCTAAAGATGTGTTATCCACTGGAAGGGAAACCAGAAAGCACTTTGTTTACATTTGATTGGAAGTACATTCAAAGTGCAATTTACCTAATTTTACTTATTAGAAATGCATCCAGAGGGCCCTTTGTTTACATTTGATCTACAAGACGGGTATTCAGAGGGTCATCTGGTTACACTTGATCCACTGGGAATACATCTAAAGGGCACTTTACTTCATTTTATCCATCGGAAGTCCGTTAAGGAGAACATTTGTTGCATTAAATCCATAAAAAGGGCAGCCAGAGTTACATCTTATTTATAAATTGGGCATCTAAGAGGCACTCTGTTTACATCTTTATCAATTGAAGTGCATTCAAAAGGCACCTGACTTTTATTTATTTAATGGAAGAGTATTCAAAGGGCAAATTGATGACATTTAATCAATTAGCAGAGCTTTGCTTACAAAGATGATGTATGCATTTGGTTTCCTTTTTATCTACTTTAAGTGCATCCAGAGGGCACTTTGTTTACACTATACATGAGGGAAGGGCATCTAGAAGGCACTTTGTTTACGTCTCATCTATTAGAAAGGTGTCTGGAGGCACTTTGCAACATTTGTTTTATTTAATAGTCATCCATAGGACATGGGTTTCTACATTTTATCCCTGGGAACGCCACCAAAAAGACATTCTTCCATGTCTTCTACTGTAGAGGTAGACATTTTTATCATGTAGAAATGAAAGAAAGAGGGCTGCTGTGTGTATATGTTTATAGACATGAAATCAGGGAGGAGGATCATCCCCTTGCCCCCCACCTACACCACAGCTCTGCACCATTAATAAACAACGAGCTAGAAAAATAAATTTGCTCATAAAAGACAGACGTTGCTATAAGCTACAAGATTAGACCGGTAATGTAGCCTCCCCTGAGACAGAACGATAACACTCCCCTCTGTAAATGAAGTTATGTATTCGGTGTTCAGAAGCAGGACAGTGGTCACACTCAGCCCTGAAGGCTCTCCACTGTGTGAGCTCTGAACACGTCTCTAAACTCAGGGTGATATAAGGGCCAATACCAAACTTTGAAGAGGATCCTTATTCATCAGCTCCACAAATTTACAATCAGGCTTTTCTGAAAAATGGCTGCGTGCATCACCAGTTTCCATCAGTTCACAGGGAGAGCCCTGTTCTTCGGCCTTCTAGACACTTCTGTACGATTCTTTCAGAACGGTTCATGCAATAATAAATTTTGATATTTATCCTGCACATAAAACAGAATTTGAACAAACTAGCAAACAGAAAACATGCGGCCTAGTTTATGATGAAAAATGTGTTGATTTTGGAAAGGTGTTATAATTACTGTTAACTTTAAGACCCCAAAAAAGAGGTTTTAAAAGATATTCGCAGCTGCTACCTGATTTGTATTCATGGAAAGAGTTTACAGTAACACTCAAACTGTGTGTCTGTTGAATTGTCACTCTTGGAGAGTGATAGGTCTGCGGTGAGGTCGGTAATTGCTAGTCTCACATCTCCACTATCTAATTTGGGAAGCCAGAAACTCTCACATGGTGTAGAGGGGAAACAGTGAGCAACATTTCCTGATCGTGTCGCATGTATGTAGGAAATAAACTGTGAGGAGCAGAGGGTTTGATCAGTGTTATCAAAAATATGTCTCTGAGTGAATTCATCTCTGTCTGCATAGTTTTAGCTGACCACGCTGAGCCCACGCCTGCAGCCACAAAGCAGTAAAAACCCGAAGTGGACAGAAGGGAGTGAATTTTCTGTCATGCCGGCACATGACCTGCAGAGCCATTAATCTCCGTAACCTCTGTGAGGTGACCAGGAGCAGAAACTTGCCTTTGACTTCATAGATCGTGTGCAGATGTTCTAGACTTGACATCAGTCAGAGCGGCTTGTCAGCACGTCTCTAAGCGGGTCTGTTTCCCGTCTCACATCTGGATGAAACAGCAAATAAAAACCAAAGAGAGTTACACGACTCCAATCAGAGGGGAACAATGATTTTTTTCCTTCTTAGTGTTTACGGATATGGTCCCCAGATGATGCAAAAGATGCTCAAAGCGTTGGTCTGAGGTGGACATGTTGAGGCGTAGGACACAGCGATGGGTGGAGGGGGTGGGGGTGATGCTGAGTGA